CATGCATTTTTTCCCTTCAGGCCTAAAGGACTTCATTATCTTAACACGTATACGTACACAGATAATTAACCATTAAGGGTGAGGTCACACTTTCATTTATAAGAGCTAGCTGAAATTATCTCGGAGGGCAAAATAAATTTGATGATGATGGTCGATTTCGGCGGTAGAAAAAAATTCCCCTCCTAAGGTTAAAAAGGCCCCTCGAAACTAAAGGTGCAAGATGTCCCCTTGTATTGCTGCCTTATTCACTTCCTTATTGTCAATCCTGAAGGGCTAAATCGGGGCCAGTTCTGCCCTCTTCTAAAACAAATCTTTATAGGGAAAATGGATTATACTAAATTATTTAAAAAAAACTGTCTATAATAAAGACATAAAAATGTCCAGAGAAGCCGTATACTTCTGTCATGCATAACCGCGGGGTGGGGGGGGGGGGGGGGAGGGGTAGATGTAGGATAAAGTAACGAGAAAAGGGCATTGTTATGGTAATTCGTTTAGAATAAAAGGAATCTCATTTACAAAGAAAGGGCGATTTTACCCCCAGAACATGCACCTTTTCTAAGAGACATTTTGTTCACTTAGCCATGTTAGAATTAGCCATTGGCCATTGGCCAGTTGACAGGGGCGTCTCAATTTAAGAAGGGATGTAAACTAAATACACCCCCCCCCCCCCCTCCCCCACCAAAAAAAATTTATCTCAGGCACAGGGCAATCATGCAGAAGCAGTCATTTTGGAAAAAAGTACGGGCCATACCGGTTCACACTATTTAGAATATTGTCCATTGAGTTGAACTTACGAGATGTATTGGCGGAGCCTATGGAAAAGCAGAGCTTGTTGTGGATATAGGCTCCTTAAACTTCAAATTACATAATTAACTAAAGTAAAGTTTATAAAAATACAAATATTCCCAATACAGCTAGGTTTTCTGTCACAGTGTGACCGCAACCTTTCGTCACATACGTATGTGCCAATGAATGCAGGAGGCTTCTAATTAATTCCACACTGTCTCCATTCGACATTCGTAATCATTGCTTCTGCATGTAAAGTACCGATTAGCTACACTAGCTAGTAGCTACGTCATGAAATAGATGAATAGAGTAACTAGATTCTAATCACTATCGGCTATATAGTGAGTGTGTATAATAATCAAACGGTATCATCATGCCTATCGAATTTTGTGCATATGCCTACACGATGTCTTAAAAAATGATCTATAGGTAGGGCTCTCGTACTATTTTCCATCCAATATAAATGCTATCGGATTCGTATACATTTCCAACATTAATGCAGCTCATTGCAAATCAATAATTAATTGTGCTCTTCCAATCGTTTCTTCTATACAGTTATTTTAATAAAATTGGGTATTTGTCTTGATTGCTCTCTGTTTCAAATAATAATGATTATTATTATCATTACTCGGAAGGAGCAAAGAATACACTAAGAATCTAGAATGATTTAATGGAGCAAACAATAAATCAGTTCTTGCACTCGTACTGAGACGTATATACAGAGATGCATCATCATCGTTCCAGCGATGATTCATTGAGAGCTTCCAACATTACGTTCGTCAGCTAGATTGGTTCATTAGTGCAGACTGCACGTGCAGATCGAGCCAATGTATGATCAGCAGCATTGCGTCTTACTTCATTAAAGATGTTGTACGAGTCAGCTAGGGTATAGCAAATTCGATATGTGTCTATCTATAATGATTTTGATTTTTAATTCAAATGTGTTTTCTCAAGGGAAATTTAAACGAAAATCAAAATGAACTTACATCAATGTTGGGGGAGGGGGGGGGGGGGGGGGGTGTCAGTGGGTTCTGGAGTATTAATATGTTTTTGTGTATTGACCCCTGACCAGCTGTTTTGCCTGTATACACCCCCTTCGTTTGTCTGATAATTATTTGTTCTCAAGATATAACCAGGGACCAATCCCAACTCTCTGATATATTAACCATCTTCAGAGGGAGATCCAGGCGTCCGTACCTGACCCAGTTTGACTCTACATTAATGTTATGACCATCTTTCTATGATCATCTGTCAAAATGTTTGATAATTATGGTCTTATTCAACAAATTGCCTCATTACATTTTCTATCATATTTTTGTTGAGTTTTAATTCATTGATGTATCTGTTTTGATTTGATCAGTTGTAAATTGGATATAGCGCTATAAAAGAAATTATTATCAGTATTGTCTTTTGTAATGCTCTTCTATAGGCCGAAGCATGCATCGTTCTGCACTTTTACCAATAAAGTTGAAAACAACTTTCTTTACCTCTTTTCATGAAATGTTTCCGACAATATGAATTTATTCTTGATAGACAAAGTATATATTTTCTTAGAAACGTATTGATCTATCTAAACGTATAGAGTCATGTAGAGTCTAAAGTCATCTGAAGAAGCGTGTGTAGAATTCAGGAAAGACATTACTTTATCTCCCGGCCCCCCCCCCCCCCCCCACTCAGTGTTATTTGGGGTACGCATATGCTCGTACCCTCTTTTTGAAAGCACCCCATATCTGAGGACTGCCAACATTTCCGAACCCCCCTTTCGCGGGCTTTTCGCGGGCTTTTCCTGCCTTGGAGACCCCCCTAAATCAGGTAAAATGCTCAATGTACCCCTTAAATTCGGAATAATTTCTCAGGAATCCAAAGAGATGAGAGAAAAAAGGAAAAACACCCCCTTTTTAAAGAAATCTCCGGGTGAAAAGTCAAATACACCCCTTTTTTTACAATTCTCGGGCCGGACTTTGTAGCACGAAAAGTACCCCTTTATCGGACATTTTGGCAACACGCATGCGGTCATTCCGACCTCTGAGTGGGGGGGGGGGGGGGGCGGGCTTTATCTATAAATATTTAAATCATTTTTTCACAATCGTTTCATGAAAAGAGATGAGAGAAAATCATATGATTATAATCATATTATAAGCAACAGTGTACCATTACCTAGGCATATTGCCAGGTAAGGGCCAGTTAATACCGATTATTTGAGGCATTTGAGTTTTGACACTGTTCGAGAGAATGGGCGATAGACATATACTCACAGATATGGGGGGTTTGGGGAGATCATAATTATTATTATACGAAATGTAACACGAGCAAAGACAACGTTTGGCACATACATTCTACACAGTTTACAAGATTTCAAGTTTATTTTCGCAACCAGCACTTTACGGCACCTTTGACCATATTGTTGCTAGAAGCAATTATGCATGCAAAAAAATATGTAATTCCAAGAACAGAGCAAACATGTAATCTATTTTAGAGCTGTGTACCAGCATAATTTTTTACAAAAACAGGAGCCTACATTTCATTGCTTTTACAGTATATAATTAGCGTTCGTCTATGAATATTAAACGGAATGGGGACTGACACGCATTGATCCATAGAGCCGCTTATAATTATGCTTTTATTAATTTGGACAATTCTCATTTTTAAAATCAAATAAAATCATTCATTTCCCCCAAATAAACACATACAGACATGATCATTGACAAATAATTTTTGTGAACAATATAGTGGTGAAATAAAAATGCATGAACTATCCTTTATAGCTACACACAAAATTAGAAATGACTTGTGAACTAAATCTTCATGACAAGTCATGAATAATAACAACAATAAGAACAACAGAAGTTACAGTACTATTACTACTACTACTTCTACTTCTTTTAATGATATTGATGATGACGATGATGATGATAATGATAACAATAAATAATGATAATCATTATAAAAAATAATGTTACTACTACTATACTACTACTACTATACTACCACTACTACTACTACTACTACTATACCAACCACTACTTCTACAACAACTACTTCTATTACTACTACAACTATTATACTACTAATAATGATAATAATCATAATGAAAATAATTTTACTACTACTATACTACTACTACTACTACTACTACTACTACTACTACTACTACTACTACTACTACTACTACTACTATTACTACTACTACTACAACTACTACTACTACTATTGCTGCTACTTCTACTATTGCTGCTACTACTACTACTACTACTTATACTAATAATTATGATAATAATACTTATACTAATAAATGAAAGAATGAATGTATCTCGTCAGATTTTTCTTGTAACTTTCAATACTTCGTCACATTTTCGCTTCTCCTCCTTTGAGCTTTTTATAAGGGGTTCATTCCCTTTTAATCTGCATACGCATTCGCACCGCCTCTTGAGACATTTACAAATGGATTCGCACTAATCAAAGGGCTTGAATCGAGACCATTAAATCGGATTTGCATGCTTGGCTTGGCTACTTCCCGCTGGCTATTCCTTAAAAATGCAAAGCGCTGGTGGGGCCCTCTAATTTCTGCAATCTGCAAATAGACAATCCAATATAATGTGTATGGGTCAATCGCATAATAATTACACCCTCCTGTATGACTGTGTGTTAATGTATGTATGTTATTCATTGACAAGTACATAGCCCAATGCCAAGTAAAGTATGATGCATAAAAGGACCCCATGGTGACTAATTTTACCCAATACAAAATGGTCATGAAGAAGACGAATATGTAAATTCTTCCCTAATTAAAAATGTGTCCCCTTTTCTAGTAGTCATGGTTTTGGGTAAAATACATGTAGATCATCATATTTTACGCTCTACCCAATACACATTTTACCAAATACAAAATAGTCATGAAGAAGACAAATATAAATTCTTCCCTAATTAAAAATGTGCTCCTTTTATAGTATATGGTTTTGGGTAAAATACATGTGGTTAATCATATTCTACACACTATTTTCCAAGAAGTTTATAACTTTATATCTAACTCTAAATCAATAACTGATGGAAAAATGCTAACGTATCTTACATCATTCTATATGTATTAAAACAAAAGTGGGAAAGGGGTAGATCTACAGATAGTGGATGATTACAAACCCACACAAACCAATGCCCAGCTTGTAGGTGCTGGAAACACACAATTTATACAACAGGAATCACACAAAGCAATGCAATTTTGAAGTTTCACTTGTTATTTTATTAGAACAATTACATTTATGAGTTTAAAGATCAACTCTTTATAAAGGGAATTAAAGAAAGATAAATACTTTTCTCCATAATGAAATTATTCAAATAATAATAATAATAATAATAATAATAATAATGATAAATCTTCATAAACAAACTACAACCCCAAAACACATTGAAATACGGTTGAATTTGTGTTTACTTTTACATAACACAACTTAATTCCAATACAACATTCTTTGGGTGTGCTTTCTGTTTTTAAATAATACTTTGAAAATAAAATCAACATCAGTCAAATTCAATAGCCTTGAACATCACATATTGAAATGTGCAAACATGACTTTAATGCCACATACAATAGGGTATTGAACTTGCCCTCAAGTTTATTTTTTGTAAATTTTTTCATTCATTGGGTAACATCTATAGGAAACATTTCCATTAAATTACATAACCAGATAACATTTCCGTCCAATATCTGTTAGTGCTCAAATAAAAACTTGGACTGCTTTATTTTTCAATAGCATTTTCAAGCAAGAAACAAGACGTCCGCTACATGTTATATCTACTCCATAAGACGAAAACAAATTGTACAAACAAATATTTTTTTTTTTCTTCGGTGCAGAGCTTTTAGGTCGTATGATTCGTATCTATTTTGTGAGTCTTTTTCCCCCACAACTGAGTTCTGCAAAGGAATTAATAATTTTAATTGTTGATTTATCACAATCATTTCCACGCCAAGGTATACATCTGTCTCTCACTTTCTCCATAATTTCTCATATTTCCCGCATTCTTCTGAAGTTGCTGTTCTTTTACCATCCCATTTCAATTTTCATAATTTCTGCTAGCTAGGAATTATAAGGAATGGTGTTTTAATGTACTACAATACTGAGCATACATTCATGTAGATCTACAGTACATAATAAGTCGGAAAACAACATTGTTTGGAGCAATTATAAGCCAATGATCTGCATGTACACAGTTCTGTTGATTGAATAATAAGATCTCAACTTTTTGAATTTCATGAAATTTGAAGAAAAAGAACCTGTATTTTTCTTTATCCTTGTTCCCCAAACAACAAGAAACTGATTTTTGTTCCATAGAATATGATTAAATATGTTATCAATTCTAACTTGCCTGCAGAAAATACAAAAATTATCAATATTGGATGAAAACAGACCTATAAGAAGAAGAAAAAAATACAATAAAAAGAATATAGACCTGGCTTTCTAGTTTCTACCTCAAAACATCAACTGGAGATTCTCTGTCACTTTCAAATAAATTCCTATCAATGGTAAACTCACCTACAAGTATATATAAATCATGCTTACTTCATAAGTATAGACATTTCTACACAAGTCTTAATACTAGAGATTTTTTAATGACCAATACCGGGCACATTCCTAAGACTGAGAGACATGAAAAAAGAGGAAAAAACTTTGATGCTAAATATACATGTACAATTGCAAAATCTATTATCTTACAGCAAACAATAATTTCAAGAGCTGACATAATATATAGTAATAGGGTGTAACAAATAAAACAAAACTTGAATAGGCATATCTAAAAATCACTATCTTGTATAATATCAAGCACTAGCAATATACACATATATCACAACTTGTGTATTAAGGAACATCAACTAAATGCAGGATAACGAAATGAATTTTACATTGATAGTAGAAAAAAGGAATATTAAGTTATACAGTGCAGTTACATAACTTACATCAAATTAGTTTAGTAATATCACTAATGCTCATGTGCAAATGCAAGTCTTATACCTAAATAGGGTTTGTGGGTTAAAGCAAATAGAAAATTATGTGTTGATGAATCTTTGGCTGCAACCAGAAATGATGGCATCTTATTTGAGTAGAACAGTGCCTTTTTTAATGTTTGAAATAGAAATACAGAAAGGGAGAAGGAGAGAAAAATAGAAAGAGAGGGGCGAGGGGGTAGACTACTGTAAGGGTGAAAGTGAGTGATTGAAAAAAGACAAGAAAAAGAAAGAGAGAGAGAGATAGAGAGAGAGAGAGAGAGAGAAAGAGATAGAGGTGAGGGAAGGTTCTTCCTAAAACAAATTTTGTATATCAAAATATTATTTGGAAAGTTAATTAGTAGATTAACAATAACTACAATTCGCTTTTTAGACAACATACACATCAATTAATATTGGACAAGTTAAAGTTCACTTAGCTATCTTGTCAAAATGTTCAGTTATTCTGTGAAGATGGATTTGTTGTTTGTATAACAGGAGACCCATAAGGCTGAAATCACACAAAATAACACTTTCTATGCAAAATAATCCCAATTTTCATAAAAAAGAAAAGAAAATAAGAATTGATGCGCTGTTCAGATCTGACATGAGATGCAATGAGTCCTAGGAGTATCAGTGTGGTGAAATCAGAGACATGCACACAAATGCAAATCAGAGTAATATGAAGAGGAACCAATACTTCACCACAGACACCCTCCATGCACAACTTGCAAACCATTACTAGCATCAGATTTAGATTGGAAGGATATTAAAATGCAAGAGAATGCCAACTTGGCTTTGAATGTGGTTTGGCTGAAGAGGTGTTTTGAATAGTTGCATGTCTAATTGAAAGGGAGGCCACAAAACAAAACTCTTCTAATAACCATGCCTTTCACAAGGCTGAACTGAAGATGTTTGTAACCAACTTGGCAGAACATATACCTGCTTTAGTGTCTTTTCCCCATAAATGTATTATATGAAAATTAAGTGTTAAATCTAGTTAGCCTCTGCTAATATAAACTATTTGGATCATTGTGAAAAGCTGATTTTGGTAAATAAACAAAGTTTCTAATTCTATATTCAGCTTTAGTATCATTATGACTATATTTGAGTTTATATGTACATGTAGATGCTATAAGGAGTAATATGTACATCAATTCATAATCACATCTATATGAGTACATCCATAAACTATAATAAATGAATCATTTTGAAACATTGCACTATGATCAATTTTGTTTGTCGTTCATTATCTAGCATGCTATTCCAGAGTTGCATTCGTATTAGCTGAAAAATACCCACAGGTGACAAAGACTAAATCCACTGTAATTTTTATTTTATCCAGCAACTGAATATGAAAATTCTCTAGTCTCTACTCTCTACAGCTACATTTTTAAAGAGTTGATATAAAAAACAATTAATGAAGCAGAAAGAAGAAAGAACCATTCAAAATTACAGGTGATACTTCATGAGTCCATTTTCACAGCACTGTGTACATTATACATGTATTGCCATTACACACAAATTCAGGCACAAAATACAAGTTTCAAAAATTCAAAATTTGCAAAATATATAACAAATGTTCTTTTTAAAATAGTCACGACCCACACAAGAATTAAATGATAATTAAAGACAAGAAATTCTTTACAAAGACCTTTGATTTGAATATCCAGTAATCCTTTCATATGCCTCATTGTGTGAGCTTCCAAAATCACATGAATATTTTGTACCAAAACAAGCGCTCCATGCAATGCATGCTATTTTGATCTGGACAAGAAAAAGATATCTACATGTACATGTTTATTATAATATTGTCTGCTGAGAGCCAGCAAGTCGTTAACTCTATAATTAAGAATGAGTTAGCACCCTTCTGGTTCTCAACAGATGATATACATGTAAACCCCTCCAAAAAAGTGTAAAAACTCAAATTGGATCGATTATAGCTCTCTTATCATGGCATAATCATCGCTTTGATTATTATCATTAAAAGTGTGTTTATTCCTTTTACATGTATATACAATATTTGTTATGATTTTGCAGAAATGGAGTGAGAAGTTCATCAGAATAAGGGGTAGGGTCAAAAGTGGAAAAGTTGCAAAATGGACTGGTAAGCACTGGTATTGTTATGCAGAGCACTCTTATTTCTTTGACATGCGAGAGTGGGATTTTGGAAAATGAGAGTGGGGCTGTTGTTCCCAACCGGTCATCCTTAAATGTCAAATTCTAAAGAATCTGAAACTGAAATCCATGCATTATGACTATGGTGATATGTCATAAGGTCATGCAAGATTTGCTACTCTTGGGTTATCAACTTTCTGAAGCATCATGCCTAGGTTTAAACTGTTGAAAAAGTCTGTGCAATATTTGAATGAGCAATGCATTTTGCAACTTTTCATGTTTGACCTTGCTCCTTATTTTGATCTACTGCACACTCCATTACTAAAAACAAAACAAAAACAAAAACAAAAACAAAAACAAAAACAAAAACATTTTAAAAAGGAATAAACCCACTTTCTAATTACCAGTATTCTAAACATAGTGATGATTTTGCCATGATAAGAGAGAGATAATAGACCATACTTGAGTTTCCAAACTTGTTTTGACAGGTTTATATTCCTGAAATTGCATAACTAAACCCCACACAAAATATGTTGGGTTGGTCTACACTGTACATCAATTTATAACGAGTTTTGTTTCGCTAATAGATGTTGGAAGTTTCATGAAACTTTTTTTCTTTTCTAAATCTAAGGAAGGCACTGACATGTATGTTAGTACTCAAGTTTTGAGAAGAAATGGAATTAATATATCGGTTAATTATGAAAATGGCCCTTTTTCAAACAATCTTAATAAATATTCAATTATCCGTACACTGTACATTTTATTACAAGCTACTGTAAATTCAGAAACTTTACACAACACTTTACATTTGCTGTGAGAATTTCTTTTGCAAATCACAAAATTCTTGTATATATATTGTAAACGGATACTTTCATAAATCTGTATCATGTATGAAATTTGTGAAAGTTTCTGAGTTTACAGTACGGTATGTTCCAAATGAGGAAAAGCATTTGGTAATTTGGAGGTATTATCTTACACAAAATTTATCAATATAACACAAATTTGAATTAGAAATTACGACAATCATGAATTTATTGTATTATCCATTCATTTAGCTATGGTTTCATATTGAATTTGGATGATTTCTGCTTACTTGATGATCCATCGCGATCACGACAGTACTCGTTCCAAATCATTTTCACCAGAATAACATGAAAGCATATGATAAGACTGACAAGTACAATCCAAACGATGACTGGAACTCGGAAACCAAGGTGGTCTTGGCCGGAACTGTTGACGGGTACCTCGTCCAACCACCGAAGTTTCTTGATGTGGATGATTTTCTGGAGATACTCAAGGTGCTTACGGTCATGTGACAAATACAGAAATGGTGTTTGTGGTTCGGTCCACTTGAGGTCCAGCTTCTGGTCTTGTTCTGTAAGCTGCAATGCCTGCAAGCAGCCGGATCCACAGGCATACAGAGGGCGCACCATATCATCTCGATTCTGGTAATGACTGACGTGAAGCGTGACCTTTTGATTTTCAGCAGGGCCCGACGGATCCACATTGATTTGCAGGAAGGACGAATTGTAGAGGATGTTCTCAAAAAGGAACTTGCCTTTGATGTGAGCAGGATCTGCATGAAATGAAAGCTCCTTGTCTGTGAATTGAGCAGAAAAGACACTGAGAAGCATGGCCTGGGTGACTCCTGTCACTCCAGCTGACAACAAAGAACTGCAACCATGTTTGTACAACGTATGCATCCAATGTGAGATCAGATCGTGAAGCTCCTGAGATTTCGTAAGCTGCATCCAAAGCTCTGGGTTATCAAACGTTGGTTGCCCGTTAAAGCACGACTGCGGTCGCTGCAAGGCACTCACTAATTCCTTCTTCTGCTGTATACTAAGACCAGGCACCAAGAGAGGGGCTTTCACTGACGTCATCATATAGTAAAACGTTGCAGTGACTAGCTCAGTGGTCAAGTAGGGAGAGTCCAGGTTTTCCTCTGCACTTAACAAGGGTTCAACAAGTAGTTTACTATTCCACATACTCTTAGACCACACACTAACATGTTCATCCAAAATGTCCCTATAATCGAGATGTAACAAAGAGAACAACTCCTCTTCTGTTTTATCAGTTAAACTTGCTATAACATCAGTGTCTGCATGAAAATCTAACACTGGCTCTGAAAATCGAGCAATTGCAATGATTGTCTTTGAGTATTTCGTGCCAGGAGCTACTTCCACTCTTTTGTCAAATCCTGTAGCTGCAATCACTAATGCCACATAGTGCTGTCCCTGTGTGTCTCTGACATAAGGTGCGGGAAACTTCCCTGTTGATATCACATACTCAATTGATTTTCCATTCACTTCAAATATCTCATTGCTTGTTGCGGATCCTTTCCAATTATTAGGACCATTCCTTGTAACAAGCAACGTGACTGGGACTGAAGCTGTATTGTCTACTTCTACCTCCTGATATAATATTGCTTCTCTTGTCCTGTGAGCCAGTGTGGTCACTTTAACCTGCACACACGAATCTTCTACATAGTAACATTGTATATGTTCTATAAAGCCCTTCTTGTAGTTGATGATAGTAGCACGCTGATCACTGTAACCTTCGATCTTAGTGCGCAGGAGCGGGCGGTAGGGTGCATCGGATGTCCAGGAGTCCCCTCTGAGATACAGATTGTTCGGCTTGACATGATCCACGATTAACTCAATGTATCCGTTTCCTGTCACAGCCAGCACCTTGGGGCGTTCGGGGCTGCGGGTGGCGTGCAGCACCGTCACCCCTGAGGGTCCATACTGCTCCTCTAGCTGGGCGACCTTGGCGCCCAGGCACTCGATGGTCACCTGTGTGGTCTTACCATGATGGATAACCCAAGGCCCGATGTAGCCAAAGATGACCAGTACGAGGATTGCTGCAAAGCAGAACTTCTTCCACTTTGTTGCTGGGATTGCCCCAGTGAGTGCGCTGATTTGACTCTGGAGCCACATGTGATATGCTATCTACCTCTGCATGGTCATCCAGTCTACAATGACTTTCATCTGATGAAGGACATTCACACTACAGCACTTGCTTTGGCATCTCACAATGCGTCTGTATCTGTTATGAAGAATCTGTAACACAGAGAATAAAATAACAAATGAATTCAATGAGGCATAAGGGTGAAATAAGAATACCCTTAAGAAAAAATCATGAGCTGGGTAAATGCTACATGACAAATGAAGATATAAACCCACGTATTGTTGGAGATGGTAGATTGTTAAAGGTAGTGTATCCCTTTTGCAGCCAACACTTACGAAAAGCACTGTCCAATATGCTCTGTGTATTGATTGCATCATTGGAGTATTACAAATATGATTATCTTTTTGATGACATGAAAAATATTGTATTAAACAGTACTTGTTTAATACATGTATACTATTCAATATATATATATTGTCTTACATGTACATGTATATCATCAAAAGAACAAGCAGAAATACACAGGTCTGATTCAATATGGAACTTTGACCCATAGTTAGACACAGTTACAGTACATGCTTGAGTTATTTGTACAGGGGTGATAGTGAGCACTAAAAAAAAAAAGTTTTTTGTTTTCCCCTCAACCACGCCCCCCTTTCGAGTAAGAAAATTGGGAAACCGTTTTAAATCAGGTTTTTATCAGGCCTGTATGTAGGGCAATCCAAACATCATTCAGTGAGCCTTAGGGCAGACCAACCATCAAAGAAAATAATTTGCATACTGTTAGTTACTAGTTAGTGTATAAAAATCAACCATAAAAACTACAGTAAATCTAGCATTCTATAGGCCAACAGTGTAATATGAGGTGTTGTGGTCCAGTGGATAAGTCTCTGGACTGAACCCCAAGGTACTGGGTTCAAATCCCTAGTCAGACCACGAATGTCCTTTGGCAATACATTAATCTATGTAAATGTATGTCCACACTCCAGCCAGGTGAAGTACTGTACATGGGTCCCCGGCAGAAATTAATTCCATAAAATGTTTGAGCACTGTAATGGCGGCCGTGCTAAAGCCTGGGTAATAACAATGGAGCACCTGGCCCCAGTGTTGTTATTACCATTATCATGAAGAAAATAACAAGATAAAATAAAAGCATCGGGAGATGGAACCAAAATTGGAATTCTATTCTGTGTGCTCCTCTTTTCTTTGCAAGTGCATTTGCATTGACTTGTCTCCTCACAAGTTGCTTTTAGATTCATTGAGAAAGTTCTAGATCTAAACTAAGTAAACGTGTGCTATCTCTACAGAAGTAACATTTGAAGCTAATATCTGTAATGTAAGTAAAGCATAACGCACAGAGCAAAATATTTGTGGGATTGGTCCCTTTAAAGCAGGAAGATCTTACTCAAACAGAAACCAAACTTCTCTACAACAGACACGTTCAACTGCATGAGTGGAAGTGTGATATTTTAGAAAAGTCAGAATATAATTTAAGATAAACTTGAGTTCTGGCATTGATAGAAAATAAATTCTCACAGAATCCAACAAAACTTACACTGAATGTTCAAGATTACAAATAAATGACATGTGCCAAAAAAAATTGGTAGAAAATGTATAGGGGCTGAGAAGGCTGTGTAATGCGCATAGAAAGATAAGAAAATCAAGGTACATTGTAAGTACATGTAGGCCCGACCCCATGTGCTTAACACAGGTCACTATGTGCAAAGGAGAGTTGTAATTTTTATTGAAGATAATTTCCAGCAAAATTTTGTGAGTTTTTTAAAATTTACTACCTTTAGTTCAAACAATCAAATCTATTCCAGGATAAACAATCCAGAATGAATTACAGCCATGTTCTCTCGACATACGATGCCCACACCAGAGCTTAAGATAAGGTAAGCTTTAACATATTCATTACTGTAACCACAGTTAATTTATCAAATTGAGTGTGACTGGTACAGTTTGTAGTTTGTACTGAATTGGCAATAAACTCTATTCCTCTATGACATCATTGGCTATCCACACAGGAAGGCTATTGCCAATACATAGCTCTTACGACCTTCTAACCGGGAAGCTGATGATATTCAGTATCTGAGAGGAAATGAAATATTTATACAGGGAACTCATGATAGCAGCAGAAGTTCAAACTCGCTTAAAGTTTCCTCATTCTAACAATTGTATAATTTTCCCAAAACTGGATTCATTTCCTACCCACTGATACTGAAACTGTATTAATGTGGTATTTTTAAAAAGATTTTTTAAATGTCAGTCTATTTTCAACTTACTAAATGTCAAAGTTTTTCCAGAGAACTACCAGTATGCATTTACTATTCAATGACAGAATTAGTTCTCTAGAAAACTAAAGAGTATATACGGGCCTCACATTTCCCACAATTGTACACACACAGTGAGCAATACAGTACGGTATGCTGTGCACTACTGCACTTGTATTATTTGTGCAGCGTTTTGCCGTGAAACCTGTGAGCAAGTGTATATTATTAATGTTCTCATTTAATTTTAGGAAAAATACTCCAAAAAAAGAAAGAAAATTGATACGAAACAGGTAAGAAAGACATAACCGACATATAAATCATGACCATTATTTAAAAAATTGTTGAAGAATTACAGTAGTTGATTTGTGGTCCGTTTTTCGAAACCGTCCAACTTCTTGACTATCCCACTGAAATGTGTGTTAATTCTATACACGTTTCAATGGGATAGTCAAGAAGTTAGATTTATGAATACTAGTACGACTGTTTTGAGAAACGGGCCCCTGGTGAAAAAGCACATTCCATTGGCACCAATATTTATTTTTGTCTAGACTAATTCATAATTGCATGATTGATGTAATGATGATCCTGATGTCTGATGATGAATTCAGATTTGTGACTTCATCATGATCATGATGATATGGATATCTTCCAATTTTTCTAGTAATGTCATTGATGATTATTTTTAATTTATGCAAATAAAGTTTCTACATGGCGACTTCGCTTAGTAGGCTTCCTATCCATGTAGCACTAGCCACTAGCACTACATCTATTGTTGTTACTAGATCTAGTGACTAATCAAAATTGATGACTGTGTCTGTGACTGTGACTAACGGTAGATCTAGAGTCTAGTCATCATGTTCAACAGTCAACTTCAACTTCAATTCATTCAAGTATCAACTAGGTCTACAATCAAAAAGAAAATACTGAATAAAGATCCATTGCCAGTTACATACCTCGTTAATGAATAAGAAGTTATAATATTATAAACGCAATGTCTCACTTCCAACAAAAGATCAGCGAACGCGATAGTACAGTCATAACCGTCTGCAATTCGGTACTACGTGTAGAAAACAATGGTTCAGTACAGCGCGATCATCGAACTTACGACTCTGGTAGGCTTATGTACAAAACTATCATCACATGCAATAGAGTGCAGATTAAAAACGACAGTAAAGTGTAATAATTTCCACTCAAAAGAGTCTTCCCATAAATTTTGATACAAAAATATAACTTTTATCTTTTCCAACTTGCTTAATTTTAATATTTTTATAGGCACAAATACTTTTAAAAATAAAATACACGAATATTTGCGGTACATAAATGTCGATCTTCAAAAAAGCAATTACTGTTGCCTCGCTTTGCCACGCCCTCTTTTGGCGTCTGTTTTATATACACGAAATAAGAAATGCCGGGCGTTGTCGAGTTTTTGATGCTTGGTTCTGTTTGGAAAAGTAGAATAAGATTTTAATAATCGCTCATACTTGTACCAGCTCAAACACTATTTCCACAGTATACTGTCTTTTTGTTGGGTCGTGTCTACTTTTTTCCTACATTTCTATTTCTGCTCTATCCCATGTTATTATTAATCTACTTCTTTAAAAAAAAAATTGTCGTTGTTCCTGAAAGGTGATCTGAGTATAACAACTTGTGCTTTTTTTACAGACCACCTTTTTTCCACTTTTTCGATTGTCTTTATAACTTTCTTGCTACTGTTCATGAATTTATTCTTGTTGACGATGAACTTGCTGTTACTGTTCATGAATGTATTGCTTTCATGTCAGTGGAAAGAAATTAATAAATCTTGAATCTTGTTCCTTTTTGTTATAAGACCGAGATGTGTTGAATCTCAGCTTTTTCAACAAGTCCAACAACGCACTTATGACAATGATTTGAAAATATGAAAACTTGATCATGACTGAGAAACAGAAATGAAAAATATTGACAATTAGGAGTAGGCCTAATTACAATTTTTTTTCTCGAAGGATTTAATTTTGGTACGCTAATAACTTAAACACATACTGAAATTGTTACCTTATTTAGATCCACAAGGAACATATACTTAATTATAAGTTATATTGCTTGTTTAATTTTTAAATGGAACCCGTGCATGTCTTAATTTTGTATTAAATGACGACCTTATGGACTTCTCACGCTATTGAATCAGTAATATTTAATGTATAGCCTATTAAGCTGAATCTAGTCGGACATTCCGTAAAAGAAATAACAATAAATTTCGCCCGAGACAGACGGTCCAGTATTCTGTCTGCCTATAATGATCCCGGCCTATGATCCACTAACATAACCTGAAAGTCTTTTAGAAAGTCAATTTCAATCGCCTTGAATATTTGATTCTGATAAATTAAATAAAATAACTTGATGTCAGGCTCCTTATCTATTTAGGCATTACAATAGCTAGTTAGGGTGACCGAACAGTTATCATCATTTCGGTACTGATTCTATGAAAATAATGTAATTACCTTTGTTTATCTTTCTGTTGGAAATGAAATAAATATGAATTGAATTGAATTGAATTGAATATATGCCTATAAATAATTTAATTTGTCATGAATAAAGTTGTGCTACTGAAGGCTGTTATTTTTCCTAATTAATGTTATACCCATTATTTCTTAGACACGACGATAAAAGAGGGGTTATATCGGGAACCCAGATGGATCTCTTAAAACGGGGAAACGGGGAACCCCCGAGTGTGTGCATGTGCGCTTGCTAGGAAATGGGGGAAATCCCCTAAAAAGGCTAATGCGCATAGTGATTGTGACGTTTCCGTAAAGAAACAAGGTAATGCGCGCATTAGTAGGAAGAAGGGATTTCTCCCTTCAAACGCACAGCGATTTTCGGAGCAATTTTAGAATATCTTTCACCACAAAAGAAAAAAACAGCAAAAGACTTAAGTTGTCTAGATGTTGGTTGACCATGCATTGAACGTCTTATCAAAAGACTTTAGTTGCTTAAAACTTACTCTGACCCTAATCCCAAGGTAACACTAAACGTAACCCTATGCCATGGGTGTCCACGTAAATAGACTCTTTAGAGTTCACGGACTCTATAAAAAAAACAGAATTGACTGGGAATTTATTGTCCCTTTCAGGAAATGTTTTTTTCACTGGTTTTACAGTCATTGTACATATATAATACATAATACAAGAAGAAATACATAGTACAATCATATCAAATGTACATCGTCACAAACGTAATAACATTCTGAAAAATGATTGTTACATTGGAAACGGAACAATACATACATTGATTGCAGTATAAACATAAACTTAAACTGCATCTATGTTACCATTTCAAGTGAAAATTTGAACATTAAGCTTATTGTTTATTTTAAAATGTAGGTAAGTTTAGTATTTGAAGCGAGTTATCGTGGCTAAATAAATGAAATAAAATGAAATATGTGGGCTATTCTAATATATCCCGACGCGAGACGTTCAAGTACAATTCTTTAAAATGTATTTACTTCTCATCTAAATTAATTAGAAATTGGCCTACCTAAACTTATATGTTCATTTACTTTTTGCATTACTACATTTATTTATTTTCAAAATTGTTTTCATTTATCATATTAAGTAGGCCTAAATAGTATCGGCCTATTTAAAGTTGGCTGAAAAGGCTATTTCCTTAGTTTCCCAAATATTTTTAGTAAATAGCTATGCATGAATCCTCACTCCCAAGAAGGTAGTTCCCCTCGATCGCTCTACCATTAACACTTATAGATCCATATACTCCAGAACAATCACTGTGTCCTTTTAAGTTAACAAGCCATTTAGCAGGGTTATGATGTTTAGTTAATTGTAACTCGTCCTGGCCTTCGCTCGTGTACTGACAGCACCCTGCTGCACGTTCCTCGAACATACCATAAAGCTGGCGACAATGCTTTTCATGCATGTGCTCCACGACTCTGGAATGAGCTTCCACGTTTTATTCGATTAGCACCATCGCTGGATGTCTTCCGAAAATGTCTAAAAACTCTCCTCTTTGACCATGATCAACAATAGATTCTTTTATAACTTTTTATGTAAAGCGCTGTGAAACAACAGTTAGTTCGTAAGAGCGCTATATAAATGACTTTATTGTATTGTATTGTATTGTATTGTATTCCATTTAAATACATTTATGTAATTTTAATATGAGACGCATATGATTTCCAATCCAGCACGAATGCACGGGCACCAGATCTAGATGCATCACCCCCCCCCCCCTCCCTCCCGAAAGCATCACACGGAGGCACCCTTTTCTTTGGGGGAGTGAAATGGGAGTGGCGGTAGCACCATTCCAGCTTATCATTCATACTTTTGGGCTTCTTTTTTTCAAGAAGGAGCGCATATTTACCGCCCCCTCTCCCTCCGTGGCGAAATTTAACGGAACCTCTATGACCGATCGTGGCGTATTTTGTGCCTTAATTGGGCTTGGTTCACAGCATTTCCCCGCCACGTACTGCGTGTTTACATTTAGACCTGCGATACCAGAAAATGGCTGCTGAACCAGAAAGTGTAGAAAGAATTTTGGAGGAGCACCTCCCAGCTGACAAACTCGAGATAGTGAATCGTATTCTGTATGGTTCATCTTCCAGGTAATAATTGCAATAAACTAGGTGTTTGTCATTTGCTGTCATGCAGCTTTTGTATGCCAATTATTTGTGCGATGCACGATGGACAGGTGCACAGCCGCTTATGGAGTCGACGGTCAGTGGTTGCACCGAGTCTGCCGTGCTTCCTCCCGGGGAAGTTCAGCGGAGTTGACCATCGATGCTTAGCCGGGCATTGGCCTTGGAAATACCTGACCTTGATTCATTTTTAATTTTCTTGTTTGAATATTTTTTAAATATTTTTTTCTTCCTCTTGTTTTCCGTTTTTTGCTGAGTTCAATTGTCTTTTTGGTGCAAATTTGATCCTATTCTATGACCATTTTATTTCTATTGTCTGATCATTAATTGCCACTATAACTTATATAATCTATATCATATATACATGTATGAGCTCCAAGATTCATTCATTAATACTAGCTGGCTAGCTAAACCTGCGAATGCGCACGCGCACATGGCAACCATTAGGGTTAGTGATAGGGTTATAATTATCATGCAATATCCCACGTCCCCCTTTCATCAACCCATCGTTAGCTTTTAATCTGTGGGTTTGAATCTCGGTATTTATTCAGTTCTATTTTTTGCCTTTATGAATAGTAAGGCAAAGCAATAAATAATCAAAGTCTAATTGTGAGGTAGGCACAGCTGTATAGCTGGACTCTTTGCGAGCTATAAAAATTGTGACCTTTACTGTGAATTCACTAATAATGTAATAATGAACGAATCTTGGAGCCCATATAGTGTCAACCGAATCAATTCTGAGTCTTCTTACTAAAATGAATTTCAATCCACTTATCAGGGTACTTGCTTTACCTGCCGAGTGTGCTGCGTTAGGTGAGAAGGGTAACTTTGAGGTCAAAGGTCACCAAATTGCTGCAGGATGTGAGCAGTTACGTTCTCCTCGTCTAGTCAGGATCGGCTTGATACAAAACCAGATTGTGCTTCCAACCACAGCACCAGTTAAAGAACAGGTTAGATTATACAAAACCAGATTGTGCTTCCGACCACAGCACCAGTTAAAGAACAGGTTAGATTATACAAAACCAGATTGTGCTTCCAACCACAGCACCAGTTAAAGAACAGGTTAGATTATACAAAACCAGATTGTGCTTCCAACCACAGCACCAGTTAAAGAACAGGTTAGATTATACAAAACCAGATTGTGCTTCTAACCACAGCACCAGTTAAAGAACAGGTTAGATTATACAGAGACAGGTGCAAAGGCAGGCAACCCTGCAGGATTTTGTTTAAAAAAAAGGAGGGGGCAATTTTCCTGGCCCATGAAATTCTGAAGAAAAAAAGAAAGAAAGAAAGAAAGGAAGAAGAAGAAAAAGACAGGCACGCTGGACTAAGGCTTTCTTTACCATAACACCCAGCTTTTAAATTGATGTCTGGCAAAAGACCAGTTTATAAAACTGTATTCAAATGTATGAATGTTTCTACACTGAGTAACTTATTATAGTTATTCATAAGTTTTTTTGAATAAATAACAAGTATCACATTTCTATAACAAGTTTGCTCACAATCAAATGCAACATTTTTAGCAGTTTTATTTATTGTATCTTGTTAATTTGATATTGATAAGATGTTTTATGGAATGGGGCCCCAAGTACTTTAAGCTTTTTCGGCAGACTTCCAGGATTGTTTGATGATTAATTGAAATTAAGGAAATAGTAATTTGGTTTCATAAATAATTTAATACTGTATTCTTTGCTTCATAGAGAGATGCCATTCACAAGCGAATTGCTGAGATTGCCGAGGCTGCCGGGAAGGCTCGGGTCAATGTCCTGTGTATGCAGGAAACCTTTGGTAAGAATGTTATCTTTAATATAGAGACGTAGAGTGTAGACAATGGGTAACGGAGAGATGAAAAATCAGGAATAGTTCAGGAAGAGGTCAAGAAATTTGATAACAAGAAGAGATGTCAAGAAAATAGTCTCCCCAGAAGAATGACAAGCAGGAGGAGAAATTGAGAAGACATTTAAAAGTATCCCTTTATGTATTGATTGTTTCAGGAATAATTTGTGTAACATGGATGAGCTTTCTTTCTTTAAACCAAATTTCTTTAGTTGCTTTTAAAGATAAAGTTGAGTTCTGGTCATGTGATTGCATTGTGAAAGAAACAGTGTGAAATCTATCAGAAAAGGTTGATCATCTAGTATATAAGTATTTGTGTGTATTGCAAGGTTCTGGAATCATCAAAATGATAAGAAATTTGGCCAAATCTTGGCAAAGTTACAAGCACTTTACACAGAATGATGTATATACATAGGACTACGATGTTTCATGTCATATTTAGAATATGAAGGCATTTGAAGAGCCATGCTTTTCAGGAAACATGTTTAATCTGATGTTCTTCCACCCTTGCATAATAAGAATGATAATGCTCACAAATTATTTGTTACCTCTTCCCAGAACTCAACCTTCTCTTTAAGTTTGCAGCAAGGAAATTTGAAAACAAAAAACTGAATGAAAAGATGACAGACTCAAATATCTGTATGTCATGATTTCCCTAGGAATTAAGTGTGCATTAGAGGTCAGCTATCCTTGTTTGACCTTATTTGATCTTGTTTCTTTGTCAATGTGTAGCCATGCCATTTGCCTTCTGTACCCGAGAGAAGACACCATGGTCAGAGTTTGCTGAGTCAGCAGAGGATGGCCCAAGCGTACAGTTGTGCCAAGAGGTATTGATTGATTGAAAAGGTTTTATTATGATTGCACTTCGCAGCCAAATGGCTGAATTATTTACAATTTACATTGGCAATGATACATACAAATGTGGTTTGAAAAATGGATCTACTTTGATAAGAACTAGATGCTATTTGCACAAAGTATAATATATGCATAACAAAATTGATGACCAACATGACTAAGGCAGTAACAGACAAAAGATAGAAGACAGAGAAAAGGGGCAAATTAAGTTATATGTTGTGAGGTGACACAAAAGTGGGTCAAAGGATGAGCAAGCAGTCCCTTTGCTCTCACATTCTCAGACACATCCTTCTGACAAACTTCTTTCATGTCAGTTATCTCTAAAGTTTGGCATGTAATTGATTATAATCTCTAAAGTTATCTTTGGTTATCTCTAAAGATAGAAGCTAAGTTGTTGCATATGTTTTACATTTCCCCCATTTTAATTAGGAACACAGTATAGTAGTAATTGAAGTTTTATAAGTTTATACATTGTGTAGTTACTTGGTAGAGAGATATGAAGATATGGCATACTAGTTCATTTGTTTGACTTTCTTTGTTGAGTTTTCAGATCTTTACAAGTCATATACATATTACATGTAGATATTATATCTGGAGTGCATGTTCACAGACAAGGCATTTCACTTACATTTGACTCTCTCGACCCTGGTGTAGTAGATGGATACATGGTTGAATCCATCCCTTGTAGTGGGTTTTAATTGTGCTCAATATGGCTACTGAAGTTAAATATAATTTCCAGAGGATAGTGAAAATGATTCAAATGTACTGTTTGAAAACAGGACATTGAAAACAAAAATATTACTGTACCAGCATTTTAATTTATTTTTGTTATTTTTTTAACTAATTAATGGGATAGTGATTTTGATGATGAAAATAATTAGTTAATAATAATAATAATAATAGCGCTTAATACAAATGTCTCTAAGCCTTTTACAAATATACTATTACCCCGGCCATTGGATTCAGTGCTTTCCCGCAAAGAAATAGATAGTGAATCTAAATATTTGATCTTTATTTTTTAATATTTCTAGTTTGCCAAACGGTACAACATGGTGGTGATCTGTCCTATACTGGAGAGAGATGAAGTTCATTTTGGAACCATTCACAATGCAGCAGGTATACACTTCAAAATACCCCAAGTGTGAAATTAAAGATGTTGGTGTTTAAGTTCTTTAATAACCCAAAACTAAATCTTTTTGAGTACACTGTGTTTGAATTTTATTTTGCAAAGAATGGAAACAAGGTTAACCTTAATAAATGTATATGAAATCTAAATTGAGGGCTAATTCTGACCCTGAAATATTATTTTTTTGTGTGTGTAGGATTTACCAGAAAAAAGGATTTGAAGTATATGTGTGAGTCTATTGATATGTATCATCAGTATTTTGAAATAAAAAAAAATAGGTGATTATAAGATTTAGGGTGAATAATTCCATTTGTACTGCAGAAAATTTGTGTTTCCTGTTAGTTTTGCAAGCTTATTGAGTTGCACAATTTGAAATGTGTTTCTTTCATAACATGTTCCTGCTTTCTCTGCAGTGGTGATCTCCAATACTGGAAAGGTGCTTGGAAAAAGCAGGAAGAATCACATTCCTAGAGTGGGAGATTTCAATGAGGTACTGTATGATAGAATATTGAACAGTTTAACCCATTGCTTACAGGAACCAAGGGATCCCTGTATTAAGCCTGTGGAAATAAGAGAAATAAGTAGTCAACAAGTTTATTTCAAAGTCTGAATTATTCATGAGAAACAACAAACAAAATTGAAGTGAAGAAAATGATGCCATTACGTACAGCTATAGATCGCTGACATGATGTTGTAGCTTGGCTGAATAATACTTTGTACAAGGGTAGTATATGATCTGAACTATTGTGACCGCGTAACTTGTATGTTTTGTTATTCCATCATTCCAGCTTTGTGTTCAATGATTCAGCTTTTAATATGTTAAGCAAAATATGAAGAACAAAACTCTAATTTCTGCTCCATAATATGGTTTTACCTGTAAATTCAAATTGGAACTTACATTTCTTCATGCATAAATTTATTAGCTGATAAATGTTTGCTTTTACATGAATTTTATCAAGAAAAAAAACCTTTGCTTGCAGATGAAGCAATCACATGACATTACGTTATGTTTCCATGAAAAGGACTACGGGTAGAATTGTTACCTCCTTTCATTCACCCAGTGCTTTAGATCTTTCGTGTTTGATTCTTACACGATTTCTTCTCATGTTTTTCTTCAGTCTACCTACTATATGGAGGGAAACACTGGCCATAGAGTGTTTGAGACCCAGTTTGGTAAGTATGATCTCTATTATTTTCTAGTTTTGCTTGCAATAAACATGGAGAAGTATATATGTGGTTTTGTCACATGAATGTATGATCCTACTAATAGGTCAACGAACTGATTCCCATGAAGGGGTACCGGTAAATTGACTCTAAAAGTAAAATAAAGTTGTAAATATTCACTCTGTCATATTATATTTCCATTCCATTTTACCGTTTATGATCATTTGTGATCCGAATTAGCATTGGTCTTATATTTGATTGAAAACAGTACATACTATGTTATTCAATTGCATTTGTAATTGGTGATATGCTTCTAGGCTATGTTAGTACTTTAACCTTTTCGTAATACACAATTTCAAGTCAGAACTATACAAGACAGAAATGAAAAGGTGAAAAAATGAAGGAGCAAAAGGAGCAATTAATTCCCCTAACAAAGTAGCCCATGCTTAATTGTTTATATCTTCTGCCGGTTTATAGTAGCTGCAGAGACATTACCTATAATTCAACTTGAATCTTTGCTATGTTGTCCAGGTCGCATTGCCATCAATATCTGCTATGGTCGTCATCACCCTCTTAACTGGTTGCTGTATGGTCTTCATGGAGCCGAGATTGTTTTTAACCCTTCTGCTACTGTAGGAGCACTCAGGTGAGTACTTCATGAAAGTTTGAGAGCCTCAAGGGATAAACTCCAGTGGAAGGACCATGTTAATTTATCACGGTCTAGATTCTAAAGCCTTCAACTAAGCAAATATTTTGCAGCACATGTAATTGTCATAGTTAGGTGGCTCTAAGCTTGACTGATGATGTGGAGGTTGTGGATTATAGCCATGGTGCGACACTAGTGTCCTTTGGCAAGACATTAATCTTCATTTGCCACTCTCCACCCAGGTGTTAAATGGGTACTGGCAGGATACAATTCTTTGAATACTGTGAGCACCAAAATCGCGAGCTAGGTTTTTTTTTTAATCAAGATTTTTTTTTTTTGCGTGAAAGGTTGGCTGGGAAGCATGTCAAATTGTCAAATGTTCATGATATGTTAAATGTAATCCCCTTCCTGTACATATCAACGCTAAATAATAAAATAAGAACATAGCGCATAGAGACCTTGGCGGTAACTTAGTGCTTTATAAGCACCGTTTTTATTAGGCTTGAGTCGGTACGGTCGATCACACCGGGACCCGACCGTTGCCGTCGGGTACCGGTTTCGTTTTTTGAGAACCGACGCTCCGAAAAAAAATAATGAAATATGTAAGAAATTGTAGTTTTGCACACCACTAAAATCAATCCACCTTAAAACTTTAGTATTTAATTGTTACCAATCATTTTCAAGCTCATCCTGAATCAATCCGAACTTCTGATATAAATATGGGTTGCAAAGGAGTTCGCCCCATGGCATGGGGTTGTTGTTGCCAGCTGCTAGCTAGCTACTGTACTGGCCGGGTCTCTCGGCAGGATTAATAAATCAGGTTGAAAGAAAAATTGATGTTTGAATAATAAAACGGCTTTCTAAAAAGTACTTCTTTACAACATACCAATCAAATAATTTTTAAAAGACAAAATAGATATTTTTTCTTTGATTTTGAACACCGCATGCTTCTTTTAAAAGCTGAAAATTACTTGGTAATCACAAGAAGTTTCGATATGGATAGCTGTTGCAAGGCAAGTTCAGACTAGTCTCGGAAAAATGCGCAGTGCTCCTCGTCATTAGCTGTAATGCGTGCCAGAACGAACCCAAACAAAGACGTGATCGTAACGAGAAAAAAATCATTAAAAACTACGAGAGCACAATTGGAAAGACAACTACTCAAAATTATCGTAAGAAGATACAAAACTTGGAGGAAGAATACAATAGTTGTCCAAGAAAAGCCACAGAAATAGTGATATTTAAGGAGTTACTATAGGTACAATCATTATCGGAATTGGCCTGCTGATATGTCCGAATTACACGTGTTTGAACACGAGGCTAGAATGAAACCAAATACCGCCCTCTACGGTAAAAAGCAGTATAACATAGGATTTGAGTATTTGCAGCAGGCCTTGCGATAAAAATGTACCCAGTTACTCCTCGATTATCACAATTTCTGTGGCATTTCTTGGGCGATTATTGAATTCTTTGTCCAAGTTATGTATCTGATTATGGTAATTTTGAGCAGTAGTTGTCTTTCCAATTGTGCTCGTAGTTTTTAATGATTTTTTTTCTCGTTACGATCACGTCTTTGTTCGGGTTCGTTCTGGCACGCGTTACAGCTAACGAGGAGCACTGCGCATTTTTCCGAGACTAGTCTGAACTTGCTTTGCAACAGCTATCCGTATCGAAACTTCTTGTGATTACCAAGTAATTTTCAGCTTTAAAAAAAAAGCATGCGATGTTTAAAATAAGAGATAAATATTTATTTTGTCTTTAAAAATTATATGATCGGTATATTGTAAAGGAGAATTTTTGAGAAAGCCGTTTTATTATTCTAACATTCATATTTTTGACCAGATTTATTCGACCTGCATAAATCAAACTGGCGGCTCGAATGTTGTCTTTCGATTTTTGCCTCAGTTTTTTTTACTTTTAGAGGCACGATAATGGCACTAAACATCGCCAATCATGGATGAAAATAATGTCAAATGGAAAAATATACCGATCTGAGCCGTGGTATGCATGTGTTGATTTATTTGATTGACAAAAAAGGTCACTTTTAAGGGACATACTGATGATAATAATCATGATTTGTGGTTTTTATAGAGGCAAGTGACAAATCTTGCGAGCTGACTTCGGGACACCGGGTCCCGATCGGTGCGAGGCCGTCGGGACCCGGTTTATGAAAATCCCGACATGACTCAGGCCTAGTTTTTATTATTATTATATTAAAATATTTACCCTCAATATCCTCATATTTCAATTAACGTGTTATCAATGCATCCAATATTGATTTTTTTTTTCCATATGGCATCAGAAAGCTGAACTTACTGAACTTTTTAAATTTTTTAATTTTTGTTTGTATACAGTGAACCAATGTGGGGCATCGAGGCTAGAAACGCTGCCATTGCACAGACCTACTTCACAGCAGCTATCAACAGAGTGGGCACGGTGAGGAAAAGATATTACTGAAATAAAATGTCAATTTTTGAAAAGCAGTTGTAATATATTCATCTTTATTTTTAGTCTTGGCATCAAATATGGTGGGAAATAACTTAGAAACAGCATGCAGAAATTAGGAATGAAAAATAGAGGTGGCGGTAATGATTGGATAACCTACAAAACAACCAACAACAAAAATCACTAAAAAAAGCTTCATGTATCTGAATTAATTGTCAAGTATGAACAGGTGCATATGCAGGACTGTTGAATAGAACAGAAATTATAACCTTTTCACCTCGTTTGCTGTTCTTAAGCAATGTGGTATCTCTGATACCTATATACTATCATTGTTTTAGTTTTTGCAAAGACAGTTGATTCATTTATTACATGTACCTATGTTAACATAGAGTCTTCACTCTTCATCTGACCATATGTTTGTTAAAAAATACCCTCTTTATCAATTTTCAGGAGAGCTTCCCGAACGAGTTTACATCAGGGGATGGAAAGAAAGGTATTTTATGTTTGTTTGTTTTGTTTGTTTGTTTTACCTGACTGCTGAGAAAGCATGTGCATGGGGACCGACGGCTTTAAATTCTCTATGAGGGACTTGGTAATGAGGATGTATGCCTTACCAAAGGGCACGAGCGCATCAACTTGGTTTTGAACCCTGGACCTCCCAGTTGCCTGACCACTGCTCTATCACTGAGCCATTGCCCCATCTTCACCTATTTTCAATCACAATAGAAAACAATTTGCCCCAACATTTGAAACCTTGCTTGAAGTCTTGGATATAGAGAAGAGCCAGTATAGTATCATGTATGATCAAATTTGCTTTTTACAATTACAGGATGTTATGGGACATCGCCTACATATATGGCAATGCAGTCCCTTGAGTGATGTCACAAATTAAGGCAGTGTTTGGGGAGCTCTTCAAGTTTTAAAATTAATAATAATCAATATTTTGAATGTTTCCAAGTGGGAAATTTTGATAAACATGTTCGCTCTAACCTTGTCCTATACAATGATCCTAATTAAATCAATATATAAAACCAAAGCACCTCTACTTTAATTGTTTCTGAACTAGCTTTGAACATATGTGTGCCATTCAATTTTTTTTTAAGAGCCTTTCTCCAATGTAGATCCCTTCTGATTTATTTGTGTATATTTTATAGTATTTGACATTTTTAAACAGGATTTCTGTAAGAAAGTAGATAAAGCCTGCCCATGAACATCAATTACTTTTCTTTTTTTGGTTAAAAGTGAATTATTAATGTAACTGATTATGTCTCAAGCAGGATTATGCACTTTCATTAAACTGTTTTGCAAATTACTTCTATGTACATACATGTTTATTGTACTTATTCATCAGTCTATCCTCTTGTATTTCATTTCAGCCCATAATGCATTTGGCCATTTCTATGGTAGGTATATGTGTTATCTTTGGTTGTTTATGTACCGGTATACCTTATCTATAATGATAATTAATTTTGTACAACTACAGTGTACTGTAATACCTCTCTTTTAAGGCATGAAACCCTTTACCCAGAACATATCAACAAACTAAACTGGAAGCAACATAGATAAAAGTCCTAAGAAGAAAACTATCTCAAACCTTTTTGTTATAACACAAGGCTTAAAGTGTACCAATCAGCTCAGTGAAAAATGTATAAAATCACCCTAAAAAAAAAGCTTCAGCTGGCATTCCGTGGGTTGACAGCTAAGGAGTATACAGGGGATAAAGATTATCATAAAACAGGGCACATGGAACCCAAGTCAGACTTGGGTTCTGTGCGGCCCCATTTTATGCGTGTGCATACTGGTACGTCAAGTAGTCTCCTCACAAGTTGCTTAAATGTTAATTTAGAGTGCATTTTATTGTGCAGAATCTCTTTTTAAAGATAAAAGTAATATTTGGAGCTCGTATTTTGAAATACTAATAGGATATGGAGTTACTAACATACAGAACAAAATATTTGTTGGTGCTTGGCACACTTTAACAAGGTGGAAAGAAAAGTCAAGGTTTCTAACAAAAATTACAAATCAAGTTTGCAGAGTGCTTTATTGATATCAAAATTCTTGATCACGGATGAACTTTTTTGTTTTGAATTCAAGCCAAACCATGTAGAACATGCTTATTGCTGGTGTAAAGGTAATTATGAGGGAATCAATTTTTGAAAGGCAGATCTAATCCTTGTGCAGTGATTTGTCTAAGATGCTTGTATACAAAAAAAATGCCTTATATTGTCGATGTTTTCCAAATCATGCATTAAAAAAAAAATTGTCACCAGACAAGTGCCTCTTTCATTCTTTCTAATTATCAGGGGTGATAGTGAGCACTAAAAAAAAAATAGGTTTTTTGTTTTCCCCTCAACCACGCCCCCCTTGAGTAAAAAAAAAGAAAAGACGATTCGCGGGGAAAAAATGGCATCTAACAACATTCCCCCCTTTCGAGTAAGAAAATTGAGACAAACTTGGGAAAATTGGGGGGAAAATTGGGGGAAAATTGGGGGAAAAATAGGGAAGAATAGAGATAATAAGAGGGAAATCGAGAAAATCAGGATAAAATAGGGAAGGAAAAAAAAATTGGTAAAAAAAAAAAAAAAAAAAAAAAAAAAAAAAAAATGATTTTTTTTTTTTTTTTTTTAAATCGGGAAGAAAAAAAAAATCGGGAAAAAATCGGGAAAAATAAAAAAAATCGGGAAACCGATTTAAATCGGGTTTTTATCAGGCCTGAATTATGATCAAAAATTAACATACCGATATTTGGATAGCCATTTTTCATCCACAAAATGTGGACTTGTCACTTTAGTTATTCTATTTTTCTTTGTAATTGGTATATTTACTAGATTTAAGAAATAAACATTAACATAATTTAGAAATTAACATTATAAGCCACATTCAACAGAATGATCAATTTGTTTGTGTTTGTCTCCCTCTCCAGGTTCAAGCTATGTAGCTGCACCAGATGGTAGTCGAACCCCTGTAAGTCATCAAAATAACTTTTCTCAAGAGTTCATAGTTGATAGGTGTTGTGTGTTACATCAGGAGTATAAATATATCATTGGAAAGTGTAAAATTGTGGTCAGGCAAGTGTGCAGAATTGTTTGCCCTTTCTTTTCATGCATCTGGGGGGTGTTTCACAAAGATCCCAAGTCGAACTTAACTCTAAGTTGGACTCAAATATTGTGAAGAGCCATCTGTAGCCTTAAAATAGCCTGCTCAGATGTCTGATACGGTTAATAATATAGTATTAACGACTGCTTTGAGAGAAATAGTTGTTTTTATACGCTCAAGGGAAGGTTACAATTGTGCTATTTCCCCGAGGCGTGCCGAGGGCAATAGCCCAATTGTAACCTTCCCGAGAGCATATAAAAACAACTATTTCTCGAATATTAAAGCAGTCATTAATACTTTTATATGCTGAAAACAAAAGAGTCAACTAATGACACCACCTTGGCCTTTCTCTATTTTATCTGCACGGTTGTTTTTTATGAGTGTATCTTTGAGAGTAGACTAGATCTAGATTCTAGTCTAAGCAAGATATTTTTACAATTTTGGGGGTGGGCCGGCCCTGTGGGGAATAGAGAGAAGAACCTGCGCTTTCATATGACACCTCACTTATTGAGTATCACCTTCAGGATCACAACAGATAAAGGTTTGAATCTCGATTTGAAGAAAAAAAACTTGACTTTTTTTGCATGGTCGCGCAATGCACATAGACTGCATAGAGACTGCATTGCGTGTAATCTCTATGGGAAGAATATAGCACACAACATCGGGTGCGCGATCAGACACCCTGACAACTAGATCTATTTTCGTCTACGTCTATACTGGTACTCCATTTTCAGCAACTAAACGAACATGTTTATGGATAATTTCACGTACCTTTTTTTGTTGTTCTTGCTGTCAGCGAGTCTTGCATTTGATAAGTTGAAATCTTGGGACAGTTTCTTTAGCCATTTTTGTCTTGTTTGGAATTGTCTTGTCTTGTATGAAAATACCGACCAATTCTTCGCACACGTACGGTATCCTCGATCGCTCAAACCATTTTTTAACATGTAAACCTATGGGGTAACCATGGAGACTGAACTATTTTCCCGGTAACCATGGTTACTGGGATTTTAGAACTGTTTTAACCATGGTTACTCAGAATTTTATAGAAATAGTTAAAGTTTATGAATGCAATTTCGACCAATCAGATGGCTGGATTTCTTAAGTGAGGTATATAATAGAAAATATGAATGATTTCAATCAACATTTTATGCCATTTAAAATAACTTTTACAAAATATGTTCATAGATGCTAATGGCTTTCCATAATTTTAAAGTCCATCTTTGAGATAAGTTCAACTTAGGATCTTTGTGAAACACCCCCTGGTATTTAATATTTAGGGCTCTGAAGCAAAAGTTACGCAGCAAAGTGTGGAATTCAATTCAATTCAATTCAATTCAATTCATATTTATTTCATTTCCAAGAGAAAGATAAACAAAGGTATTACATTTTGTTCATACATAATTCATAATAATAATAATAATAATAATAATGATAGTGGGTTCTTGTATAGCGCTCATGTCCATCAGAATTGATACTTCTTTGAATTGACTTTACTCCAGGGATTGTTGAGTTCATAGCTGATAACTAGGCGTTGTATATTACATCGGGAGTATAAATATATCATTGGTAAAATTGTGGTCAGGCAAGTGTGCAAAATGTGTGCAGAATCGATTGCCATATTTTATTCATGCGTCTACAATAATATTTAGAGCTCTGAACCAAGTTACTCAGCAAAATGTGGAATTCAAATCAATTGAATTCATATTTATTTGTTCATATATTTTTCAAGAGAAAGATAAACAAAGGTTTTAAATTTTTTCCATACATAATTCATGTCTTGTAAGGGTTGAGAGACGTATTATTGACCACACTTATTTGAATTTGATTGAATCCAGGGATTGTCGAGGACTAGAGATGGTCTTCTGGTGACTGAGGTAGATCTGAACCTGGTCAGGCAAGTCAAAGACAAGTGGTGCTTCCAGGTGAGTACATGCAGTAGCAATATGACTGCTTTTCATGTGTATACAGATAGATTATTGGTACGATTGTGATGGAGTTTCAAATCACATATTTTTTTAAACATAGTAAACATGATTTAAACGGGAAGGAGGGGGAGGGGGAGGGGGAGGGGGAGGGGGAGTTTTTTTTACCAATTAAGAGATTATTGATTTTTCCAGATTTAATATACCTCTAATGATTTTTGTTTTGATTTTCCAGATGACAGGTCGATATGAGATGTATGCGGAAGAGCTTGCTAAAGTGGTTGGTCCAGACTTCAAACCAAATATCATCAAGGAAACTGAATAAGAAGGAACACTTCAAAAGGACACACCACATTGATCATTCCCCCATCAAAATTCACTTACCTCACTTTTATGCATTAGATTTAATAGTCTCTGTAAATAGATATTAGATATGGGTTGATTTTAAAAATAACATTTGAAGTACTGTACTCTTCCTGCTTTTAAAGTTTGATAACAAACATGTCTAAGGATGATGGTGTTTTTAATGACAAGCTCTTTTATCTGGTTTGAAATAGTATTCTGAGAATCCATGTCACAGAAGTCTTGAACTAGTGGTTCTAAAAGGGACATTTTGAATTGTCCAAGTACATGAAATGTTGGATCCTTAAATGAGAGAATGAGACATGTTTGCATGGCATCATTGTTGCTAAACCCTCCACTCTGAACAAGCACAATATGCTGACAGCACAGCATCCATCAAATATGTATATAAAGATATATACTGCCTGAAGCCTGAGTAAATGAGTCACTGCCAGAAATGCAAGTGCTGTGGTCGTAACTTGCAGTATCGATTTGTAATGTCACATATTTTATTTGTCTAAGAACTGTAATAACTACAGCTTAGCATTGAAATGAATAATTTTGATTTTTGAAAGGGATTACAAACTAATTTATTCTTTGATGTTTTAAAGGGAAGAATTCAGCAACGTCATGACTATCTTTTCAGTCGCTGTAGGGGGTTAAAGCCACTCAAGGTTGATAGTGTTTCTCAGATTCTTGGATGAAGAAGAGCTTATTTTTTTTCAAGATGTAGGAGCCACAATCAGGGATGACTCGCAAATTCCCAGGTCAAAACTATTACATTGACAGTATATTTTAATTCTTAGACAAAGGATTTACTGCAGCAAAGTCAATGCAATTCTTATTTGCTGTAACAAAAAAGTATTGCCTTTATCGATTAGAGTGAAAAAAACAGTCATTTGTGAGTGTGCTCCCTGACTATATTTTTGTTGGTGCAGTAAGAGTTTACAGAGCCCCTAATTTCTATGACATGTGTATGGTCTAGCTCATCAAAGTGAAAGAATCTTGAGAATGAAAGAAAAACTTTCCCAAAAGAGTGTTGTGACCGTTTATATCCACATACACATCCATTCCAATGTGAAGAGACTTATCTCTATAATGCTTTATTTTGTGATAAACTGTTATATACATGGTATTTTTTAATAGTAAAGATAGTGCTTGATAGATTTCTTAGTAACAATATTTGTTTTAAAGTTACATAATGTTAGCAAGATGCAAGTCATTTTTCCTTGTATGTAATGAGGGCTTATGTAATAAGCGGGATAATTGGTTATGATTAATATTTCTACCAAATATTATCTCATTTTCAAGACAATCTTTTTGTTACTCTGTCTTCCTGTATCAGCATTATGTAGAGTACAAGTAATTCTCAAATTTGGAATAGTAGGCTATATTCCACATTAATCATGATACATAAATCAGATCTGAAATAATAAAATTACACAAAAATTAAATATTTTTTATGAGTTTTATTGGTTGCAGAAACATGATCTTCATAGCACTTCTTACTATCAAACACATTAAAGAAAAATGTCAAGATTATTTTAGATGACAGTGCGTAAACTTGGAAAATATATATTATATATGTTGTGTGCTCCCCCCAAAGCCCAGTCAGAACAGGGTTAAGATCCATGAGTAAATATAAATGAACGATCTATCAAACTTACGGTACTTTTATACTTCATTTTTTGTTAATGATGTATCCATGGTTTGGATTAGAAAATATGTTAACTTTATTTGCTTAGATGGTATATTAAAAATGCGCTTGTATATTTTGTGTTGGTATTACATTTGCAGGCTGTCTCCAAGAACTATGCTGGAAGATGGTTGCCTTCAAAATCATCATAAATGCATGCCAAATAAACAAGAAAACTTCTTTGCATAGCAAGTTGTGATAGAGATGTTTGACAAGTTTTGCAATAATAATAATCATTCCAGCATAAATATACCTGTATATTTTCAATGCTACATGTATGTAACTAACCTTATAAATATCAATTATGATAAATAGACCAGTGCACAATTTCAAAGTATGAATATGATGAAATTAACATGATACAATAATAAAGTGATATAAAAGAATCTATTAATTAATCATCAATAAAGCAATTAAATACTATATAAAGTAGAAAAAAACTGTACATTTGTACAGCATACATGTACATAATTTACATTCTCATTAAATAAATACATGTTTACAATCATATTTATGGTAGACTCTGTATAGAAATCAAAATTAAGTTCATCAAATCACAAGTACATCTCAGTGTATATTACTTGTGAAACAATCAATGAAACAATACAAATGTTGATACATTATTACATTCCACAGAAATGTACACTAAATCACAATAGCTGTACATGGAACAAAATAATTCAATGCCTTAGAAAAATCATTGCACTTTAAGATAATGTTTGTAAGCTAACAACTTGTATTGCCATGGCTCTCGTCTCTAGCACTGGTAACGGAGTAGTGATGATCATCCTTGAGAGGTCAAGAAGTAGACACTTTCAAACAAGCACAGATTCTTTATTTTCTTATTCTACGACCATCTACTGCTGAAAACCACTCCTCATTCATTATCATACACTAACCAAATCTTTAATTTAACCCTAGACTAAACACTATTTGAACCTAACCCAACTCAATCTTCCTTCTGTTTATCTTCATGATTCAATTCATTTATTTTTCCTCTTTCAATCATTCATATTTAGTTACTGTTATCTTCCCTTCTTTCTTTTCTGTCTGTTTCTTATATTTTTCCTTTCTTCCTCTGTTCCTTTCCCCTTCTGTTTTTATCCTTATCTCACTTTGCTCCTTTATCTTCACCTTTATGTCCCTTCTGGCTTTGTTCATCTTTCTGAACCTTATTATCTTAAAGAAAATATAATACCCTCACTCTTGTTTTTTCTTCTCTGTATCTTGGGATTGCTTCATGTAATCTTGCTCTAAGTTATGTAATTATGTTACACATTTTTTAATTTGTTATTTGTTAACCGCAACCAATTATTCAGTACAAATTTAATTTTGTGTTTGCAACAGATCATTAAAATGCATCTTATATCTGAACTCTAAACCTTCAGATTGTCTAATGATTTTTGCAATGGATAGCTTTTCCAAAAAAAATCACACACCCTCAAATGTTTTTTTCAATTTAAATGATAAGCTCACATTATTATTTGAATACAATTATTATAAACTGACTCCTTAAAAGTAGAAATTATATTAGCCTCTAACATATAGCAACCTGTAAATAAGTTTACTCATGGACTTGAAAAATAATGCTTTAAATGTAAGGAATACAAATGTAAATGGCTTTATAGAAAAAAAATAACAATCTAAATTATGACAAATATCTTGTAGAACTACATTGAATCTACACATCAGTAACATCATCAATGTTGATATGTAGCACATACATGTACCTTGATTATGTATTACTAAAAAAGGAATTCGGACTACTTCATCACAACATACAGTGCTATGATCTCAACATTTTAATCAATTCTAGCTATCATCTGAAAACCATTTCAAGTAAGTGGTATTATTGTGAATAGTGTAAATATTGTAAATGCTAGCATTTAGATGATGAGATGATAACGACTGTGGTCTACATGATTAATACCTGCATGTATAATATGACAATAAAATTAATCATGACAAGAATGATGTAATCATTTTGACAAAGAAGCTTTTTTTCAACTGTGATCAATATATCCACAGCAATACTAGGGACATTAAGAACCTAAAGTGGTAGGTAGACAGGATATAGGGTTACTGCGATACTACTTCTTCTACTTCTACGACGATACTCAGCAGGATCCTTAAGTCAGGATGTAGTGCTGAGGAATAAACTATCTAGTTCTTGGTCTAGATGCTTGGTGGAAGCGCTCCCTTGAAGCCCTCCAGTGAAGTAGTGTCAAGGGTGATACTTTAATGTAGTTAGCTTGAGAGTAGGTGAGAACACAATGTAATGTCTAAACGGTACATATCACAATTATAAAGTTGCAAGAAAGAGAGCCCTGTAACGACGACAACAGAGAGGTTTGAGCACTAGCTACTTGCCTTGGAACACACACTCAGTGCTCATACCAAGATTGAGGGGATTCAGAGAAAAAAATCAAGGGTTACTCTTCAAAACAAAAGATACTAACCAGAGAAATTAATATGTTGATGCTTATATAGCTCAACCAGCTTCAATATATACTTGCGCCTGCAAAAGTATCTCTCTCCCAAACTATTCCATTAGGATAATGCAAGGTCAATTCACTAAATTTAGCTTACTTGAAGACAAGATAAACTGCAAGTAATTTGGTGGAACACTTCATTAAAGTCTCAATCTGATAATAGCTACGGAGGTACAGCTGTATAAGACTTGCACACACTGTCACATCCCTGGCATAAAATCTGGAGTTACAGCATATGACGAGACACTGGAGGCTTGAACTGAGGACCTACAGCAATGCAAGGTAGTGTCCCGTCTACAGTGCAGTGTGGCTTGTAGGTCAGTGACCTGATTGACCTTTCCCAAAGAGAATTCTCTTGCCAGAATGCTTCTCCTCAGTGGCCTGGAAATATCAACACAGAGACAGAAATAAGTGTTGATAAGGCAAGTACAAATTCAAAGGGTGGTATTGTTGGAAGCGGACTAACTTTAGTCCATGGTTTAATCCACTGACTAAGTATGTATTCATATAGACACTTTGAATTCCATACTTAGTCGGTGGATTAAACCATGGACTAAAGTTAGTCCCCTTTCGAGAATACCACCCTAAGAGTATTAAACAATTAAATAGATAAAGAACAGAATGAATTGCACACAGGGAATAATTTAAAGGGAGTGAGTTTTCGTCTTCCATGTACAGAAGGCCATAATTCGCTGACACAAGACTTTGTGGAAATAACATTAATGTGTAAAAGTCTGCACATAGCAAACCCGTAGGCCTGTCAAGAAATACCCCCTAGTCACCCGGAGAGTCTTCAGGTGAGGGCAACGTGAGATAACGTCCTTACCTTACGCCAGAATGGAAAGAGATTGCAAAGCATTACATAAGTTCTGTTGGTCATAAAACTGAAGGCTAATTCTGGTGATTGACAACACCTGTTATTGGGTAAACACCTGAGCGATGTCAAATTCCCCATGAGAGCCCTCTCCTATGCGCTTTTAATACAGATTTAATTCATATTAAAAAAAGAAGTAAGAAGAATGGAAGAGTGCTATTAAACCAATTCATTATGATATCTACTTACAATGTTTGTGGCTTTCTGTCCCATCAGCAATCTAGCTTTATCGACATCTTCCCTGCAAGAGACAAAGAATAAAAAGCACACAACTCAAATTTAAGGACCATAAATATTGAAGATACAAGACTCCTATAGTAACACATACTGGTAACTGTAACTACGAGTCTGCGTTCAGACATACATGTACATGTATACCCCTTTTCATGAAAATAAAACATAATGTACTGTAGAGGAAATACAGACTAAAAAGTGAAGTAAGTAGATGCAAGCAGATAAGTAAGTAGATAAGGAAGTACACTGTAAGCAAAGAAAAAAACACAAAGGAAAGAAAGGTAAGAATGTAGGTAATTCAATAAGTAGTTACATAATGTAAGTACATAAGCAAGTGAGACAGTAAAAGTAAGCCAGCAAACAAATATGTAAGTTATTAAATGAGAAGTAAGTGAGTAAGTAAGTAAGTAAGTATAAGTAAGTAAGTAAGTAGGTAGGTAGGTAGGTAAATAAAATACTTAAGTAAGTGAGTAAGAAGTAAGTAAGTAGGTAAGTAAATAAGTAGATACGGCAGGTAAGTAAGGTAAGTAAGAATTAAGTTAGTAAGCAAGAAGTAAGTAAGTAAGTAAATTAAATCAGTAAAGCAAGCAAGTAAGCAAACAAATAAGTTGGTCAATAAGTAAGCAAGTAAGTTAGCAAGCAAGCAAATGAGTGCACTGTGAGTAGATAAGTTAGTAAATAATTACCTTGCATCAATAGGGACCGGTCCAGCATCATCTTTGCCTGATTTGAACCAAAGCTTCTCCTTGATTGCCTACAGAATGTAGAAATGAATAGAGGAAATGATGCTGTTACTACAAGTACAAAACATTTTGCCAAGTACCCTAAATGTACATGCTTTGATATGAGGGAAGGAAGTTATTGACAGTAGTCAGATAATCAAAATGGCACTACATTTAAACCCATGTCAATGTACGTATACATGGGTAATAACCTACAAACTTCACCTAGTCACATTAAATCATAATCAGGTTGATGATTTTCATTTTTCTTCAGAAAAAAAAGCACCAAATAAGTTTAAAGGTTTCAAAATAGTTTTGAATCTTTAATGGCAGTTTCTCTTCTAATACTACATACACATCACATCACATGAAATCATGGATCACGCTGTTTATTATGAACATACTGCTTTCATTTCTGTATTTGGCATCACACTCACCTGTGATACTAGAGCATTCTTGTATTCTTTCTTCATGCCCATAAGAAAGTCTAGCCAGGTCCAGGTCTTGTTGTGGTACTCTAACGATGGCAGCAGGAGATGAAAGTTATGCACGTCCTCCAGGTTCTTATCCTTCTCACCCTAAAAAGGTCACAGGTCAAAGGTCAAGTCATCATGAAATCAATCTTTCACAGTTTTTATAGTACATTGATACCTGTATATAAAGACCACTCAAGGGAAACATGAAAAGTGGTCTTCAAAGGCAGATGGTCTGTATTTACAGGTTCCTTCAGTACAGGTTTCAATGAAAAACAATATTTAGGGGAAACAAAAAAAGGGGTCTTTATAGACAGGTGGTTGCTAAAGCAGGTTTGACTGTACTACTGGTACATCTATTAGTATAACGCTATCAAAACTGTAAAATATGACAGAAAAAGATGAACTTAAAGGTGATGTTTAAGATATCGAAGAGGAAAGTTTACTCAGTCAGTACAACACCTGCCTGTCGGATAGAAGATAGTGGGTTCAAATCCAACCCAGGCTGATGACTGAAGCCTGCATTTTGTGTTAACAAGCCTCTCCTGTTTCATAGAGGTAGGTTAGGGTAAAGTGGAAAACACTCCATTCCTTGGGTAGGACATTAAATGGAGGTCCTACTATTCAAATATGAGCAAGGGGTAAACCCTGGTACAGTGGTTCCACCTGCACACCCCCAACCAGTTATCTCACAAGGAAAGAACCAAGGGATACAGTGAGTCAGTCCCCTTTAAAATATGATAACAATAATATTGCACAGAAAGTGCCCTCAGACAGAAAACATTAAGAAGCGATTCTGCATTGAGAATTCAATCTTCCTCGAACGGCAGAGTGACGAGTCGGACCTCAATGGGGAGGAAAGTGATGATGATACATGTCATTCTAGCTCATGGTTCCAATGGGTCTATTGAATCCAGATTTAGTCCTCTTCAGGAGTGAAAATGAAAATACCTTGTATTATCCTCCCCGATAAAAATGAAATTAAACATACCTTGTAGCTGACTAGCAGGGGCACAGCAGGAATCTTGATATAGACAAACATATTGTTCAATGCTCTTTCCTAGTATCATGAAAGAAAGGGATAAATAGAGATCAATGAAATGCTAGCTTACATATGATACATAATGTACATGTACATGTATCTACAATTTCATGCATAATTCATAAAGTGCAGAAAAAGCAAATATATATATAGGGTAAATATACATGTATGATGATAAAATAATTATTTCTGTGTAAATTCCAACAGCCATGTATGAAATATACTTTGTGCTTGATAGAGACAGCTCCCCTCCCTAAAAATTTTAAACGAGTAGAAGATATGATTAATAAATGTTGATCAAAATACTGAATTGTTAAACTTCAGGAAAAGAAAAAAAAGGAGTGGTATATAGAGACAATACATCTTCCAACTTTTCAGGTACCGGTAGTTGTACACAAAGTACTTGAATGTTAAGAAGCTACTGGTATTAATCTAAAGATCCCCACTCACCTTCATCTTGTCAATGTCATCTGTTTTCTTGAGTTTTGCCAGTAGCTGCTTTCTCTTTGGCTAAAGCACGAGTGAAACGTGTACAATAGAAGATTAAATCAGAGCATATTGCACAAATCAGGGGCCTGTTTCATAAAGTTTGTTACCAATGACAAATTCTTAAATTCTATGATAAATTTGCTCTGAGCCAATCAAATGCCATGATTTCAGTAGCTTATAACAGTCATTGTAACTTGTTATTGATAACAAGTTTCATGAAACAGGGCCTTGATCATTTGACTGAATGGTAACAATGAACAATTTGAAGAAAATGATAGTATAATGTATGAGACCTACAGGTGTGATAACTTTTAATCTGTGTACATCCTTTTAAATTATTCTTTTGCATACCTCAGTCTACAATGTATATGTCTAAAGCGTGTTGGGTTACGTCCATAAATTCTTAATCAATCAGTCTAGCTATGAATTCCAACCCCAGGACCATTTCCTTGGCAACACTCAAGATATTGGATTATCTCTATGTATCTGGATGAGAAATACTGGAGTATTAAAGGAAATCAAGACTATTTTGATTTGATAGAAAATTCATGAAGTGATTGATGGGTAGAGGGTTTAACTAAAATATGAATAGAATTTGTTGACTGAAATCTTTCTGCTACAGTGAAACCTGTCTATAAAGACCACTCAAAGGGAAACAAGAAAAATGGTCTTTATAAAGAGGTGGTCTTTATGTACAAGTTGCTTTATTACATGTTTCAAGGGGAACAAAAAATGTGGTCTTTCTATACAGGTGGTCACTAAAGCAGGTTTGACTTCATCATCAAGTGCTTTATAATCCACAATGGCTACAGTACTTGCAAACATGATGACTAACCTTTGCTGGTGTGACATCTCTTGGAAGAGTTCCACCGATGCTTGATTCATCACTGCTTGTTGATCTCAAGCTACCACTCTGTGTCATAAAGGACAGTCATTGATACAACAAGACAATATCAACATATGTGTATTATGACGGAAAAGAAAGTAATTACCCTGGTTAGGAACATGTCCATATTCAACCCTTTCGAGACAATCATTCCACATTTTATTGATTTGGCTCAATAACTTTTGTTTCCGAGCCATGCATAAAAAATATGCCAAATGTATTTGGATATTGATCCATACCAATCGCAAGTACTAATATCAACTGTTTATAAGACTGCCCCAGAAATCTTTTTTTAGAAGTATTATTATTTCATTGCTGATAATAGAGATATTACATGTATTTATTGATATTGCAGAGAACAAGAATTGCATTTATTTAATCTTTAAACTACTGTAACAATTTCTCTTTGGAAAATAATGAGCTTTTAACTCACCCTTGTGAAGGTGCCTGGGTCATTCTCATCAGAATCCATCCCTGAATCAAACAGAAGAAATAAAGTGAGGAAGGAAGGATGGGCATGCAGTCATGAAGAAGTTGAAGAGAAAATAAGATAGAGAGAGGGAGGGAGATAAATACAGAGAGAGATAATGAGGAAGAGAGCGATATGTAAATCAATAAACCATAAAGAGACCAAAAGCATTGAAATAAATAAATTAAGTTCAAGCTTTAGTACAGAAAATTGTTGAATGAATGTGGTTAATTTAAAGTAAAAGTATATACAGCTATGTTCAAGCTTTAGTAGCTTCAACATTAAGCAGCATACATTTCTTTATATTTGCAACACATAGCCATTCCGATGCTGTGATTTGTTCTCATTAAACAAAAAAATACTTGTCAAAATAATGAATACTGCAAAAATCTATCTCCAAAGGCACATCCCAAGTAGCAATCAGTATATGTACTCACTTTTGAGCGTATCATCACTGATAGCCGAGGCAGACACAGGACCTTCATGATCGACCGATCGTCCAGGGAAGAAGAAAGCCATGACCTTCTTAAAGAAACGATTGGTCAGCTGGATGGTCAACGGTACTACATGGACCTCAAAGTTGTCCTGTACTGATATCCCACCAACTGAAAATTAAAAAAAGAAAAAATTTCCATTAAAAATGAAAGTTTTTGTTGATTGGTAGATGCAAGTCTTATCAATTGCCAACATTCTATAATTGTTATGATTTATAAACATGTTTTAAGAGAACACTGAAACAAACATCACTAACAAAAAATAAAGGCCGGTAATGTCTGTTTTACACTCATTCATAAATCCTTTTCAATTTACATAAAATATTATTGTTCTCTCCACATTGTACCCATATTGGGAAAAAGAGATGGGGGTGGGTGTCTGCTTAAGGACCCTATACGATTAAAATACAACTTTATATCAATGGAAAGCTGAATAAACATAGAATACAAAGGAATAACAAATGTATTTCCCCTTTCAGTATTGCACAAAAGCAAATTTAAACCTTATGTTCCGCACCCCTCCAAATTACGGGTCAACCGAGATCAAATTTTCTGCGGTTACAGCCACAACAAAAGACGGGACCCAAACGCTTGTCTATATTAAAAGCTGAGGCGATGAGCTGTGCTTAATTAATGCAAAGTCATTGTGAATATGCATACTCCACATAAGATGATGTCAGTTTGAGTTTTCAGAGAGCTATTTTACTCCTCTTACAGACACTAAAATGGCATATAATTGATTTTATTGAAATCTATGGCTTATAAGCTTTCAGTTTTTATATAATTCATGTATTTCATTTTCCACTTTTGAAAGGGTCTTTAAAGGGCAAATCAGAATTTTCTGAATATATATATATATATATATATATGAAGACATCAACTTTAATACACGTTGTACCAATATTTTTGCCGTCATGATAATATGATTGCAGGGCCCTCAGGGGGAACAGTATAAATACTGATGAGGCTACCCTGGGTAAACAAGACATATTATTATTATTATTATCATTATTATGAAGTAGGGAAAAGTATATTTTTGTCTTCAACTTAAACCCCATTGTATCTGCTATCTTAAAGCAGTACTGCACTACTTGTAGCTACTCACGCCCTCTATAAAGCCAATGCCTAAGCGATACCCATTGATCCTCCATCCTCCCCTTTTTCTTATGTTAATTGAGAGCTGATTTGATGAGATAACCACCTGCTAGTGACCACGCAGGAAGGTTTAATCCCTCCTGGCCAAACTAGTGCAGATACTAGGCTTTAATTTTTGTATATGTGTTATTTCATCATTTTTGAGACGCAGCTAGCCTACACTAGTCCATCCGTGATCAAAGCTCATTCACTCATGATATCATTTTATCTTATTGCAAACACAGTAGCTCACCTGGTGGCTTTCCTCGAGCGATAACCCTGAGAGCGACCTGTGCTGATCTGCCACTGGTGTCCTGGGGTCTTAGAACCTCCTAAAAAGAGTATTGAACATCAAATGATTACCCCCTTCAATGACCCGATATATATCTCAATCTCTCAAGATTTTAAACAAACAAACTTACTACTGTATACACACTGAAAATTAATTTAAAAAAATCTCCACATCACAACACAGCAATCAAACCTGAATTATATTAAATATCAAATTTAGTAGCATTTGAAATTTGGTGATAAGTATTTGTATAGACATTAGCAGAAGTTAGATTAATCATGTATTCTCTTATTATGCCTAATTAATATTATCTCATGAACTTCTCACAATATTTTTCCTGGTGTACACTATTCTCTGCTCAAATCTATATATTTTCTGAATAGAAAATATAAATGTATTTTGGAACAATTTACCTGAAAATATCAAAAATGTTCAATCCCTGAATATATCCAAATCCAAACTAAAAAAGTACCTGGTACCTTGTACACAATCTTCAATAACTCCCTTAATTCATGTACCTCTCCTAAATTGAAATTATAATTCATTAATTTGTTTTGTTTTGTCTTCTTTTCCAGTATAAATAACACATGTATCAATACAAACAAGGGTTCATGTTATAAGTTTATCACTTTTTTTATAATCCCCCACATTGACATTAATTTGTTTGTAGTATAATATTATTCTGTATCTTTGCTTTTGTTCTTGTCGATTTTTTTGTTTTATTATGTCACTAATGTGTTCAATAATTAATACATATATCGTGTATATTGTTTTGTTGTTTTTATGGAAATGTGGAAAATATATCAATTCAAACATCTTATTTTGTTGCAAATGCAACACATGTCCATACCTTATAGACATCATTGGGAAGGAGGTTTGTGATTGTCACATAGGCTAGTTCCATCAGGTTCTCTGTAGAATCATCAGACTTTATATTCCTACAATACCTGGAGACAAAAGTGAAGAGTGAGATGTAAAGTTAATGAAAACATGTTAGAGGAAGAGAGAAATGAGAGAGAGAGAGAGAGAGAGAGACAGACAGAGACAGAGAAAAAGACAGCCACAGGGATAGACAAAATAACACAAAATGACAAATACATGTAGCATCACAAAAATAGCTGAGAGGGGAAGATAGCAATATAATACCTGAATACAAAATAAAAAGTGAGAGTTCAAGTCAATGAAAACATGGGAGAGGAAGAAAGAAAATGACACAAAATGACAAATACATGTAGCAACAGAGAAATAGCCAATGAGAGAGAAAAATAACAGTATAAAAATGAAGGAGAAATGAGAAGCAAAGCAGCAAACAGAGAAAGACATATGACTTTGGGTAGTGTGGAAAAAGTAATATTTACACTTCAAATCATCATACATTAGCCAATTTCATAATTATTTTTCCTTTTATATTCTTTCTCTCTACGAAGGGATATATTTGTGATATGTAGTACAGTATATTTCTATTACCTTAAAAAGAAATTTAAACTAGGTGATTGAAGATTCTTTGATCTGCCAAAGCGTGTTTAGTAGTTATGGCATCTATGGTATAATGCGCATAAACAGCAACAAGCTTTGATGACTAGAAATATTAATGGGAGGGGTTTTCTTACTTGAAATGTCTGAGTTCTAGATCAGCAATACCAAGCTGTCCATCAGCTTCTGTCAGTCTCCACTTGGCCAGGCTGAAACATACCTCAGCTCTCCAAGCAACACGCACACTATCAGCTAGAAATGGGTAAAAATTATCAAATAATTATAACAAATGTTGTGCATTTATAGTATATACATGTAATAATTATTACAAATGTTGTGCAATTAATGTGTTGAACAAATGCAGCATATCATCGAACAACTTTTTTGTTCAATGGTAAACAATTTATTTCAAAATATTTCGGAAAAACTTTAATGAATCTTGCATTAAAAAGAGAAGAATCATATGTAAGATTTGAATACAGAAGTGTGCAAATAAAGCTTCACATTACTGTCTTTCATGTTTATGAATTAAAAAAAAAAAACAGATTTATAAAACTCAAAAAAGCATAGGACAAGCATAATTTGGAAATATGTTTCCAGTAATGACATTATAATCTTGATTTCAAAGGGCTATGCACATACCTTGATGCAGTTTCTTCTTCAGTGCTGTCTGTAGCTGGATCTCCTTGTAACAACTAAAAGAGAAAGTAGAAGAAAGAAAAGAAAGGTAAAATTCAATGTGTCATTTTTTGGCTCTTTATGAACGACATAAATTTACTTTACTTTTGCTGTACACTGGGTTCACTTTTATCCCTTTTTGTGTGAATATCAGCAACATTTCTTCACTTTCCCTCATTGACACATATAGATACAAACTGAATATTCATAGCCCTTGTAAATATGATGCTTTTTGTGTTTTTCTAAACCCAAGAATGAAAGGGCCTCTGTTGACTACTTTGAGATGTTAGCTTTAATGTGCCACATTCTTAAGAAACATAAAGCGGGACTAATCAATTTTCCATACACTAAAAAAATGTCAAAATCTTGTAATGGTATGAATAATTTTGTTGTTAAAGGGAGTGTAGCCTGACGAGACTACGTGTCTTTCTTGTGGCCTGACTCGGGGCCAATCTATAATAATAATACGCTAAGGCTCCGCGGGGGGCGCGACGTCACCGCGAGCCTTTGTATTCTATTGTTTTTTAATGAGATCGCCGACCCAAGTTGGTGCGGCTATCTCCTCCTGAACCCTCCCCTCGGGGCACCCGTGCCCGGTGCCATCGTCCGCGGGAGAGTCAACTCTGTGGAATTGGCTATACTCCGCCCGAGGTCCTCCTCCGTGTCGACGTCCAGGGCGAAAACAGACGCGACATGCATAATGCAGGATATGCGTGACGACAGAGATACCTCATGGATATTCAACATTGCATCCGTAGACACACGACCGATGACCATCCACTCACATTAAGTTGCGTATTAAATGCACGATGCACACGGTCGGGCTTACCCGTGTTAGGTATCTTTCTATAGGATGTGCTTTGTTGTAGCTAGGACGTGCTTTGCATGTAGTAGCTGCACAAGAGATGAACGGGGCTTCCCGTCGACGTCCAAACTTAGAGACCTATTTCCATCATGATTGCCGCGATTTTGATATAGTTTTCGTGAATGGAGGTATGAAATCAAAGCTTATTTTGTGATTACTACGGCCATATAGTCTAGACCTATACTAAATTTTTATTATCATTTTCTAAAGGAAAGTTTTCACAAGAAAATCATTGGACTGACTGTTTAGTCGCAAGCTGCCTTCATACAGTGCAGGGCTTCTGTTCAGTGTGTGTGAGTTGAGACGAGCTTGCAGGAAGCTCCAACACCGGCACCTAGCACCGCAGGCGTCCGACGCCTGCGGCGCCGGTGTTCGAGCTATGGAGTTACGCTGTAGTGTGTGTGAGTTAAGCTGAGCTGAGCTCGAGTCGAAGAGATTTGACACTTTGAAATTGTTATCTGTTGGTTTGCATCATTATTGCCGCGATTTCAATATAGTTTCGTGAATAGATTTACGAAACCTGAGCTTAGAATTAGTAAAAGTATTACTCATGTCTACGTTTTTAAACGACTACCTGATTTTCTTGTGAAAATTTTACTTTGAAGAATGATTATCGAAATTCATGGTCAGAAATAATCACAATCTAGGGTCTATTATGTTACAGTTCTTGCATCAAATCAATGCATGAAAACTTAGTTATTGAACTAGAATGTTTTTTGTTTTTTTTAAATAGGCAATTATGAAATAGGTAGCCTGAAACCTGAGCCTTCTAAACAAATGTCAACAAAGTGAAGGCCTATATCCTTTGATGAATTAATGAAAAAGTAGCCCCAGAAAAAAGAGCCCCCGAAAGTTGAAAAAAGTAGCCCATGAAAATTTTTCCAAAAATTTGAAATGGAGCCCCCGAAATGAAAAACTTAATTTTTTGCCTGCGCCCCCCTCTAGAATCCCGCGGATTTCCGCGGGTCCTGAGTTGAGTGTATATATAATATAGGCGTGGGGTCCCCGGGTTTCAAGGGGCCATAAACCCCAAAAAGCTCAGGGGGTTACGTTCTTCAAAGTGGGGGGGGGGGGGGGGAGAGATCAGATCGCAGCGAGTTGAGTGTATATATAATATAGGCGTGGGGTCCACGGGTTTCAAGGGGCCATAAACCCCCGAAAGCTTGGGGGTTTTAGGCGTTTAATTAGGGTCAGATGAGCATTTTTTTAATACTTTATTTGTGACACCTGCGGGTCACTAATTGGCGTGGGTCAATACGTAGTGTTGCGTACCACCTACGCTGGCCTACGTTACTATATGCTGAGGGACGGAAAGGGGTACGCAAGATGAACGAAAACAATTCAACATGTTTAATTTTTTTCGCGTACTTTAGGCATAGAAACTTGACGCAGAAAGTACGTCTTTTTACGCAACACTACGCTACATGCCTACGCAACAGTACGCTACCCTACGCCAGATCGACAAAGCAGTAAAAGCTTTCAACACAGTAAGCAACCATAAGCAAACCCGTACGCCAGCCTACGCATAACCTACGCAGGGACTTTTTTCCCATTAATACGCAGCCTAATTTCTGCGTAGTCGGTACGCCACACTTACGCAGTTCCAGTGGCTTAAAGAATAACTACCGGTACAGTTGGATCGTTTTTTTTATTTTTTTAAATAAGGCCAAATTAAAAACAAAACATGTTTAGCGTCCTGTTTTTTCGAAAAATGGGGAGGAGGCCCCTTTTTTTTTTTTAACTTTCAAAATGGCCGCTCCGTACATTTTCCCTGACATTCGGGCTATTTTTCAAGATGGCGGCCGACAATTTTTTTTTTTTTTTTTTAAGTCAGAAATACATTTTAGCAGTGTTTTTCATGCTTTTTTTCTTTCAAAAAATTCAAAAAAAAAACAAAAAAAAAAATAGGAGGCGGCCCCCAAAAAGGAAACGGGCGGTGACGCTGTTTTTTTTCTTTCAAGAAAAAAAAAAAAAATATATATATATATATATATAGACTATAGACCCTAATAAAAAAAAAAAAAAAAAAAAAAAAAAAATAGGAGGCGGCGAAAGTGAGAATATGGATAGGAACAATTGAAGACAATAATCATTAATAACGAAAGTGAAAACGAAATTAAATTATAAATTATCTGCAACAAATTTTAATTACAAATATCTGATTTCACTTTTTTCTTCCAATTTTTAATTTTTATTACATGGTACAGATAAAAAAAAAATCAAAACGCTACATTAAACGGCAAAAAAAAGGTTTATATTTTTACAAGTAAAATATAAATAAAAAGAGAAGAAAATGAAAAAATAAATAAAAAGTAATCATATACAAGAAAGAGAAATAAAAATGAAAATAAAAGAAGAAAAAAATGTTCCAAAGAAAAAAAAGGGTGTTAAATTATATAAAATCTAACGTAACCTAAATTAACCTTAATTTTGTTTGTATTTAAATCAATATTATTTTCGAGAGCGCATATATATCTATTAACATTTTACAGCCCCCCCCCAACCCCCTATAATCCCGTGGATTTTTCAATGTGAATACCAACAAGTTAGACTTATGGTGTCCTCAAAATGGCAAATAAAGTTGGGTAGGAACTTATGGTTTCCTCTAATTTGCAAATACAGTTCTTGGTGGTTTTAATTTATATATCTATTTACACCCCCCCCCCCCTTAGGTATTCCGCGGGTCCTGCTTCTATTACAGTTATTTTCTTTTTTTTTAATCAGAAATACATTTTAGCAGTGCTTTTCATGTTTTTTTTCTTTAAAAAAATCCCCCCAAAAAAAAAAAAAAAAAAAAATCAAAAAAAAAAAAAAAAATAGGAGGCGGCCCCCAAAAAGGAAGCGGACGGGGACGCTAAACAAGTTTATTTTTTTAATGGCATGATTTTTAAAAATTAAAAAAAAAAAAAAATAGGAGGCGGCCCCCAAAAAGGAAACGGACAGGACACTGTTTTATTTTCTTTAAAAAAAAAAAAAAAAAAAAACAACAAAAAATTCAAAAAAATTCAAAAAAATAAATAAATAGGAGGCGGCCCCCAAAAATGAAGCGGGCGGGGACGCTAAACATGTATATTTTTTAATGGCCTGAATGGCAAATAACGTTCTTGATGGTTTTAATTTCGAAATTCTCTATATATCTATTTACACCCCCCGCCCCCTCTAGAATCCCGCGGATTTCCGCGGGTCCTGCTAGTCAGGTATAATACGACTATGGACGACGCGTGAGGAGAACTTTGGTCTGTTTCGTGAATGCTGACCATGAAGAGATTAAGTTGCTGACTGTTATAATCAAGTCCATTTGTTTACATGCAGTTGTCCAAAAGAAGACGTAGATGGCGTTAACCAGTATTTGCCAAGCTACACTCCCTTAAACTGCATGTGTGACGATAGGCCACTGTGACATCCTCTGCTTTTTCCATTAGTAGTCCAAAGCTGTTAAAGAGTTTCACATTGACTCACCTGACCATGATCCGCAGATCTTCTGCAGCATTCAGGAGAGATTCTTTGGATTCATACAGCTGCTTCTCTAACTCAGATACCTTCCTTACAAGTCTGCCAAAAAAACAAAACAAATTGAACTGAATAAATCAAAGGACTTGAAAGCAAATTATTTTATAATACGCCTCTACCATCCTGGAATTAAAAAGGACTTTAAGTAATGTACTTCATTGGTATCATCTCAAGACTGAAAAAAATGAGCAAACTGATGGTCCCACTACAATCTTGAAAGCAGAGTTCTATCATCTTGGTCGATAAAGGGAATGATTATTGTATCTGTAAGGAGTATGAAAAACAAAATAATGACACAATATTTCTATTCGAAAGGAAGATCTTGCAAAACTTGTTTGAAACATGTTTGAATCTTGTAATGAACAATGGGCTGAATTCAACTAATGATCTACATATCTAAATATACCAGTATACAAATGATGCATGCGCATGAGTTCATTATACGATCTATCCGCACTCGAGTTGAGGCTGTGTGTATCTATCTGAGTGCGATAGATACACACAGCATCAACGAGGGCGGATAGATCATATAATGAAAACATGCATCATTTGTTTTATACAACGAAACTCCTAGATCCTTGTTATTTGATGTAAAAAGAATTCATTTAAGTTTGTTTCGTGGCAGTATATGGCTTACAAATAAATCTCAAGTTTAATAAGGCTTAATTTAGTGCACACACATAGCTATAGATATAGTAAGGGCACTAATTACCTCTATACCCATTCACGCATAGTGCTGCGCAAGAATAGGCTCATGCTCACGCAGTATTAAGCGCTCTAACTCTACGTGCACTACTGCGCTCTGAAAACGTGTTCGATAGTACTGGAAAATATTGCACTCCTTTTCATGAAAACGAGTGCGATAGGCTCAGTAAATGAATCACATGTGACCGCGCATGACCAATCATTTGATTAGGATCTGGGAGTGAGTTGTATAATAAATACTATTTTACAATACACCTCTACCATCCTGGAATTAATAATGGCTTTTAAATAATGTACTACAATTGAATGGACCTTATCTTAGTTTGATTAAAAAGAGACAAACAAAAGACAAAACGGGATTAGAATGAATATGGAAAAATAAGACTGGATGAAGTGTACAATGAGAAAAAGGATGAGAAATAAGAAGAAATATGTCAGGAAAAAATGAGAAATGAAGGACCGAAGAGAAGAGATGGATAAAAGTGATGAGAATAATTGTTCTTAGCATCCTTGTATATATATTTGTTCTTACGGTTGTTCATTGCCCGAGTCTTCCAAAGAGCGATGAGCATTGTACAGATCTCTCTCGATCCGTCGATTGTGCGAGATATAATTCCTGAAAATTCAAGGCAAAAGAAAAAAAGAAGAAGAGATATTGCAAGTTAACATCACAGTTTAATACTGCATTTACTCTCGATATTTACATCTATGTAGTGGTTATACTAATGATAATGACTGTGTTTTCTATTTACCTGAGAGAGTTCTGTAGCTGCATGATGGGTTCTTTTTGATCTTCAGTGTTGTTGAGTTGTAAGGCAAACCTCATGTGCTGCATCCTAGCCATGGCCTCCTAACATGGAGGGAAATGGAAACATAAAGTCATGTTCATCTTTAATCATTACTAGCATTCACTCTTATAACAGTCATACTCACGATGAAGAGCAGTATCACCATCCTTCTCATTTGCTTCCTCCTCATCCTCATCATATTAATCTTCAATACCACCCTCATCATCTTCTGTCTCATAATTTTCTTGATAATCACCATCACAAATATCATAAAAAAGAATAATCAGCTATTTTTTCGTCCTTTTTCTCTTCCTCCTCATTCTCCTCCTCATTTTGTCATTCTTCTTCTTCTTCTTTTTCATCCTTCTCCTCCTCCTTATCTTCTTCTTTCACTTCCTTCTCCTCCCCATTATCATCCTCCTCCTCATCATTACAATTCTTAATATCGGTAAGATGCGAAAGTTCATGTGGTTGGACAAGCAAGTGTGCACTTGTAAAATGGCGACTGGCTGGAATGCTCCCCAGGGAGTGGAAAATGTGCACACATTGTGTGTGGGTAAGCCTGAATCCGATGACTGGGGTAATAATATATCTTGAAGGTGCTTAGGCACATCGTTGGATCGATGTATTGAGCGCAATATAAAAATAAGAATATTATATATATTAGTAATCATCATCAATCATTATCTTGAATGACAACATCATCCTCCTTTATCAAATGTATGATTTCCAAACCTTTCTCTTTGGTTCCACATAGAGCAGTAGGTTGTTGATGATGTCCATGATCATGGAGTACTGGGCGGAGTTAGTGCAGATATCTAGGTCATGATGGACCACCGTGATGGAATTGATGGACTCCTCTTTACCAAGTGGGTCACCATCATCGTCTCCATCTCCCTGCAGGAAGACAAATAGGGATGAATTGATACAGGCACCAATATGGTAACATTTCAGTCGGCTTCAAAATAATCGATCAATCAATCCATTTTTATCAGCATTTCTGCATTATATATGCTCTTTTAGACCATACACATATAAATATACTGTTACAAAAGTTTCTGTATTTTTATTTTACAAACAAGCTTGAAAACTTTTACTATGATGCATAAGTCTAAAACGGCCAAAGGATTGTTGTAATGATGATATTGTACATGTTTGTGTGTATTGGAGGGGGGAGGGGGGGGGGGGGTGTGAGGAGGGGTAGACCAAAATCACAAGGACAGTTCACTTATCTGCTGCTATGCTGTGGGTTATGCCATCATCACTATGATAATGGTCATGATCATAATTACAATCAATACAATCATGTTACACCATCATAAAAATCAACCTTATCATCATCATAATCATCATCACCATCGCCACCATAATCATCCTCCCCATTACCCCCACCATCATCTTCCATATGATGTCATACCAACATCGCAATCATAAACCATAGCCGTTACTACCATCCTCATACTATCATCACCATCACAATACAATCTACTCCTTACCTTGTGCACATCTCCTCTGGCAAGCACCTGTGCTGCTACGTCAGGATCCACATCACAATACAATATACTCCTTACCTTGTCCACATCTCCTCTGGCAAGCACCTGCGCTGCAACGTCAGGATCCACATCCCTCCCGTACATGTTATAGTAGAAGCGGCATGAACACCGGGAGATGATTCGCTGGAGCTGCACCGTATCGTTCTCCACGTCCTCTGAAGCCCCGCCTACCGTGTCGCTAACGACCCCACCCACGGAGTCCCCACTCCCCACCAGGTCAGGGACGTCGGTCACGCTGCGATTGTGGTTGGGGTTCTTCTCGATGTTGGAGATGGCAAGCCATTTGACATGCTCTTCTTGGTGATTGGCTGGGCCCGCTCTAGAAGCAGGGTAACCAACCGTTGCAAAGTACTGTCAAGGGGAAATCATAAAGCAAGGTAAAACTTTGACAAGGCATTCACCTACATTTGCTTCTCTCCACCTAGGTGTTGTAAATGGGTATGCAGTAGGAAGAAAATTCCTTGAATGATGTGAAAACCAGAATCTGTAGCCTCTCTCTCATTAAGCCAGAGTACCTTCCATTGTGGATATCAGTGCTATTCAAGAGTCTGAACTAATCCTCTGCCAGACAGCATGAAAAGTATTTGTAACGAGTGAATTATACTTCATACTTCCGCAATGTTTTTTTTTAACCTGACATAATCATATACAAAATGTCACTTGAAAATCCCCCCAAAACTCTTACCATTCATCTACAAGTTAAAGTGCTTTTTATTTTCTTTAAAAGCTGTTTTGAGTTGACCATCTCATTTTTGCTTCATTAGAAGTTGTTTTTCATGAATTTGATTAATTGTGCTTCATCACCTAACCAACATTTTAACTTAGATATCACTTAGAAAGTACAAAGAACAAACCAATAACTTCTTTCTTACCTGCATCCTATCCAACGTGCCTACCACTGTAGTCTTACTGGTCAGTTTACTGTCCATCCACTTTGGCCAATGAGCTCTCTGCATGACCTGAGCATTGGCTGCACATACCAGTACATAGCCAGAGCTGGCTGACCCTCGCAACATCACCTGGCTGTTGATTAGCTCCACTAGAGACAGAATACAAAAATATAAAACTAGATTGATGCCTCCGTCATAGAGCAATTTTATAAACCAAAACAGAAGCAATTTTTCAAATTCAATTTTGATTGTAATCCATTGACAGGTTCTCAGAATATTGTGATTACAAGCTATTTCTGAAATACATGTATTACCCTTTAATCTTTGACCTCATGACCCCAAAATCTAGTTCTTAAATTGTAACCTTACCTTGTTATCTTATGTTTGATAATTTCAATTTCAATTTGTTCTCTTGTCATTATTCTGTTTAGTTTTACCTGCATCAATATTGTAAAGCGCTTTGACATACATGTAAATCTCATATGAAAAGCGCAATATAAGTAAAAGTTATTATTATTATTATCTAATGAAGATGACCAAATGAACAAGGATGAAGAAGAGCCAGCGTCAGATCAGACAGAGATCATTTAATCTCAACGTAGTCTTGCAAAGGGACATCTGATAAAGATGACAAAATGCTAATAAAATTGGACCTATACCTCTTACATAATCTCTATGTACAGGTTCAACAAATAAAACAACAGTGAATGATTGTCTTACCAAGCCAATTGTTGGTCATGACATCATCCTTGTTGCAAGCTAGCACCCCTGAGAGTTGCTCGGTACTTCCCGATGTCTGGAAAACAGCAATAGAGAAAATCAAAACAGGAAAATAACCTCACTGTTCCAAAACAAAGTCATTATCAATGAAATATAAACAAATATTTCAACTGAACTCATTACGTAATAAATAAATTAACAACATTTTTATTCTGTCTAAAAAACCAGTAAATAATAATAAAATTCATGTGTGTACAAGTCTGCACACAGTAAAACTGTAGGCCTATCAAGAAATACCCCCTCGTCTCTCGGAGAGTCTTCGGATGATGGTAAAGATAAGATAAGTGGGAATGGATGGAAAATGCAAAGCATTTAATACATACATGTAAGGCCTGTTGGTCATATAAGTGAAGACTAATCCTGGTGATCGACAACACTTATTACGGGGTAAACACCCGAACGGTATCAAATTCCCCATGAGAGCCAAATCCGACGTGTCTTACAGTTTTACCAACCTCTTCAGTGAAGACCATGAATTTGGTGTTGGCCTCAGCCAGGAGCTGTTGTAGCATGCTAGCCCCATGGCCCGCCTGCATCTTAGACATAGGGCTAGGGGTGTGTCCAGCCACCCCTGCGGAGCTGGAACCGGCCGAGGATGGGGTACCAGGACCACTCTGTAGACCACCAGTCTGTCGACGCTATGTCAGAAAAAAATCGAAAGAGGCTTTGAATCATGGATGTAGAGGTCAAACATTGTGGATTTAAGAACATTAATAATAATGATAATAATAATAATCCGCTTTTATACAGCGCTCAATACATCTACGATGTCTCTATAAGCGCTTTACAGTTCGTAACTTTGGTTAGTAAAAAGCATGGGACACAACAAATTCCCAGGGCCAGGTTCAAACAAACATAAGCAGGTTCTTTTGACGAAAGAATATATCAACACTCTTTTCATTAAGGCTCCCGCTTGGTGTTACTGAAAGCCTCCAATCGTGAATACTCATTCACCATGGAAACCTACCGGGAACAAAACAAATTTCTGTGGGTAGTCTGGCTACAAATTTCAGTGACTGGCGTCATAAATTTCCAATGACAAAAATTAAAGAGGAAATAAACCCTGATATTAAAGTTGGTTTTAATAGAAGCAGAAAAGAAGAAAAACAGGTCAGTGAAGTTTGAGCAAAACTTGATTATGAATTAGAAAGTTATGAATGTGTGAAGGTGCAATCAATAAACACAAATTGGCAACTAAGTGACATATCTGGCAAGCTCCCCTCCCATTAGCCCTGTCTTAAAAAAAGTTTTAAATTCTATATTTTCCCTCAAGAAAAAAAAAAATACAATCACCCTAAATATTATTATTGCAAATGTTTTTTTTTTAAACCCATGTACAGAACAAATTCATTCTATCATCAATAACTAAGAAAACAAAGTTTATGACATTTTTTGTACAGAGCAAATTGGAGAGGAGCTTGCAAGATACGTCACAGTGTTGCAAATCTCTGTTTCACTGATGAAAATTTTAAGAATTCATAACTTTCCTATTTCTAATCAGATTTATCTCAACTGTCACAAAGTTGTTTCTCTCATTTGTGTTCTGCCTCTATTAAAGCAACTTTATATCAGGGTGGACTAGCTTCCCCTATAATCACTAACACTAACAGCGCCTAGCTGGGAGGTTAGCTAGACCCACTAAAGTATGAATAAGTTTTGAGAATATAAACTTACTGCTTGAGCACTGCTGTCCATCTTTACACCCTTCAGGGCCTCTGTGGACAGATTCTGCTTCAGAGTCTGAGGAGAAAAAGAGAAGAAATACAGTCAAACCTGTCTATAAAGGCCACTCAAGGAAACAGAAAAAGGGGCCACTGTAGACAGGTGGCCTTTCTAGACAGGTCCTACAACACACATTTCTTTCACAAGGGAGACAAAATACATGGCCTCTAAAGACAGGTGGCCTTTATAGAGAGGTGGTCACTAAGACAGGTTTGATTGTACTTTGTAAATGAAGTATAGTGTACATATACAATGTATGTGGTGGAATGAGTCTTTATCATACTAAGCTTATGTTGTGTTTTATGAAAGTTAGTAAGGACGGGAAAACAAGCTTTGAATGTACATTGTTGTACACGATACATCTCTGTTTTTTTGAGAATTTTTTTTTTTTTTAAATAAAAGTTATTTGTCTTCCTCATAAATCTAAAAACGAGCATAAAATAGAAACTTAAAGAGAAATAAATGTATAGGAAGGAGGGAAGGACAAAAAATAGGTTTCATTAAAGTGATACAAAATCATAATTACCGATAATAGATTTATATCCATGAAATAACCATTTTCCATAAATCTGAAACATTATATTTCCCCTCCAATTCCTGCGATGGCGAATATATATTATACCTGTGCTTTGCTGTAGGAGTCGTAGAGACCAAAGACTACATCTCGGTTGAACCTTGTCCATGAACCTCTGAACTCATACACAACCAGCTTGTGAATGAAATCCTGGGAATGGAAAATGAGAGAAAAACGGAACAACATCATGAGAAGAATGAGATGATGCTTTGTTTAAAGCAGCAAGCAATACCACAATTGTGCTGAACTCAACAAGTTTGAAATCAAAGTGACCCTAATCAAATCACTTAAAAATGTAATACTGAATACTGCAATAAAAGTGCCAATGCCAAATAGAAGACAATATAAAAACATTGAAGATTTTGAAAATAGTTAATATTTAATTTTGAATTCTTTCAGTCCTTATGAACCAATAAGTTTAGAATCATTGATATCTTTATGAAGAGATGAATCGGTTCAAGTGAATTTCACACCAACATCTGTATCTAGCTTCCCATCACCCTTACAATAGATATTTAAACATGTAAGTTAGACAATACTAAGAGAGAAAATCCATTGTGGTAGTATAATTATACAGATATTTCATTTCATTTAATTTATTTTTCCACATTCTAGATGAAAGAAAACAAGCTGATACAAAGTAGTGTACATTATAAAATTTAAAGGAATTCATACATAACAAGAAAAACAGGTTAGTTACGAGGGGGGGGGGGGGGGGAATAAGATGTTAAACCAGTATTCAAAGGGGAAAAACAAAAGCAAAGTTGCTGGTCAGGGTTAATCCTCAAATTAATCATAATAATAATAATATACCGCTTTTATATAGTGCTTAATACATCGCTTTTATATAGTGCTTAATACATCTATGATGTCTATAAGCGCTTTACAGATATACTACCACAATGTAAACATAGTAAACATAATAAACATATTAAAACAAAGGGGGGGGGGGGGTTGCGATCATTGAATTTGGAATATTTGGATATAGCATCCTGACATTGACAACATGACATCTTACCCTTTCTTCATTCTCTGTGTTCATTCTCTTAGCATCCTTTACTTCTTCTTCCTCCTCTTCAGAATCAGAAAGATTCTCTGGTGTCGGCTCCAAGTTCTTGCACTTCTGGCGACAGTAGCTAACTCTACAGAAGGTAACAGACAATACGGATAGGTTTGTTTATATCATTGCAACTGGAGATCATTCAAAGGTAGGAAGTCAATATGGCTTTGCTTTAAAGTTGACTTCAAAGTTCTTGCACTTCTGTCAATGGTTACAACTAACAGGATAGGAGTAAACCATTTGTTCTTTTGAAATTAATGTATGTTTTGATAGATGCAAGTAATTCACAAAAGAAATCACATACATTTATATTTTGTTTAAGGTGGGGATAGAAGACATACAGCAAATGTAAGATTAAAAGGAAGAAGGAAGAGAAAGGAAAACTGATGGTAAGTCAAGGATTGAATGGAATTTATATATAAATGAATATTATGTTTTTGTCATTCAAATGTATTTATGTATAAAATTGCATGTTTTTAATTAATGCATTTTTACAAATATTTTTTAAAACAAAGCTGGAATCTAGATAAAGTGAATTTAATTGAACTTAATTGGACTAAATAAGAATATACAATGTTTACTAATTGACTCACTTGGTCACGCTGGCAAGATGGTGCTTCTCAGCTGGGGGCTTGATGATCATGTGACACTAAGAATTCACAAAAGAAGGGGGAGATAATATAAAACCACATAAGAAGGTAGATAATTCACATATTTAGTACATGTACATGTAGGCAATCGGACTAATAAAGAATACAACAAATTCCAAAAGGGTATTGGTTTTATTACAACAGTCGTGACCTCACCCATCAGCATTATCACACAATCTCACTATAACTTGTCCTTTTTGTCATCATCATTATCATCAATTATTTTTTTACTGCCTACATCTTCATTTCTTCGTCCTTGTCATTGTTTAATTACTTTTGTCATGATTTTGAACACAATAAAAACTGATTTAGGTCAGAAGCACCTTTTCAGGAGGACACACATCTCTAAGACCCCCATCATCTACTGCATTCCTGAAGAATGATAATAATAATAGTCTGGATTTATATAGCTCTTAATGCGGAATACCGTCTCTAAAGTGCTTTACAGATACATGTATTATTACCCCGGTCATTGGATTCATTCATGCACAATGTGCACCATCTCCAGTCCCTGGGGAGTATTCCTACCATATGGTCTCAGTGAGGGCATAATCAATTACTAACATTTCTCTCTTAGGTATTGAGTTGCAAATGTAGATTAATGCCTTGCCAAAGGACATTAGTGCCATGTTGGGGATTGAACCCACGACCTTTGAATTTCAAATGCTGACTGCTTACCTTGACTTCATCTGCATTGGATGTGTAGAGATAGACATGGCTCTCTCCTACTTCATAGTCTAGCTCAACAAAGCTCCAGTCAGCCTAGAAACAAAAACAAATCAAACACAATATATTTAAACCTATTGCTCATTTAAATGGATTCTGGCCTACATATATATCTCTAAACATGTTCGCTTGACAAAGTGATTTTTAAAAATACCAAATTTCTTCGGCAACAAGACTGTGGGAGTAGGTTGAAGTAGTAAAATAAAAAGCAATATCTATTGGTAAAAAACTTGGCTTGACAAAGCAGGTAAGATTTGTATGATAATGTTCTTTTTCCTTGTTTGTTTGTAAGTATTTTGTGTTCATGCACTTTGTATCTTAATATGTAAAGGTGCTTAATACATATCATTATCATTATTACTAATAGTCATTTCCCTTCCCTTTATACAACGACTGTAGATGGTTGACTTACTATGGGTCTAAGGATGAGGTCATCATTGTTCTGTATGAGACGAAGACCATTCTGAGAATGGAACATCCCCTCTCCTAGACACACCTCTATACCCCTCTGCTGGGCGAAGGAGGCCCAGTAATTCAATCGTAAAGCTGGAAACTTGGCTTGGAAGTCTACCAGTCTGCGAGACAAAGGTGTAAAGAGTCCTTACTAACAAGTTCAACTTGGCTTACTAATAGTAAAGACATGTCTTCTAGGAGACAGTACTGTTTCTACAAGAACTACTGAATCTCCAAACTATTAGGCATTTTTCTTAACTTACCCATATTCAACACGACACAGATGAGCTATAATGTCGATGAGGAGTCTTTATTAACGAGTTCAACTTGGCATACTAATAGTAAGAAAGTCTTCTAGGAGATAAGTTCTGTTTCTACAAGAACTACTGATCATGGAATTGACTCTCCAAACTATTAGACAGTTCTCTTAACTTACTCATATTCCACACAATACACATGAGCTATAATGCTGGCTTCAATTTCCCTCCCCATTTTCCAATCTAACTTCCTGAATCTTTTAAAATCATATACAAATTTGATGTATGATAAGTTTTAAAAACTGATATACCGTGCGAGTCAAAAAAAAGTTTACACCTAGAAAATTGCTAATTATTAAAAAAATCATCTATGAACAGTAAAGTATTATACATCTTATGAAAAAGTGTTTTATCCCAAATCATTTGGTATCATTTTTGTGTGGTATGTGTTCACGCTTAGATGAACATGAGGCATTGTTTGCGAGAGTGCAAAAATCGACTTGCGCCAAAGTGATGCCTACAGCATGTATTATATTGGGATTAGCGGAGTGAGAGAATGAATTGAATGTATCAAATGAAATGCATTGGATATGCTTTTTGCAGAAGCAAATTCACAGACACACACACACACACACACAAATGTACGTTGATATTCGATATTTGATATGTGTGGCATGATTAATTTTGTTCGGGATGTTATTTGGATCTGCAAAGACCGAAATAATAGTCAAATCCCGATTGTTTTATTCAAACATCACATAAGCAACTTTGGTGCAAATCGATTTTTGCACTCTCGCAGACAATGCTTCGTGTTCATCCAAGCGTGAACACATACCACACAAAAATGATACCAAATGATTTGGGATTAAACACTCTTTCATAAGATGTATAATCATTTACTGTTCATAGATGATTTTTAAAATAATCAGCAATTTTCTAGGTGTTAACTTTTTTTGACTCACACTGTATGTATAATGCAAAATGAAGACAAGTACAATGAGAGACAATAGAATGTAACTCACGATGAAGCAGTAACTGCAAACATCAACAACAACAACGACATCAGCAGTATTATATGTATTGATAAAAATGCTTCTATTCATCACTACAGATAGCACTGGCAATTGGTACATGTGTACATGTATATCTAAACAATAATTAATTTTTGATTAAAACCTTTCATCTGACTTGAGCAGTGTATTGAACAGTGTATATGAGTTTGGCTAAAACTTGGCAAAAAATTATTGGACATATACAAGCTATCAAATATTCACCAAAAAATATTTTGTTGTGTTGTTTTTCTGTTTGTTTGTTTTACCTGACTGCTAAGACAGCATGTGAAGTCTTGTAAGTAAGAATCCAGGGGACCAACTGCTTGAAGTCCTCTCTAAAAGAATTGGTAATGAGGATTAATGCCTTACCAAAGGGTACTAGCCCATCAAATTGGTTACCTGGGACATCCCGTAGGACCACTTGCTCTACCGCTTTGCCTTCGTGCCTAACTCCTTATATTATTAAATACTAAATATTCCATAATTTGAATTCTTACTTGAAGTGTCTACTGAGCGGAACCTTCTTTGTTACTGTGTTGTTGAAGAGTCTCCCTCTCCTGGTTGGTCTTGTAACATTACCAAGGGTGCAGGACTGTTTGATAGATGGAGAAAAGAGTCATGTTAACAAACAATCTTATCAGTTAACCTGGTCGGTCTTGTAACATTACCAAGGGTGCAGGACTGTTTGATAGATGGAGAAAAGCGTCATGTTAACAAACAATCTTATCAGTTAACCTGGTCAGTCTTGTAACATTACCAAGGGTGCAGGACTGTTTGATAGATGGAGAAAACATTCATGTTAACAAACAATCTAATCAGTTAATCTCCTTGTATGAGATCACTCTATCGGTATGACTAGAATAGTATATTCTCACAAAAGGTTTTCAGGAAAATTTAGCTTTTCTTATAAACTAAATTCTCCTCCTGGCACTTCTTAATCAATTTTTACTGTTCCTTCCTTCCATCGATCCATCCACCCACCCATCCATTTATCCAGTCAGCTATTCATGCATGCATTCATTTACTCATTCATGTTTGCATTCAAGTAAACCAAACAATCAGTCTATCCGCCCATCAATCAATCGTACAAAAAGAATTCAATCATCATAGCCTTCACCCTACACAATGTATATTTAACCTCCAGATTCCACCTCCTCAAACAGAAGTTCACATTCTCCCATTCATTAATTCATGCCATCCACAAACCTGAAAGTTCTGAAGCCATCTCATGGTACTACTGTAGAACAGGCAGGCTGGAGGGTCTTCTTCCTCACCATCCTGCTCAAAGAAATAATACAGCATTGATTTATTATCGGTACATAAAAGTGTCCACCACAAAACAGTGTCATGTACAGTCAAACCTGTCTATAGCAACCACCCAAGGGAAACACAAAAAGTGGTCTTTGAAAACTGGATCCTTTAGTACATGTTTTAATGGGAAACCATTTTCAAGGGAAACAAAAAAATGTGGTCTTTGTAGACAGGTGGTCACTAAAGCAGGTTTGACTGTATATTTTAACCCATTGAGTCTTGAATTCTCTCATTCTCAGAGGTTTGATATCAATTTTGTAGGCAATGAGCTATAATCAGAGTTATTATATTTACACTTGCTACATTTTCCCCACAGTTCTATTCTAAAGTTTCCTTCTATTAAGTACAAACAGGGTATACAAATGTACTTTCGTGCAATCACGTATAGAGAGATATGTAGAGGTGTCAAGGTCGAGTGGATATGTCATATGATTCGTTATGTTTTTGCAAAGTCACAAGCAATATTGAATAAAGATGATTTTATTGAAGAAAAAAAGAAGAAAAGAAGATATGTCACAAGACTATGGATCACAAGGTCCGCGGTTCGAGTCCGGCCGCGGCACTAATGTCCTTTGGCAAGACATTGATCTACATTTGCCACACTCAACCCAGGTGAGGTAATTGGGTACCAGGTAGGATTATTCCTTGAAATGCACTGTGCGCTGATAATGGCTGCCAGAGCTAAAGCTAGGGTAATAATTTCCTGAAGCTCTTTGGAAGCGCATAGGGACGTTAACTTTAATATGCGCTATACAAGAACTGAATATTATTATTAACTTAGCAACCAATCCGTATAATTTCAATCTTTAATCGTATTATTGTTTAGACCAACAGGGCCCATGTGGAAAGCAGTTTGGTAACTGACAATGCTACTCTTTAAAAAATAAACTACAAATTCATATAATCCAGTTACCTTAGGCCCTTTGAGTTCCAAGGACATCCTGAGGTTAAGATTCTGCGACCTGAAAGCCCCATACGAGTCATGAACCTGCAATCAGGTAAAAAGACAAAAGAAATAACAGATAGATTTTTGTTAGGACTAATTCACTTTCTGTACAGCCATCAAAACTACTCATTGGGGGAGGGGGCAGATGCTGCATTCATCTTCCATTTTAATTGGTGATGATAATAACCAAAAATATGACTATAACATGCATCTGATACTTACAAGCAGCATCTAACATGCATCTGTATGATTGTCTCACATTCTATAATTACCATGGACAGAAAATCAACAGTAATTGCAGTAGCTGACTCTTTGTCAGTTGCTATTTTGAGAAATTCCATTATAAGACAAAAATACCAGTTTGCAGTTAGCACACACCAAAAAATTAACCCCCAAATATTCACAGATCTCTTAAACAAGGAGAAGCCCACTTTGTGCACTTTAGAATAATCACTGCCAAAGTGATGGAGGTGCTTCATGAATATGTATTGTTTGCCCTCCAGAGAAGTATAACCCCCCCCCCCCCTGTGTATCAGAAAATGTACACTGTACCATCAGTGCTTAAATGAATGATGATTTCATAACTTCATGAGCAGATATCTAGTATTCACCGCCATGGGTTTTACAATTCTGTACAAATTACCTTTTTTTCTGCCCATATGCAGTATCTACAAACTGGCTTATTTTCTACTCAAAGCCAGAAGGGTATCAACACTGTTTAAAGGTATGAGTCTTCACCATCTGGCTCTCTGCAGATAGATATCTAAACTTCTTCAATATATAAGGACCCTGTAACTACCTTGCCCCTCCTTTGGTAAGCAAAGTACACCAACTGCATTAGACAGGTAAATTGAACCATTTCACCATTCTATGCCAACTGAGTTTCCTCTTAACCATAGTTGGAATTTGATACTTTATCCTACCAGTGAACCTTCGCAGCAAAAATTAGGAATCTCACAAGTCAAAATTAGGAATACAGACTATTTTGTAATCTTTTCACACATAATATTACAAAAAGAGAGGAATGTAGGGTTCAAAACAATAGCTTGAAGACCAAAATATAGGAATCATTCCTCCAAAATAGGAGTAGTGAGCAACTTTGCTTTTTATCCAAGCTTCAAAAGTGGAACACTGGATATTTTCTGCTGGATCATTGCTGAGGGGTGTCATCACCACTAACCTGAGTGATGGAATGAGCTGGGACCTTGTCTGGCGCACATGGCATGATGCTGTGATGATCGTTACAGTCTCCATTAGTTAACCATTCAATGCCGATGCTGCAAAATATTGATAGGAATGAGATTCTCAATGTTTCAATCATTCATTCATTGCTAATATGCAAACATTCATTCTGCCTTCAAATGTGTCAAGGTACACATATAAACCTGGAAATTGAAGAAAAGTTCTAACATTTGTCTTGTTACTACAGTAACTGTCACTTTCCTGCATCAAGTAACAAAACTAAAGTGATGTAAATAAAAATAAAAAAACATGGTACATTTTACTTTATCTGAGTCACACATGTTGTCAGTGACACCAAGCTCTACACTTGTGGGACAAAAGAGGCAAGGATTGGAAAAGAAGACCTGTACTTCATTGTTATACTTATACAGTTAATCTTTTACTTTAGTGACATCTATCTGACTATCTAATTTCTGCCTTGAATTGATGGAACAATCATTCATGTGTTGAATTATTATTATATCTTTATTGCAACCAAAACATGAGGTTGGAATAAAAATAAATATAAAAATACAATTTGATAGATGAAATTGGTAGAAACAAATAATGTACACAAAGTCAAATAAACTGCAGTCTGATACATAAATATATGAATAACCATGTGCGACAATCAAATGACTACACTTTATAACATAAATTAAAGTAAGCTAACGAGTATATACCTGTAATATAAAGTATAATTTATAATGATTGTAAATAGTATTGAATCAAACTCACTCCCATCTGAACTTGGGCAAGTGGATGAGTCTGACATCATCATACTTGGATGCAGTCCTTACAAAGATGTCCAGGTTACCCTTGATTAAGAAATGGGCTGAAGAAAAAAGAAACAAAAAATGAAACAATAATAATAATAATGATAATTATATCAATTCATTTAGCGCAGCTGCTATAAAAAAACACTCTACTGCTCTGTCATGAAAACAGGATTCCTTAACAGTAAGTAATACATACGGACACACAATATAAAAAGCCATCCAAAAGTTCCTGAAAACAAGTGCATCTTCAACAAAACTTTGCAGACAGCAACAGATGAGGCTTTTCTCATATCTAGTGCTAGGTCATTCCAAAGATGGGGAGTGATGCAACTGAAAGCACAATCTCCAAGAGTTACTTTATTTTTGTGTGAAGTAGCTTTAGAAGCAGCTTGTCCAAACTCTTCACTATTAACATACTAAACAAGACATAACAATTGTAGAATTGTAGAAATATCCAAAGTAAGACTCAGCATAATTTCTAAAACTTAAAAAAAAAATTCTTTTATATCAGTGCAAAACAATGACATTCCTGTATAATTTTGAAGATAAAATAAAATGAAATAGAAATACATGTTGTGTATTGTGTGGAAGAGGATCTCAATCATTTATATCAGATAATTCTCTACATCACATTGATTTGCAATTCAATTTTTTTTTTCCTTACTACATCTGCTCTACATGTATTTTGAGGGTAACAAGGACAAAACTACATAAATGAGGTATAAATTTCCTCAAAATATTCAAATCCATACCATTGGTCCAATCCAGATAGATATCGCTCCACTCCCAGTCGAGTTGCTCGGTGGTGTTGTAGGGATCTTTGGTTGTAAGCCACATCATGTTGCATTGCTCCAGCGAGATGGTAAGCCGACCATGGAAGAGGAGGCGGACCTTGTCCCAGAAGGGGAGGGGCTTGCTGGGGTCAACGGAGGGTCGGTTGAGTAGGTTCATGGCTAGGTTGACCTGACCCCAGGCTGGCTCCATGCTGGGACCATATGCCATGCTCATCTCAGTCGCATCTACATGCGTGATGGATGGTAGAGTGGAATTGTACAGGGAGAATATAATTTTTACTGGCTAATAATACATGCTTGCATCAGATGTTCTTTGGAGACAACAATTGCATTCATTTGTAAATGTTCATCATCATCATTTTCATCATCACGATCAATATCACAATCATTATCATTATCATAATCATCATAATCCTCGTCTCTAACATCATCATCACTATCGCAAACACCATCATCCTTGTCCTTCTCCTCATCATCATTGTTGTTTTCATCATCATCACTATTATCATCATCATAACATCATCATCATCATCATCATCACCATCACCATCCTCCTCCTTACCATCATCACCATCATCATCATCATCACCATCCTCCTATCAACAACAACAACAACAACAACAACAACAACAACAACAACAACAACAACAACATCATCATCATCATCATCATCATCATCATCATCATCATCGTCGCCGTCATCATCATCACCATCCTCCTTATCATCATCGTCATCATAGCCAACATCATCATCATCATCATCATCATCATCATCAACATCATCCTCTTTATCATCATCGTCATCATAGCCATCATCATCATCATCATCATCAACACCATACTCCTTATCATCATCGTCATCATAGCCACCATCATCATCATTTACACCATACTCCTTATTATCATCGTCATCATAGCCAACATTATCATCATCATCGTCATCATCAACACCATACTCCTATATACTCCTTATCATACTCCTTATCATCATTGTCATCATAGCCATCATCATCATCATCATCATCATCATCATCAACACCATACTCCTTATCATCATCGTCATCATAGCCAACATCATCATCATCATCATCATCATCATCATCATCATCATTATCATCATCATCATTATCATCATCATCATTATCATCATTGTCATCATAGCCAACATCATCATCATCACAACCACCATGAGCATCATCTTCATTATCAAGTTTGAAGTCAAATCAATCTTATGCCGTATTGAACAGCATATACTCACCTGTAGTCATATCATGGAAGAACTTGAGTGGTGGCATACTGCGAGTGACCTTCACATCCTGCCAGGGTTCACTTATCTTAACCAGACCTTCGCGCTTAGCTGAAAGAAACATTTGAAAGAGAATGGATATTAAACAAATTAATTAAGAAATGTGCATGGCAGAAGTGATTACAAGAATGCTGCAACTGCATCGTCTCAGGCATCCTAGAGAAACCTGCTTGTGCATGTAGTGTGCTTTTGCAATTCACTAGAGGCTTTTAAAGCATTTTGGTTATAAAGGAAGTTATCATAAAGTACAGGGATACATATTTCTTTAGAACGTTCAAGTAGAGAAATCATGAAACAATCAAGTTCTCCTTATAATGCTAGAGCCAGGGCAATAATTTCACAGCTTTGTGGAAACGCATTGAGATATTACATACCAATGTCACATGCACTATACAAGAAATAAAATACTATTTATATATTCAAAAGAATAAAATATTGAAGCCTGTCAACAATCTGCAACAAGTTCAGTGGATAATCTCTCAGTTGGAGTGAGAACTGTTGAACCTGCCCGATCCAATCCTCAACTTGGTGGCCCACTGTGTTCAGCTCTAACCAGCTTGCCCCACCAGTGCCAGTCACCAATCTGCCACATGTTCAAGGGATTACCTCTCAGTTTCAGAGAGAACTGTTCGACCAGCCCCGCTTCACCCCTATGCCACCCCTCACCATCTACTTGTCCCTGTGCTTACCTCTTGGTGGCCCAGTCTGTTCAGCTCCAACCAGCTTGCCCCACCAGTGCCAGTCACCAATCTGCCACATGTTCAAGGGATAATCTCTGAGCTTCAGAGAGAACTGCTTGACATGGCCTCTAACCATTCGACACCACAATGTACTGAACTCTGTATCCTCTGAGGGTGGTGGACTGAGGAGAAAGAACAGTGAATGTAAGTTTATCAAAAGAATTATCAAAAGAGCCATAATGAAGCAAAGTTATCACAAAGAAATTACTTTAGCAAACAACAAAGTATACTGCACATACAGAATTATTATTTGAAATAAATGTACACATGTAACGTGAAACAGTATGAACATTCTTGAACATACATAAATTACAGATTCTGAAAAATCTGGAAAAGTATATCTACTCTGCTCTGAAATGGTTCAAAAGCAATCAATAGCTAAAATCAATCATTAATTTCAAGAATCGATAGCTATAAAAACACTCTTCCAATCTTTCTCTACTCATGCAATACACACTTGTTTTTAATCTAGGACCTCCCTGGCCCGAAGACAACCAGCTTTCGTTTTACATACCGTGCATTTTAAGTATAAATCTAAATATCTCTTGAAGAATTTACACTCCCCTAAATAAGCACGGCAGAAAACATTTCATTCCTTCTTCTCTTGACATATCCATTTTAAGGCATTGTTTAACAAAGTTAATTAAATCTGAGATGCACGGCCCTACGCGTGTTATCAGTGTCTGTGATATGGTATAATATTGAAGCCCTGTGAGTGACTGGTTTTACCATACTCGTTTACCCCAATAGACTGTAGTGTTATGAAAACCGTAATTTCGATTTCCAATCATAATATCTTGATAATCAGACAGGTGATCGGCTTGTAAAAGTCATGGGGTTCCTGACTGACCTAAAGGTTTATAATTATTATTGCAGCATGAGCTAAATCCAGGATTTTGTTTCAGAATCTGAGACAAAGTTACCCAATCCCTTTAATCCCATCATCAGTCCCTATCCCATGCTTACCTTGCCCCATCTATCTCTTTCATGTGTCGTAGGATGCTCTCTCTGCCGTTCATAGACTCGTCTGCGAGGGCGCTAATCTCTACTCCTGTCAAGGTCAAGGTCATCAGAACCTTCCTTCGTGGAGTGGACGCGTACAGCCTCTGAGATCGCTTCAAGAAGATCTCAATGTTCTTCTTCTCCAGGGAGATGTACAGCTCCTCAATCTTCTTGGCTGTAAAGGAAAGAACATACATGAGATTAAGAGCAGTCTATATTACTACATGAGTACAACCTTAAATTACACTTTTGATCCATAAAATTGAGTACCATTGTAGAAAGTTTTTAAGTGCCATTTTCAATCCAGATATGACACGCAAAGAAGTAGATAAATTAGTTTAGAGTGGTACAATCCTAACTACATGTAATGGAATTTAAGTGAAGATATTGGCCAAAATATCCTATCTCCTCCTTCACAAATCAAAATCTTAAACATATAGATCTCCAGTCTCAAATCAATTACAGGAATTCATCAAAACTTCGAGGCCACAATAATTTTTACAATGTGGAATCTCTAACATTTGACAAGATTTCATAATTCAATGTTCAATTTGACATTTACTGCAGTGAACACTGATGAAACAACATGGGTCATGAGTTATGATGTGCAGACGGCCATGATTCGCGGACACCGGACTTGGTGAAAATACCATTAATAAATGTAAAGGTCTGCACACAGCAAACGCTGGGCCTATCAAGAAATACCCCCTAGTCTCTCGGAGAGCCTTTGAGGGAAAAGAAAGATACTGACTTTACTATATGGACATGCAAAGCATTACATAAGGCCTGTTGGTCATCAAACTGAAGGCTAATTCTGGTGATTGACAACACCTGTTTTGGGGCAAAAACCTGAATTGCCTCGATTTCCCCATGAGAGCCCACTCCTATGTGTCTTTAAGCCCGTCTGTACTAGTTTGGCCAGGAGGGATTAGACCACCCAGCATGGTCACTGACAGGTGGCTATCTCATCAACTCAGCTCTCAACAATCAACATAGGAAAAAGAGGATCATGGGAGACCAATGGGCACCGCTTAGGCATTGTTCTCTATATAGAGGGAGCAAGTACCTACAAGTAGAGCAGTGGGGCTTTAAAGGGAAAGTCCACCCCCAAAATAAGTTTGTTTCGATAGAGGCAGAATAATAAGAAAATCAGGTGAGTGAAAGTTTGAGCAAATTCTGAATGAAAATAAGAAAGTTATGAATTATTGAAGTTGTGATCAATCAAATACAAATTGGCAACTCTGTGACTTATTATACGAGCTCTCCTTCATTTGCTTTGTGCATAATATTCCATAAAATCATGTTTTCTTCGTTGTTGATGACGGAATATATATTTGTTCCTTGCAGGGGGAGTATAGAAACACATTTGCAATTATTATATTTAGGGTGCATGTATGGTTGAAATTTTTCTTGAGGGAAAATGAAAATTTTAGATTTTTTTAGTACTGAGCAAATGGAAGTTGAGCTCGCATGATACGTCATAGAGTTGCCAATTTGTGTTTGATTGATCACAACTTCAAAAATCCTAACTTCCTTATTTTTAATCGGAATTTGCTCAAACTTTCACTGACTTGTTTCTCTTATTTTTCTACTCCTATTAAAACTAACTTAATTTCAGGGTGGACTTCCCCTTTAATACAAACCTGGTAGAAACTGGCCATGATTCCTTTTGAGTCCTTCCACCTTGTTGTCCAGGAGTTCTCTCCTATGTTCACTCTCGGCTCGCTCATCTTTTATCAGCTACAAAGAAGACAGGACAGAAAGTAGGCAATTTTGAGGCATTTGAAAGGATTTCAGATTTAACATTAGCAAATTTGAAGAAAATGAGGGAGGGTAACAAATCATAGCAATACCTCTGAACATATAAGAAAAGGAGATGCTATAAATTCTCTAAAACATTTAGGTACTGATACAGTGAACATTTATTGGAAGGATATTTGTTTGAAGATCATTAAGGTATAATGCTACTTTATACACCGTAACTGAGTATTTACATAGATGAATGGCACAAAAACTACACTACACACTGCCAAAATTAGGATTGGAGCAAGAGCCTCAAACTCATTCCTAATTTTAACCTTTCCCCTTTTTGAAATCACAGATCTAAGGAATATAACATTAGAGATTGAACAGCGATGGCACAAACATGTGCAAGTAGTAATCATGACTAATGCAAAACTCTCAAATTATTGATAGTCCCCTTTCTAGATAACATTTATGGAAGGAATATAATACAGCACTCACCTCATAGTTATCTCCAATCTTCACCTCGAACGGATCATCATTCATCTGGATCTTGATTACCTGCATAATAATAATAATAATAATAATAATAAATTATATAGCGCATTTTCCATATTCATGTTCAAATGCGCTTGACAGTTATACTATTAACAGGTGTTGAGAGGTGCTGGTTGTGAAGAAATCTGGGTAGGTTATTCCACACTTTAGGAGCAGCAGTTATGAATACTGTCACCAAGTGTAAGAAGCGTCTTGGGAGACGGGTGGTTCAGCATGATGCCCAGAGAGGAGTGAAGGGAGTAGCGGGATGGTTGCCCGATTAGAAATTAGAAATTAAAATCATATAATAACCATCAAGAGTTTCCATCAAAAACCATTAAAATAAGAATTGAACATAATGGGACCTGCCCTTAATGATCTTGTGTCCTTTTTTTGTTAGTACAGTACAGTGGAATCGTAAAGCTACACGTATGGAAGTCAACATAAATAGTCATGTACATGTAATGTCTATTTTCAAAATTAAAATGTGAATATAAAATTGGGAAGTGACATGACTGAAATAAGGCAAGACATGCACAAGGAAACAAATAAAATACAACCCTTGAGTTGATAAACAAATAACAAAAATAATGTGTTTCTCATCCTAACTTTACAAAAAAAGGAGGAGGCATGGCAATTGTTTTAATTTTTTTCTTCCAAGATGGCTGCCATGCTAATTATGCAATGTAGCTGGCCTAGCCTATTTATTTACAGATATTGTGCTTTGTGAGTAAACTGATGCAATCTATGACAAAACAAATGATTTTTATCACCTTAAAAGAAATAAACAAAACGAATATCACAGGCTTTTTTTTCCTTCTGAATAGTAAATAGTAAAAAAAAAAGGAGGCGGGCGGAGACGAGAAACACTTCATTTTTTTAATTTGGCCTAACACTCTTCATAAAACATATTTGCCTAACCAAAATGTTCAGATGGCTGAATATGTTCTTACCTGTGCCCTAATAAGGATGTCAGCATAGAGCTTCTCCTCACCAACACGCTTCTTAGGATGTAATAACTTCAACCACTTCCGGATGTTGATGATCTGTACAAAAAAAAATGGAATTGAAATGAAATATCATTTTTTTGTTTCTCCAAATCACAGATGTCATGACACATTTACTAAGCAACACTGTGCTGTTCATCGGTTTTAATTACTAAGTACATAAATAGGGCACAACTGTCAACGTAACATCAAATATGATTTGATTTGAAATGAAATGAATTAGCATTTAATTTTGGTTCAGTCGTACAAACTCTGAGGTCAGCCTTTATTTTACTGCTTTGATGTTTTTTGTTGTGTGGGTGAAGGGTATAGGTAATGATAACTTATAAATATAGTAGTCTATGTCTATTTTCAAAATATATGATAAATCATAGACCTGTTAGGTAAATCTCATCAAATACTGAATTGTTGGTGTAACAGATTATTTCCCAGTAAGTGTCTCATACATGCCTACCTCAGTGTAGTTGTCTGCAAAGTCATACTGATCGGGAAACTCAATCTCAAGAGATCTCATGAAGATACCCCTATGAATGAGAGAGGGAGAAAAAGAAAGAGAAAGAGAGAGAGAAAGAGAAAGAACGAGAGAAAGAAAGAGAGAAAGAAACATTAAATCAGATTGCATAAAGAAAAGTTTACTAGTTTACAATTTATTCACATGAAGATGTCTTGAGATGAGCTATACACACAGTGATATTTTTCTCCTGCATACATTCAAACTGATCTGTGGAAGCTGAACCATACATGTATATTTTCTTTTGATGTATAATACTTCTATACTTATGTTTGTGTATTAAAATGTATCATAAATAATTGAGAAGCAAGGTGATAAATAAATGACGAACTACAAATGTGATGAATATCTGTGCTATAGTAATATTAAAGAAAAAAGAACAAGAACATTTAATACATCAACTCTAAAATGGTGATGACCATTCAAAAAAATTATCAAATTTCGTCTTGATATGATTGACAGCTAAGCAAACAACATACTACAGGGTATGTTAGGTACAATGTATGTCCTGTTAATATCAAAGAGAGAGGTAAATGTTACAACAAAGGAATGTACAGTTGGTGATGAACAAAGTGCTCATTGTATATTTATGGTGTAGTTTTCACCATAGCAGTATTTATGAAATTGACTAGCAAGGTTATTAGGCAGTGTCACACAGAAAAATCCCTTAAAAAATCTTCTTGCTTCGTTACAGGATTTTTAATGGGATAATTGATGACAGACAGAAATTAAGAGGATAACTAAAATCTGGATAACTAAAATCCAGATTTTTGGCCTCTGTGTGATACCGCCTGGTATTTCCTATCATCAACCAGGTTGATTTCATCCTGTAATGTACCACATGAAAATGTGATAGGTGCATATTTATGGTGTAGTTTTCACTATTGAGGTATTTATGAAATCAACTAGCAAGGCTGGTATTTCCTGTCATCAACCTGCCTGGTTAATTTCATCCTGTAATGTACTTCATGGGAATGTGATCAGTGGGCACCATGGCCTACATTTGCAATGAAATATGCTCCGAAGAAAAAATTGCCACCCATCTCTCCCAAAAGAAGAGAATATTCATGCATTGGTCTTCAAAACTAATTTCAAGAACAGACTTAAAAAGTAACTAGACTCATGGCCAAATAAAGAAAGTGTAGTCATGAAGAATGATAAAGCAGAAGAAGGAAAAGGGGGTCCAATACACGTATGTAAATAACTGTGAAGGAACATACAAAATAGAAAACATGCACAGAGATTAAGCAAAAGAAACATGAACAAAAAGTTATATGAGTTAATGCCCTTCTGGCTCTGCACAGATGATACCCAAAAATCCAATAAAATGGATGCATAACAAACTATAAAAAATGCTGATACAAAATATAAAGATAACATATACTTTGAGTATTAAGGAAGTAGGAGATGTGCTTTAAAAATTGTAGAAAATATCTGAGAAAAAAAGAAGAATTGTTTTGGACTATTTTTTAAATATTTTTTTTAATTACCATGCTCTGTTGGTTGTTGATTGTAGATGGCTGAAGCTCATTCTGTCTTCAAGTAGCTGTGGGTGGTCTACAAGCTTCTCTATACAGGCAGCCTGACGAAGAAAATAGTTGGATGAATTTACTTCAATAATGTTCCAACGTCATTCACTCTCACAAAATTGAATGTACAGTCAAAAGAAACCTCATCCCAAGAAATAACAAAAAGCAACAGTAAACAAAGGGCAAGAGGCAATATTGTAGGGGTAAGAATACCCCATACCCCAACAATGTAAAACATTGATCCATATGCTTATTTTCTACTTAGTGTTTTATCATACAGCAATATAAAGCACATCATTTTTTTCAAATTCTATCTTAAAGCTATTTATAGCCTCATGTTTGAACCTTTTAAATATTAAAAGACAGAAAAATAAGAGATAATACCAAGGGTAACCATGTCTATCTATTTGGTCTTGTTTAAAGGTAAAGACCAGTTATGGTCATGCGATTGCATGGTGAAAGAAACGTTGTGAAATCGATCAGAAAAGGTTGATCATCTAGCATACATGTAGACGTACTACAAGGTTCTGGAATCATCAAAATGATAAGAAATTTGGCCAAGTCTTCATAAAGTTAGAAGCACTGTACACAGAAAGATGTATATGGGACTACACACACGTGCATTTCATATCTCTCAACAGGCAAGAGATATACTAATTTACCAAATATATCAATTAGTAGGTGGTTTCCCGTCAAAATTTGTATCATCATGTAATATTCAAAACATATTCTTTCACATAATTGGTCATAAGAGCTTCCATTTCAATTTTTTAAATTGGGGCGTTTCCATTACTGGTCTTTACCTTTAACAAGGGTTGCTTATGTTTCATCAGTGAATTCATCACTGTTTTGCAAGAAAACCTTCAGTTATTAGACCAAGAAACATGAATTGAGAAAGAACAAATTTACCTTGACAACAAAGAGATGATAGTCATCAAAACCAAGAATGACCTCTGTGGATGTGACCTTCAGAACCTTGGAGCCCTCTTTCACTAGATACAGCTCCTTGGCTTGCACAAAATTTCTAAAAAATGAAACAAACAATGAAAAAAAGAAAAGAATTATATTTAATTACTTGTTACATGATATATGAACAGAGATCATATAAATGCACAGACGGTTCCATGACATTTGCTCCGACGACAATTGCTCCGCTGTAAATTTCATACACTAATCGAATGGCTAACTTCAACCCTGGATTCAACACTATACCCTACCCTAAACCTAACCCTAAACCTAACATAAAACCCTATTGAAACCCTAACCCTAACCCTACATCTTAGACGAAATAAAGCCCGGAGCAATTGTCGCAGGAGCAAATGTCGTGTCACCGCACAGACATATGGCTGTGTGACCAAAGTTCTAAAACCTAAGTTCGCTATCTCAAAATATTGGTAAAATTTCGAAAACCAGATATCACCAATGGAAAGAGGAACATCAATTTATGGAAATCTTCATTTTGAGAGCAGATATCCTCAAAATTTTAAGTAATAAGTGGTACCGACTGATTGTGTATCTTGCCTTGCAAGTTATGAAATTACCTTATTCTTGATGGATCATATTTTTTATAAATCAGCGTGAAGTTAGGTCTTTTTTAGATGCAGCGCATGCATGATCGGACATCAAGTTTTTAGATATCGATATCTCCTAAATCCTTTAACGATAAATGTTATAGTTGAACCAATTTGTAGTAAAATACTTTGCGGTCCATTTGGTATTCATTAAAATAAATAAATTTATGTAGAATATAAGAAATCATGGATCGAATATCACATTTTCTAATATGTTTTAAAATCTCTGTGAACTTTGGTCACCCCTTCATACATGTTACGTGACTGCCCCCTCCCATACTTACTTGTGCTTGGAGGAAAGCTTGTAGTGAAACTCAACCAGTCTGACTTTCATCACAGCGTTGATACCTGGGGATGAGGGAGATGGGGAGGTCGTTGATGTCGTGGACTCTGAGCTACATGCTCCGCTGTCTCCCGCACCTTGCAAGGTCCCTGCAGTCAAAAATACACCAACACAAAGTTCATGATATAGATTTTTGATCAATTGACTGGGGAAGTTATGGACTTCAACTTCATTGCCATTGACAAATGATCTTTCCCGGCTTAGGATGACTTATGAATGAAGTACTGGACTGAACAGTTAACTTTGGCATGCTTACATGTGCAGTGTACATGTATTAATCATCTAAACATGTGGAAGTCTAAAGTTTTGAACTAAAGCGAGTAAATTGTAATGACAGAAATAAACAGTATACAAGTTGTAAGATGCTCATATCCTGGGAAATCATGAAATAGCAGAATAATGTGGTTACACATGTTACAAAGCAATAGTGAAGAAGAATGCGTAGATGTTTTCAAAGGACAGTTTTACAACAAAAGGGAAACAGTGCCTGTACATCAAGTTAAATGAATGAATGAATCTACAATAATAATAACAACAATTCATTTATAAAGCACTTTTCATACAATACAAAGTGCATTGAAATCCAATGACTACCTAATCAATTTATTTTCACTTTGATGGAAACAATTGCCCAGATTAAACAAATATACTTAAGTTTGTATTTGGTGTACATGCAGTTTCTTGTTTCGTTACCTTTGAGTTCATTTGCAAACGCTTGCAACTCTTTGACGTGATGGTAGACGGTCATGTGACTTGATGTATCCCATGATGCCTTGATCCCTTCAGGAAGCTGCACCGTCATGTTCTGCATAATGAAGGAGAAGACATGCAAAGGGGATTTATTCAAACAGACATGATTATCCATCAATCTATTCTCTACTACCAGCCACAAATCTCCATGAATAAGATCGGTTGTACACATTGTACAACGCATGCCCCAGCAATAATTGCTCTGCAGTCAATTTTCTTACATTTACCGAACTCCCAACTTCACCCCTGGACTAAACACTATACCTATTCAAATTAAACCTATATCTACATATTTGAGGAAATGAAAATATGTTGATGTAAATATGTCTGACAGAGAAAACTTATATAAGTATACGGGAGTATATCAAATATAGTGATGGGTGTTTATAGATTATAAGAATCTGAAAATAAAATTGAATATTAATTGAGTACTGGGAAAAGATTAAACAATGTACTATGATAGAAATGCTTTCTTTGTATTGAACTTAAATGAATTGAGGGTTTGACATGATTCGATTGAGTTTGGGGTGTATACCAGTTATTTATTTATTTATTTATTTCTAATCTTTTGACAGGGTAGCCCATTCACCAACAAGTAGTGGTCTTCCATGGGGCCCTGAATAAACATGAACATATTTACATAGTTTATAACATTTATACAGAACAGTTACAAAAATAATACTCGTTTGCAAAATAAACATATATCATTAACCTAGTAAACAGTAATGTCAATAGGAAAATATTAATTAAGTCGCAATTATGTGAATAAGTCATGTAAATATTACAGAACATGCACGTAGTGGATGTCCCGCTGAGCCCTTCACAAATTACAACTACAGAGGAAACCATAATCTTTGACACATAAGTAAGACAGAGCTACATGTATATGAAGTGCATCGACTGTGCAAAAATGCACTTTATCCACTATGATTTCCACATTTCCAAAGATTGGAAAACATTGTGTTAAAGAGATGTCAAGTTACATGACCTTTTCAGCTGCTGCATACTGTGTTGAGACTTCCTTGACTTGCAACAAACCCTCAGGTAACTTGGCATACTTTTGACAGTTGAGAACCTGATTGGACAACAGAAAAAAATTATAAATTTTTAAAAAGAATTCAGGACAAATTAAAAATCAACTTTTCTGACGCTTCACACACTTATCTAAGTAAACATGATGTATGAACAACAATACTTGAAAAACAAATTTAATTGAACAAAACAAAATTACTGAGCATATCATTTACAATTAAGGCAATTTGGCTCATTGGTATTAAGGCGATTGTTACATGTAGGTCCCCAGAAGGTCCTTGCTTCATAACCAAGTCTAAAGTGCTAGAACCCTTTGGAAAGTTATCAATCATCAGTTACGTAGTCCCTTGCATATGACATAGAGCTGTAGGTCCCCTGGATTCTCAACTACAAGCATATACTTGATTACTCTATAGCAGTCAGGTAAAAGTATATTTGTAAAGCACTTAGAGACATTTGTATTAAGCACTATATAAAAATTAAATATTATTATTATTATTATCAACCCATGCAGTTCTGTAGATGATAGAGTGCATTTATTTGCCGAGGTGTTGTGGTCAAGTGGATACGTCACCGGACTGTGAATCTCAAGGTCTGCGGTTTGAGTCCTGCAGCAGAACTGTATTCCTTTGACAAGACATTAATCTAAATTTGCCACACGCGACCCAGGTGATGTGAATGGATACCTGGCAGGAATTAATTCCTTGAAATGCTAGAGCGCCGTTATGGCAGCCATGCTAAAGCCGGGTAATAATTGCGGAGCGCCAGGAGTGTCGAGTGTGACAGATATGAGCGCTATACAAGAACCCAGGATTATCATTATTATAGTAGCACCGCAGCAAAGAGATACGTAACTCACTTTTGTCTCCTTCTTGATGATGAGGAACTTGAGACCATCTACCGCTGACATTGATTCTGTAGTACCTGAAGTCATCTCAATCACGTCCATGTGTACCAATAGACTCTCTGTACAGAATTGAAACATGCCATAAAACACTTTAAAATATTTATTAAAAAAAGAATTATAGAACATAATGGAAACATCAAAGGCTCTACAGATAAAGACTTGATAAAAATTAATGTACAGGTAAAGCCTATGAACATGTAGAAGAAATGTGTGGAACGAGAGTCTTAGAAAGTTACTAGTAACATGTTGCCCATCTCCATGTGTCATGGTATTACATGTACCATATATATATCTTTAAGTAAGACTGTAATAAAATATTACGTTATTAACAAGTAACATAAAATAATTGAATTTCAATGGCCATCTGTTATTGGATGACTTTTTTCAACTTCATTTTGGCCCTTTTGAATCCCCCTACTATTTAAAGCAACAGTCCTCCTACTAGCCTGGGAGGGTGTTTCACAAAGATCCAAAGTCTAACTTAACTCTAAGTTGGATTTAAAAATAGTAGAGAGCCATTTGTAGTCTTATAATATATTCAAAAGTGAAAAATTAAGTATTTTAGACTTTTTATTAATTTAACATCAAGAACATGAAATCTCCTTGATAATAGAAATTATGAACAATTTGAATCAACATGTTACTTATGCTTTTAAAAAAAAATTTACAAAATATTTCATAAATGCTAACGGCTTTCCATAATTGTTAAGTCCAACTTAGAGATAAGTTCAACTTAGGATCTTTGTGAAACACCCCCAGGTTTGCATTGGTTAATCTTAGATGGCTTAAAAGGAAGTCCCTTACCTTTGATGGAGCTGGTGAAAAATGCATTGAAGTCATCCAACCTGAGAGCAAACCTATGCTTCCTACCAGACCTGCCCATGGTAGGATCAACCTTGACCTTCCTCCGATGATTACTGGAGGGGTGCAGCGATGCCCCCCTCAGGTCCACCATGGTCTTCAGGACATGCTGGATGATGAGATGGAGGGACGGGGAGCTCTCAAGCTGGAGGGAGTGCACTGAGCACTCCACGTCCACCAGGAGCTGGGATAGGTCCATCTGGAGAGTTGAGAAGAAAAAGTCTTGAAAGATAAAACGTATGTTTAATGTATTGTATGTGCATATATAAAGCACCATTACCATATTAATAATGAACCTGTTAATATACAGCAGGCTTGTGGATGCACCATGTGAGAGAGAGAGGGAGGATTGAGGAGTCCTGAAAAGGACTCTCTGTAATCTTTCTTGAGGACTACACACCCTCAAGAAAGATTACAGAGAGTCCTTTTCAGGACTCCTCAATCCTCCCTCTCTCTCACACGGTGCATTTGCAAGCCTACTGTATATCTACATCACCATGCAAGCAGATACTTACAAGCAGCATCGAACCTGTTAATGCAGGACAGAATACTGACAACATGGAGCATCATATCAGAACCTAATAGGGACAAGACCTGTACTTTGCATTGGGGTACATTTGCTAATAAAAAGTAATTACTACTATACATACATCAATACAATCAATCAAGTGACGCTTCAAGAATTGATAAATATGTTACACACTTATCCGTCTTGTAATTATGGGAGCAAGGAGACTGTAGAAACAAATATCTATAAAACTCTGTATAAAAATGAAACTAGATTGAACTTCTACTGCGCGCAGTCGAAAATGATGCCTCCGTTATAGAGCAATTTTACAAACCAAAACAGAAGAAATTTTTCAAATTCAAGTTCAATTGTAATCCATTAACAGGTTCTCAGAATATCGTGATTACAAGCAATTTCTCCTATACATATTTGACCCTTTGATCTTTGACCTCATGACCCTAAAATCTACTCAGTTCATTGGCTCTGCAAGATGTCCTGAGTTGAATAGTAATCCATCTGTCAGTTCTAATGAGAATGCGTTCACAAGCTATTTTTGCAAACATAATGAGCCCATGACCTTTGACATTATGAACTAAGAATCTACTCAGTCTATTGGCTCTGCAAGATACATAAATGATCTAAGTTTGGCAGAAATCCATCAATCTGTTCTAATGATAATGCGATCACAAGCTATTTTTGCATACATAATGAGCCGCATGACCTTTGACCTTGACCTCGTGACCCCAAAATCTAATCAGTTCATTGGCTATGCAAGTAACATACATGACCTAGGTTTGGCAGGAATCCATCAATCGGTTCTTGAGATAACGCGATCATGAGCTGTGTTTGCATACATAATGAGCCCTGTGACCTTTGACCTTTGATCTCGTTACCCCAAAATCTAATCAGTTCATTGGCTCTGCAAGATACATACATGACCAAAGTTTGGCAGGAATCCATCAATCAGTTCTTCAGATAACGCGATCACGAGAACGGAACCTACGTACGGACGGACAACCAGAAAACATAATGCCACCGGCTACTTCGTAAAGGAGGCATAAAAAAGCAACTGTAAAAACCAAGATAGATGAGGATGTAAAAAAAATACCTTAGCATCAAGGGCTTCTATTGCACACACAGTTCCCCAGACATGTCTTGTTGGAAGCATTGCTCCAGAGGGGGTGCGCACTGACTCACCCACCAGCAGATACAGCTGTTCACTATGCATACTCCCTCTGGAAAATATGAAAGAAACGACATGAAACAAACATAAATACAATGTGGAAACCCAGAAAGTGGCATTCTGGAAGAAGGGGGTGACAGTATGGAGGCCTTTGGAGACCCTTTAAAAAAATCATGTTGGCAAACTGGAAGATACCAAGACCAACCTTTTGTGTTGCTTGTTGATAAAATGTTGCTTTTCTGCCTGAGAACTTGTCAGTGATTTTGGAACAACACCCCTTTTAAAAAATGATCTGGAAATGCATCTGAACCTCATTTAAATAGTAACTCTTGTATGGAATATACTCAAACTATCTTTGAATTTCTTTAGCATTATACAGAAAGGCTTCAATCAACATAGTGGGTGATGATGTTACAATCAGATGTATTTTCCTATTCTTCAATTCAATTCCATTCAATTCAATAGCAGTTAAATACTGTTTTCAGCAAAGGACACAGGATTTATCCTGCGGGTTGACCCTTGTAGATCATCAAGAGTCCATGCACTGTACTATGGCATCTGGGCATTTGGGCGTGCGCCTGTAATCCAGCTAACATTGGAAATTACAAACTGATTCAGCTGGGACGCAGGTTCAAAACTGAGTCACGTCTTTCGGATGGTGACGTCTGATTGATTCACGACTGTAAAAACCCAATACACACACACGTACATACACCGTTATCACAGTCATACATGTACCTTATGTAAGCGAATGGCTTCTGGACCGACTTGCCGGCATCCGATGTAACGCTCCAGCTTCCATGGAGCGTGGCTAATCTCACGGCACACTGAGGCACCTCTTGACAGCTGACCTGACACGAGAGGTCAGACAGGTTCAGGTCAAGGTCAACAGGCAGGCAGAAGTGTTGCCATGACTCCCAATCAGATCTTGAACAAATAAGCATAAAATAAAAGTGAATGGTTGTCTTTCACAACCAACATTGAACATAGGAAACTTAAAGCCCCAGTGTACTACTTGTAGCTATTTGCTCCCTCTATATAGAAAACAATGCCTAAGCCGTGCCCGTTGGTCCCCCATGATCCTCTTTTTGTTATGTTAATTGAGAGCCGAGTTGATGAGATAGCCACCTGTCAGTGACCTTGCTGGGTGGTCTAATCCCCCTGGCCAAACTAGTACAGACAAGCTTTAAAGAACAAACAAAAGTATAATGGGTTGACCTACTACTGCACACTGAAGGCTATTTCTTCGTACTACAGAAAATATTTTCCATGAAACGTCTTTAAAAGTTGGTGACATACAAACAAAATACCCATGAATGAAGTCCACTAACTTTAAAGAAGTGAACTCTGCAGCATTTAGCGAGGACCATCAAAACAATGCAACCATTCAAATTTTGTACAAGCTAAACAGCATGCTCTAAAAACTGTCAAAGATTACTACATGTTTGAATGTAACATTTGACATGGAAGATGTCAAGATGAAGTATTCATGAATTTGGTATAAAAATTGACACCTCAATAATAGCAAAAACTGCAGCCTCTAAACAACTTGTGAGTTTCAGTAAGGTTTTAAAATCAAACCTTATATGCTGTCCTTTTCATATTCTCTGGATACTTTAACAGTTTTAGAAGAGGCCATTCAATTATCATGCACCCTGAAATGCTGAACTAGTTGATCTTGAATTCATACCTTGACAGACTGCTATTTAGTTGTTGTGGGGAAGACAGCAACGGAGTCGGTGACAGTTTCCTAGGTGGTGGCGGTGACGATGACCTCGACGACGGGGGTGATGATGATCTTGATGAAGATGACGACCCAGTTGACCCTGTGGATGTGGAGCGCGGCTTGCGCAATGCGATGGTTTCCATGATCCAGCCGGCCCAGAATAAGATCTCGTCTTCATCGTACAAGGAATGTCCGCGCTGTAACTCAACACCAACCTGTACGCATCTCTCATTGACCTGCAAAAAGCATCATTCGTGTTTTACAATCAAATATATTTCATGGCTAGAATAGAATCTCTTTCTTTGTTGTACAAGGAATGACCACACTGCAACTCAACACCAACTTGTATGCATCTCTTAATTACCTGCATTTAAGCACTATCCATGTGTTACAATTAAATGTGTAAAGGATAGAGGAACATTACATTGTACATGATAAAATACCTTCTAGGTTCATGATCAGCATTCAGAGTAAAAAAGAAATTATAACAGTAATAAAGATGAAGTAATTCATCTCTTTCTGAACAAAAGTTCTTTCTACAAAGTCAAAACAATCTTTCAAGTCTTCAAGTTAGATGCTTTATTTCTTTAATAAATCATACATACATCTAGAATTTCTGCCAAGAGGAGAAACTTTAGGATGATGGTAACATTTCTATATCAGGAACAAAGTTATTACCATTCTTTAACTGTCCACACACACATAGTTCATTACTCAAGTTTCAAGGGGTTATATTATCTTTGGTATTCAATGATACTCACCAGTAGGTATGTTTTTAGGCTTGTTACTCTCAGCAGTTTGGTGGAATTGGCATTCATTATATCCACATCTGTAATTAAATAAAGCAAAATCCTATCAATATGAAATCATTACACATTACATACAAAAGTTGGCAATGAAAAACAAGAATTTTTTCAATTGAAAAGCAACTCAAAATATACTATACTACACTGGAAGATGAGTAATAATTAATGGCTAGTTATTAATTCAATTATTTATCTACAGTGTATCGTTATAATTTTTGATTTTTTTTTTCTATTTTAAAAACCGTTGTTGGTATTCTTGATGCAATCATAGAGTTTCAAAATATACATATTAATGTTTTGAATGTTTGGCTTCCTGGGAGTAATTTCAATTTAAAAAAAAAAAATAAATCTTAATTTACTGGGTGCCAGCCAAAATTTTCCTTCCAAATGAACATTAACCCTTACTGTACTGGGCTATTTTGAGCACCTCCTGACTGGGGGGGGGGCCTGGGAGGCCCCCCCCCTATGATCTCGGTCATCGGATGTCCGATGAACACGAAAATTTGCATGTTTGTAGATATTTACGTAACGAACAAGATGGTGTAATTAGTTTTTTGCGAATATGCAAATTTTTGTCGTTATAGCCTAATTAATTATGCAAAATGCTAATTTTATGCATTTTACAGAAAACGTGTCAAACTTCACTTTTTGAACGTTGAAACTCATTATTCATATGAAACTTCTTTTCTAACACAAAATATTTATTTGGATGTAATTAATAATGATAATTTATGCAAATTTGATGCGATTTTCAAATATTTATTTTCTTATGTATTTTATTGTTTTTTTATTTCTTATTATATCTATTGTTTTTATTTCTTATGTATTCTTTTGTTCTGGAATACATCAAGTTACTTTGAGAAACATATAAAAGCAATTCGATATCAATTCATATCACCCACTTAGGAAGGAATACATCTAAACCTGTATTCACATTTCTACTTGTACATGAATATATGCAATTATAGCATATTTTTGATGACATGCGCATACTAATTGTTATGTAACACCTCACAGGTATATCCGATTGCGACGAAAATGGTATCAAAACGTGCGTAAGACTTGAGGGAAAAAAGTCATGAAACGACAATTCAAAATTTCAAGCGGTTGCGGCGCAATCTCCGAAAATGTCGAGGGGGGGGCCTCCCAGGCCCCCCCCCAGTACAGTAAGGGTTAATGGTCTATCAAAAAAACATTTAATTAAAATTCAGCTCTACCCCTGTCTCTCTGATAAAAACATAAATATTTGTAACAGAGTGTTTCAAATGGACAAAACATCTTGTGAAAAAAGTGTACCTATATGTCTTTGGCAAGGCATTCATCTATATTTGCCTTTCCATACCCAGGAGAGGAATGGGGACCTGATAGGATGACGAATGCCTTTGTGTTAGTAATTGCCTTATGCACTCACGGTGACCATATGGTTGGACTACTCCCCAGGGTGTGGTGATGGTGCACATTGTGCATGAATGAATCCGACAACCGGGGTAATAATATCTGTAAAGCGTTTAGAAACAGTATTTCATATTAAGTGCCATATAAATTCAGATTATTATAATTATTATAATTATTAACATATACTTACGTGAGCAAGTGAGATGACAGGTGATAGGGGGTAGTACCAGATCACCGTTCTGTGAACATACGATACCATCTCGACTGGCTAGCTGACTAGTCAAGATTACACTCTTGGTGTTGAACTGCAAAGACCTGATCATTACAAAGATAAACATCTATTAATGGAAAGCTACATGCATCATGTAATAGACCATTTTTGTAATGTAATCAAATTCAATGCATAAATATTTGTTAAGTGCCACGTTACAAATTGTTTCATTCACCTGTTACGATTTATTGTCTTTCAATAGTCAGAATGCGAATTGCATACATTAATTGTTGCTAGGTAGGATAAACATTATGGCTTGTCCTACCTAACAACTCGTAATGTATGCAATTCACATTCTGACTATTGAAAGACAATTACTGGTAATCGTAACAGGTGAGTGAAACAATATGTTACAAGGCACTTAACAAAGATTTGTGCATTAAATTTGATGACATTACTGACTATGTTGGAATAATTTAGGAACCAAACAATTTTAATATTGTCATTAAACAAACAAGGACACAAATTTTCCTAAAGAAATATGCCATTATTCAAACAGTTTGAAATAAATCTGGTATGAGCAGTATCAAGATGATAATAACTTAACGCTGACATTTCAATAACTGCATATCAAAGAATGAGATATAAGTCTATTTTGTACACAAAGCACTACATAATATTAAAGCACGTTGAATATAATACAATAACAGTGCTATTACCCTAATGACCTTCTCTTAGAACAATGAAAAGGTGAGTGACAAAAATAGAAGAAATGTACAAGTATATGTACTGACCTTTGACCCCCTTGTAGCACTATCTGCCAAGAGGCTTCCTTGATGTCTAAACAAGCTTCCTGAAGAGAGAGAAAGAGAGAGAAAGAGAGAAAAAGAGAAAGAGAGAGAGAGAGAGAGAGAGAGAGAGAGAGAGAAGGGTGGAGGTATTAAAAGGAGGTATTAAAATCAGTGATCACAAAAACACATAAATTATGTAAGATAGTTTTCCACTATGATATCCTTGGCAGTAGCAACATTCAAAGTAGACTGATATAGCCTTCTGGCATGGAGAATTATTTAATAAATCTGACATTTGTCATCCTTTTCCTTACATAAACAGTGACCCTGCATGCACAACAGGGGGAATAACTAACAATTTTTGGCATATAATGGCCAACAAATTTGTCCCCAGTTTTTCTTTATCTACATCCAGCGGCTTGATACATAAATTAGACATGTGAGAGTATATAGATCTACATGTAATTGTTATATACTATACAAAAATAAACAAGGCATCACATCCCCATATACAGTATTAAAAGAGAGAAGACAATGTACATGTATTTCATCTAAATGTAAAATGTAAATTAACAGTGAAGGAAGACACAAATCTGTTCACTCACCTCTGGAAACTTTCTGGTAATGATTTTGAGCTTCTGAGTGAGTGGATTTTCTGGCATGATTGTGCTGGGTGCATCAACAAATTCCTCTTGGACTGCAAAAAAAAAAAAAAAACCCAACATTATACTGATCTTTCACATATAGTGGTGGAGACAGAATTTGCAGAACATGTACATCTATATAAGAAACAATTAAACAACATAAATGAGACACTATGCTCAAAACTTTGCTAGAAAGATTTTGATATCATGGGTTTCTGAACTTGACTATGAAAGAACATATTATCCACCCGAAGAAGTCTTGAATAAGCAATGGAGTTTCTGCGATACAGAGTTTGTCAACATGTTATGGGCAATGTTGGAGGTAAAGTGGTCATCACTCTAAAAGTAACTGATCATGTAGCAAATGCATTGCCTCCCTGATTGGCAAGAATAAAACACTCAAAGAATTACTGAAACAATCAATGCTCACTCTTTAAAAAAAAAGGTTTGCAAAGAATTATTTTGTGCAATGTTCGTGGTAACAGGTTATTTTGCTTCTGTAGCAGATACATATGGGTGAAACAAACTCCTGATATGAACAGTGAAATCTCTTCAAATAACAAATGAAAAACAAATGGTTTACTGGTAAGCAATGTTGATGGTAAAAAGGAACAACTTTGTCTTGACCTTTACATGCCTGAAAGGCTTGGCTCATTCTTATTTGGTTGCACTGCTTACCCAATGCTTTATACCTAACAGAAACCTAAGGTCTTCCCAAAAGTCCCTCTTTACTATCCCTTCGAATCAATACACACAACACTCTTTTCAGGTTGCATCAGCAGGTCTTTGGAACAAATTACCAGAATATATAAAAATTGTGATAATGTTGAAAACATCAAACCATGTCTTAAAACTGTTACAATTTGTTGATAACTGATGACTAGTTGAAGTAGGCTGAGCATACCTCACTCTACTTTATTCTTTTCTTCTCTGTATTATAGTGCATAGTGACAAATTTGTGATATATGCTATATAAATATATAATTATTATATATTATTATTATCATCGTAATTATCATTATAATTGTTATTATTATGTTTATCATTATTATCATTACTATTATCATTATCATTATCATTATCATTATCATTATTAATATTATTATTATTGTTATCGTTATTATTATTGTTATCATTATCATTATTATTATGATTATCATTATCATTATTATTATGATTATTATCATAATTATTAGGTGATGTGATTTACCTGGAATCACAACAGGTGCAGCTTTAGACACTCTAGTCAGTGCAGTAGGCAAGAAACCTTCAGAGATGAAGAGAAATCAAGTGTTAACAAAGAAGAAAAGGTAATTCTCTGACTGCTAAAATCATGTGTAGTTTTAATACACAGCAGTCAAAATGTTAAATGAGAAGTCCACTCTGATATCAATTGGGTTTTAATAGAAGCAGAAATACGAATGAAACAAATTAGTGATAGTTGAGCAATATCCGATAAAAAATAGGAACATTTTTGAAGTTGTAATCAGTGAAACACAAATTGGCAACACTGTGATATATCTTAGGATCACCTCTCCAATATTCTCTATACAGATAATTTCATTAAAATTGCCAATTTGAGCGCACAATCAAAAAATCATAATTTTTAATCGCTTTTTGCTCATACTTTCACTGACCTGTTTCACTCATTTCTCTGCTGCTGGTAAAACCAAATTAATATCGGAGTGAACTTCCCCTTTAAATGATTAGTATGAGAATCTAAAGAGTTCTCTCAAAGTTAAAGTCATACACTCAGATATATTAGAAAGTTTGTCACACACTGATGGGAATTCGCAAAAACAACTTCAGTAAAGCGCACTATGATGATCACATTTTCTCTTTCAACTTGATTCTCTTTTGCTCCATTCCAAAATAAACTCTCATAATAGATACAAAGAGACAATAAAAACATTTTTTTTTACTGCAACATAGAAGATGTGTTTTGAGTTTAATATTACTTGGTTAATCAATATTGTACTCCTACGTTTACTCTGGTTCCCGTTTCTAAAATATAAAATATGGATTGGGAGCTAACATGGCTCATAGCCAAACATCAAATATTAACCCCCCATACTTTTGACAATAATTCCTCAGATGAAAACACTATCAGAAAATGATTAAAAGGGATCTGCCAACTGGGTATCTGATGTTTTAATGATCAAGTTTTTTAAAACTGAAAAACATTGGTTTTCTGACTCAGAACCATTTAACACTCATCTATATATGCCTTTTAATTTGAAAGGCATTTTGACACGTGCAACTTTGACCACTACTATGATTGCAATGATAATAAAATTACTAGATATTCACTTTCATACAGACACAGCACACAGTAAAATCATGTTAGCCGGGGAACTGTTTGAATTTTGAGTGTGATACTTACCATCATAGATTGTGATATTTGGACTACCAACTTCAATGAACAGTGTCTGAACAAGAAAAAAGATGAAAATAAGTAAAATCAAGCATACAAATTGTACTATTCTGCAGATTAGTTTTACTAGAGAGTCTCTACAGAGATAAAATTTACTCCTCCACAAAAGAAAAATAATACACATCCAAATAGTTTGATAAAAATATTGAAATCAGGGCTAGTACCTGATTATCAATTAATGACTGAATCAAATTACGTTACATAGGACTTTAATATGCAATTATTACTAGAATAATGTTATATAAAATTAAGCTCATCATCATCGATATCATCACCCAATTATTTATTATTACCAATAGTAATTTCAGATTTGGATATCTATACTACAGTTGACAGTCACATGTACGATCAAATACTCTATTTGACATCAGAAAGGTAATTCTTTATGACTTTATCATATGGTAATTAATCAATTCTAATGTTATGTTCAATCTTTATGAAATATTGTACTCATGACCTTACTTTAATTTATTTCACAATGTAATACATGTAATGCGATTGTAGAACATTGTTTTTCATATTTTAAGACTCAACAGTTTCTTTGACTTTGTGTACACTTTTTCTACCATTGTTATCCATCTGTTTGTATTTTTTATTTTTGTTTGAAATCCAACCGTAAGTTTTGGTTGCAATACAGAAATAATAATAATAACATTCTGTGGGTATTCTCGCAGGATTCTGTAATCAGTTTGAAAGAAATGTGTTTTACTACTTACTGTCAGGACTCTTGCTACCAGATCAATCTGGGTTGAGACCTTGATGCTCACAGAAGCCTGAGCAACATGTGATTGATCTCCAGCATTCTAAACAAAGAATTAAAAGAAAAAGAAAAATAACGGTTCTGGATTTCGGACTTTCTTTCAGGCATATATGACTCGCAGTTCCAACAAAGAAAGTAGTTGGGATGTATTTGACACTGAAAGGCTACACATCAATGAAATTGTATTGTATAGCATGTCGCACACATAGGTTTGGTCTACAACTGGTTCGTCTACTACCCAATTAGTCTGTTCCCATATGGTCTACACCAAGCTCGTCTATTATCCACAAGGTCTAATAATCATTTGGTCTACTGACCATTTAGGCTAATAGTCATTTGGTCTAATCTCCAATAAGTCTACTTCCTATTTGGTATATTGCTCATTTAATCTAATTTCCAGTCGATCTGATTCCCAGTTTGTCTAATGCCCATTTTGTCTACTATCCAGTGTATCCACATGGTCTAATAATAATTTAGTCTTATATAATAATAATCATCAAATGATTCTTAGACCTTTCTGTCATGGGCCATATAATTCTTTCCTGTGACACTTAGTTACAACAAACCCCCAAAATAGACTTACAAAATAGATTCATATGACCTTGGTTAGGACTTGGAGCTGTACTTTATGCCCCTTTGTTGCATAATCTATAACTACATTGTGGCAAGCATACACGATTAGCACCCTAAGCAAATAACTGTAAACCCTTACAAGCAGTAAAAAATTCACCAACTTTGACATACACATAGTTTCACAGATTATTCACTAGTTTGGAACTTATATGTTTATGAACTGAGAAAAAGATGCATACCCTAATACGTATTTGTGAATAATATACTTACTGGCTTTGCGCTGCGTAGCATCCGTAGGGAGAGTTGTTTAGATGAGAAGTGTGCCGAAACAAGTCTGGAAAAAAAGAATATTAATAAAGGAGTTATGTATTACTACATGTATGTCAGGCATTTGATGACAATTACAAAGCAGGCAAATATGTCATCAAACCTACGACATATTCACATTTAGATGTAGCTCATTGTATCATAAGACCTTGAGGAGTTTGATAATAACTAAATTTTACAAATAAAGATTTGAGAATTCACATAAATATTTAGGAATTTACTACAGTTCCACAGCGCTCTGTAGGCGGGCCGATCCTGTTCTCACTTTTTCAATTGGTCTGCAAAGTATTCTTCAACACCACTCTTTTCGATATCAGATTTTTACAGATGATATTCAAATACTCACTTCATTCAAACCTAATCAAAGCTTTGCAGCCAGCCCTATCCATAATCTTGAGGCTCATGTACAGGATGTTTATAATTGGTTTAACTCACATTCAGTGAAACTAAATTTTACAAAATGTGAATTTGTATTTTACGGTTCCAAGACACAAGTCATGGGCAGCCTTTTTATCATTTTGTATAGCAAAACTCAAGTTTCAATTGAATAAGGTTTCTTTTACTTTTACTGCCCTTGCTGGCCCTAATATTAGCGCTTAGAGACTTCGGCGGTAAACGCTTTATAAGTAACGTTTTTATTATTATTACTATATTGCTGTACAGTGTATCTCATGTATTTCGTAACCTCAGAGTGTCTTTTTACTCAAAAATGACAATGTCTCCACAAATGCAACACGTTTATCCATGGATTCATCAACAGAAAGAGGGAGAGAGACAGAAAGGAACTGATTAACGGAGACAGACATACAAAGATAGACACAAATCAAACGAGAGAGAGAGAGAGATAGAAGGAGAGAGAGAGAGAGAGAGATAGAGGGAGAGAGAGAGAGAGAGAGAGAGAGAGAGAGAGAGCGAGACAACAAACAAGAAAAGGTGACAGAACAGCAAACTGTACCTACTTTTTATTACTATTTGAAACTGACCTTTCATTTGCTGCCTGTCCTATTAGTGATGTATCATTGACTGTAACATGTAGGAGCGAGTCTGTGCCCATAGCTCCCAATAACATCACGTTGACAGCTTCTATATGAAAGGATGTTAACTGAAGGGGAGAATGAGATCATAATAATAATTATGTGAGTCAGGAAAAATGAGAAATTGGTATCAAAACCTAATTCGTTTAATGATTGAAAGCAAAATAAGCATCTTGGTTACAAACATTGAATATGTGTGCATCAATCAAATAATTAGCAGTATTAAAATCATAAAGATCATTAGTAATTGGTGATCTGCAGCAGATCTGATGACAGATACATGTAGCAGGCAACAGCAAATAACACTTGTTATTAGAAAACAATATATATTAATGATATAATAATAATAATAATAACATTAATAACATCATTAGGAGTATAAATAATTGCAATAATAATAATAATAATAATAATAATAATTGCAATACTAAAACGTACCTGGGCTCCATATTGCAGCAATGAAGGGAGGCTACTTGAGATGAATTTGGATATTCCTAGAATGAAATTAAAAAACAAATTAAAGACATTTAGTGGTATCTCCATTTTTCAGTTTTCTATCAACTGCAGTTTTATGTTATTCTGTGTTTTCGCCAGACTCCTTATCCCTTAGACCATAGAAAGCCAGGTAAAGTTTTTTTTGAGGTTTGCTCTGTACATTCTAGCTTTAGACAAGTTGATTTTAGGTGATTGTTACACTAGGAAGTTTTAGCATGGTATGCCTTCGAAAAATAAGAAATCTGTACCCTTAACAGGCATTCGCACATGCAGCGGCAGTGTAACTGGTAATACGCGGTAAATCTGTACAAAGACGCAAAAACAAATTCGCTGCTCAATCATGCAGCCCTTCAATGCACGAAATATGTGAACTCTCACATCGCGGCATATGATAAAACAAGCTTAATTTGGCTTAAGCAACACCCCCAATTTTTTTTTTGAAAAAACAGAATATTCCGGATTTTGGGGTCCTAAAAATCCAGAAAAACAGAATATTCTGGATTATTCGGAAGGGTTGGCAGGTATACTACCCTAACATATATGACCATGGGAATGCTGCAGCGGCCCTATAATTTCTATTTGCCCTAGACATTTTATGTGATTGAGGCATTATTCACCTGATCTAGGCTGGGTTGGGCCAGGGTGGGACGGTGGCCTCATGGGAGGTAGATCATCCTCCTCTTGACTCAGCTCGGCTCTCACTCTCACATCCCCTATGTGCAAAGCCATAGGGTGTCTGGAATTACATTTTTAAAAAAATTAAAAAACATAAGCAGAAAAACATAGATATTTAAAATTCTATTTGTCAATTTGAGGCTTAATTCATATAATTTTTTTTAATTACCATTTTCTTTACAATACATGACTTAACCACCCCCCCCCCTCACATTTTTCATGTGTGATTTTGATCTTTTTGACATACATGTATGTTACAGGGAACGTTCATGCACACTTTAAAGACAATCTACCATTTTTCTTTTAATTTCAGTTTTTATTTGATTCCATTTTAAGGAACACAAAGAAGTATAACAACAAAGAATACAAGAAAACAAAGTAAAATAACTTTATACAATAACCAAAGAAAATAAACCCAGTGCACCATTTCCACTCCTTCTGTATTCAATTCTGTTAAGCTCATAGAGACATGCAATTATGCACTACACAAATACTTTTAGTTTTAATGATTATAAATGCCTGCAGATCACCCAAAGAAAACAAGTGTCAGTATAATGCTCTCCTCATTGGCTAAATAAAAAACACATGAATAATGCAATACTACATAGATACTTCCATTTAATTTTGATCCTAATGATAAACATTTCATAAAATATACAAGACATTCATTTTACTATTAAAAACAAACAATCATTTCAAGAAAAAGGAAAAAGTGTCAAGAATTCAAAAGAGGCAAACAAACCATTAACACATGGCACAAGGATAAGAGAATGCAATAAATTTAGATGTCAATTTTGAAACTTACAGTTGCTGGGAATTGAATAACCTCCATGATATCCAAATACAGTCAATCTCCTGTGACAGAAAAAAATGGAAATGTTAGGATTTATGAAATACTTTACAGATGTTGAGAGAAAAAGGATGGTAAAAGTAAACTACTTACCTAGCAGTAGTGCAGAAAGTTTACCTGTCTGTGCTAGCCTATTTTCTATCCCTGGGTGCATAAATTGCAAAACATGTACGAGAGATACCCTACAAATTGGCCACTCTTTCTATACAATATGGAGCTAAAAATTTGATTTAAGATTGTCATGATAATTCTAAATGTAAAGAAATGTCAAACATTTTGAAAACCCATCATTTTAACTTTTTCTCTTAGAAATTCTTTAAACTAGTAAGCAGGGTTTGGAGAGGAGGATCGAGGGGTACAATTTCAGTGAGCTAGGTTTTATTAACCTTTATCAAAATATGTTTTAGGAGTTTGGTGTGCTCGGTGACCATTTTTTTTCCTTCTTTAAATCTTTCAAATTGGTTTAAATTCTCAATGGATTCTTCTATATATACCCAGGCGTTGTATATCCAGTTGATTAAAAACAGCAATTTGAAGAAGTTTACAAGAATATTTTCAAAAGGACAGATGTTCATAATGGTAGTGCTCTTTGATGAATACTTTTCATTAAATCAGAAGGCAAAAGAGAAGGCTTTATCTATATGTTAAGTATTCTGGATCCCCCATGCCCTTCATTTATACTATGTTCTCTTTGTCTAGTGTCTACTTACAATGCTGCTCTTTGGAAGCTGGATAGCGATACTCTTCAGTGAGAAGAAACCAAAGTACTCAATGGAAATACTCTTCTTCAAAACCTTGCTCAGAACTTTAGACACTAAGATGGCACTGAATCTGAAAGATAGAAAAAAAGGAGGAAATAACAGGACTTACAGGAGCAACGATACATTCAGTTGATTTTTAGAAGCAAAAATATAGTCTCTTTCAAATTTGTAGCTACTAGGTAGGGAAGCATGGCCCTCGCGTACACAGATAACGCGTGGCGCGCGCGCCACGCGTTCCTGATGGGCCCGACCTAGCGCCACGCGTTCTTAAAAAAAAAAAAAAAAAAAAAAAAAAAAAAAAAATCAATTTTTTTTTGTTTTTTTTTTTTTTGTTTTGTTTTGTTGAAAAATCAGAAAATTCCGGATTTTCTGGTCCTAGAAATCCCCCCAAAACAGAATATTCTGAATTATTCGTAAGGGTTGGCATTAAGGTATTAAAAATTCATCAAATTACTTGTAATACTTGTAAAAAATAAATTTAAATTAAAAAAAAAAAAAAAAAAAAAAAAAAAATCAAATTTTTACTTTTTTTTTGTTTTTTTTTTGGGGGGGGGGGTCAAATTTTCCCTCGGGTCGCGCCACACGTTTTTAATTTCTTGGCGAGAGGCCTGTAGGGAAGATAGTTAATATTAATGAATATATAAGGAAATAAATTGGAAAATTTCTTACTAAGACCTTGGCTAGGAGCTAGGCCAGAGCCAAATGCAATGTTTCCTCATTTCATATTTCAATTCCAGTAAAAATCAAATTAAGCTAAAAGAAAGGGGGAAAATCATCAGGCATCAACATTGTCAGATTTGTAGTACTGTTCATGCTTCTGATCTTTAATCTATGTTGATTTATTCAATTCAAAATTGTCATGTTGCCAAAGAAAAATAAATATAGAGTCTACAATGAGAGACGAGCTAAGTAATACAAAACTTACAACACAATCTATAACTGATTTAAAAAAAAAAAAAAAATTATCACACTCACAGACAAGAAAAAAATTACATGACGGAATCAATTTATATTTGATTAAAGATGGATTTAAGATAAACTTATCATACAAGTGAATGATCATTATAATCCCACATCTTTCAATGCTGACAAAAACAAACAGACAAAACTCAAATCATGTTCTGAATTAGACTCAAAATATTCAAACACAATTTCCATTCTATTTACATCCCAAAATCGAATATGTGGGACCGTGGTTTCATGGCAAAATTTTATCAAGATAGTTTAATGCGGATATTTCACTTTGTAAAGGCCTGAAAAGCACTTACCTTGACAAAACCACAAACAATAAAGTAATTAAAAACAAATAAAGTAGGAAATATGACAAAGTCATTTTGAAAACGTGTAAAATAACGAAATTTCTGTGCACATCCGCAGTTCGTCAGATTGTGTGACGCCGCCCTCTGCAGGCAATAAGAGGACAGGATATACCGAGTTGCTAGTAAACTTCTAAAAAAATTGCAAAAATGTCGGCGCCTACTGTTAAGAAAAGAAGAATTTTATCGAAAACTGATGATGAACAAAGCAGAAGTTCATCACCGAAGAGAGAGTCGAAAAAGGCAGTACATGTCAAAGTCAAAAGGGTATGTCAATCAAATTCAATGTTCGAGTTTAGACCGTTTGCATTGTTTGCCTTGCTTATGCACGCTTTTCTACCGGGAAAATCCCGGTCGTAAAATCCGGTCAACTGAGCTGAACACATAAATTTAGGCCAAACACCTAGATCTAGCCAATCAAAAACAAAAGAGTTCTTGGTCAAATCTCTGTAGGTTTAACATTAAGAAGCAATATTATAAAACATGTTTGATGCTCGTTTAAATGAATTTTTAAAGCATAGGTCTAGAGGTCTAAGTTAGACCTACGGCTACGCAAGCTTGATCATTTTGAATTTGATGTTGATGTTGTCGTTGATGTTGTTAATCACAATTTTAGTTTTAAATTTATGATATTAATGTCAACACTACAGGAGGGGCGCCAACCTGAGGGGTGCTGAGCCGAGAATAAGGATTGTCTGGCATAAAAGAGGATACCATATTTGCCGGCGATAAGCCATAAGGCGGCATAGACTAGGCCGCACCCCCGATTTTGACATTTAAAAAAAAAAAGAAGCTTTTTTCGAAGACGGGATTTGATCTCTTGTGTACAAATGTTGACCGCTCGGCCATCCTGCACTGATGAAATATATAGCGGTTTTCTCTGAACTGTTTATTGCGCCATAGCTCTTGTGTATTAAAATGGATTAAAAATGGCGACTTCGCGTGCTGGATGCTTCGCGGCAGCTCCGTTAAACGGGCCCTTCTTTTACTTTTGCAATGCATTGGCACGACCTTAGATCAAGATCTATCGGGTGATGTTTTTTTTTAAAGTTTATTTTCGTCTTCATGTCAACAATGCAAGATAAAATTGTCGGTAAGATGTGTGGAAATGTCCTGTTACCATAGTGGTATAGTTATTGTACCATTAGTAGTCCCATATGTGCACATTTGTGCTGGTTTTGACTTACCTTTTTTTTTTTACTCTTTCGCCTTAAAGGCCGCACCCCGACTTTTTGATATTTTCTCTTCCAAAAATACTGCGGCCTTTACGCCGGCAAATGCGGTAGGCGCTAGTTCAGAAGTATATTCAGACTTTGTTTGACCTGGCAGGAACTCCGGCGTGGAGATACCCTAGTAAAACATACCGAAAATCAACTAAATCTTCATCAATTGTTCAAATAATTAAATGGTCATTATTTAAAAGTCTTAATGTTTCTTATCCGTTTTGTTTCAATTTTTGTATCTTTTTTGGAGTATTTTTCCTAATAATACTTTCTCACAGGATTCACGGCAAACTGCTGCATAGAGTCCATACAATTGCATACCATACCGACGGTGGGGTGCGGGCACGAAGGTGTGTGTAGTATACTACACACGCGCAGGCCCCCACCCCACCGTCGGTATTGTATGCAATTGTATTATGCAGCAGTTTGCCGTGAATCCTGTGAGAAAGTGCGACTATAATCTAAGCAACTCATCATTAATCACTACAGTTGCTAACTTATGTTATTCGTCATGTGAGCTACCGAGCGAGAAATAGATATGCGTGTGCAGATTCTATGCGCTGTCACCATGGGTTTTGGCTGAGCAGAGTAACACCTCCCTACTTTCACTTTATACAGGAGCAGTCTCCATATGATGAAGAGAAAGAAGTAGCAGCCCGAGACAAGGAGAAGGATCTACAGCTTCACAATGAGACCTCTACGAAGCTAAGGAACTTGATGGCTGACATCCATGCCTACAAATCTAAGGAGCAGTCAGGGAAGGTATGTCAGGCTTACAATTTTTCAGTTTAAAAGGGTCATTGGGACACTTTCCCTGGATGTCATTGATCAGAGTCTGTGAAAATATCGTTTCTATTAAATAGCAGTGACAGAATATTTGTGACACCATTTAAGAGACTTAAAGGAAATCCAACCCAAATAGACAACTACTCTAAAAGAAAGCAGAAAAATCAGAGAAGCAAACTGATAAAAGTCTCAATTAAATCTCACTATATATAAGGAAGTAATGTATTATTGAAAGTTGTAATCACTATACGTATGGGCACTTCAAATTGGCTGAAGAGGTATTGTCAATGTGATGTTGTGCCGGACCACTTTCCCATCTGTTCCAACATATAGAATGACCAAAATTTAAATTTTTCAACAGTCCATAGCTCAGGAGGGTCTATTCTTTTTAGAGGACCTATAATAACATGATATCTATAATATAATTTATTAGTGCCCTAAGAGAGAAGGAAGTAACAAGAAAAGCAGAAATTTATGATATTTTTGTACACAGCAAATGGGAGAGTTATCCACTATCTACCAGTATGAGATTTGCATAGACTTTGTGATCTCATATTTCAAACAATTATAACTTCCTTTAAAACTATTGGTCTGATTGATTTCAAGCGTTTGCCATTCTGTTTCTGTTATTTTTCTGTTTATTTTTTGTATCATTTATGCTGTTATACAAATCAAATTATTACAAGGGTTGGATTGCCCTTTAAAGATAGCCAATTGGGCTATTAAACAGTTGTAGACTAATAAGACTGCAGTCAGTTCGTGTAGGGTGTGCCAGGCTGAAGATAGAGAAATAGATCAAGATGGTCTATCTATTGAGTGCCATTTCATGATTACATTGGACTCATTGATCATATCTTGTTTTCACTCTCTTTATTTTTCTCTGTTTTCTCTCACTTTTTGTTTCTCCCACCCTCCCTTCCCCATCTCTCACTTTCATTCTCTCCCTCTCTATCATCCCCTATTTTTCTCTATCCCCCTCGTACTTGCTCTATTTCCCTCTCTCTTTCTCTATCCCCCTCTCTCTCTATCCCCCTCTCCCTCTCTCCCCCTCTCTTTCTCTATCTGCCCCTCTCTTTCTCTATCTGCCCCTCTCTTTCTCTTTCTCCCCCTCTCTTTCTCTCTTCAGGACGATGAGATTGATGAGAAGCAGAAAGAAGTGGCCCTCTTGTTTGTAACTCTGAAGAAATTAAATCGTGTGTCTCATCTCCGATGTAAGAAGGCTCGGGACGAGACCCAGGGAGCCAAGCAGAAGGTGGATAACTTGCATCTTCAGCTTCAGAACCTACTCTATGAGGTCATGCATCTACAGAAGGAGATCACAAAGTGCCTCGAGTTCAAGTGAGCATCGGCTTTGATACAATTTATTCCTTCATGTTACATTTCATCTCTATTTCATGTTGACCTGTAAATAGTTCTATACATTTCAAATTTCAATTTACAATAGTTAGGTAGTTGTCTTTCATCTGAAAAATCCGGGGTTTGTTTGGATAGGCAGTGGGTTTATGCCTGTGGTGGGGTATTTTCTCTCAGTCCTGCAAGAAAGGCATTATCATATTGGTCAGTGTTCAGTTGGTTGCTAAGCATCCCATGCAAAAGTTGGCTTTTACTGCTTGTTGATTCTTACAATGTACTCTTATGACTACTGAAAACAAGCCCAAAAGGTTCTTCTTCTATGCAAGTCTTTCATCTTTTGTAGTTCTGCTCCTTGTCTGCTTACAATGAGTGAATATGCACTTGTATTTTGGCCATCAAGTATTGATGACAGCTTTCTATAGAAATTTATTTTCTTTAAGTTATCTGGAGGTTTTATCTGATAGATTCTTTTGTTTTTTCCCTTTTAAATCTTGTTTGTTCCCCTTTTAAATCTTGTTTGTTGTGGTACCATCATGCTCTCTAGTAGTGTTCATGGAGATTAAAAAGAGGATATAAAGTGACTAAACCTCTGTTTCTTCTGCTTTTTTTTTCAGGTCCAAGGATGAAGACATTGAGTTAGTGGATGTGGAAACGTTCTTCAAAGAAGCTCCTCCCAGCATCTCTAAACCCTCCACCACAAAGCATGATGAACACAAGCTACAATTAGCCAGGCTAGATTGGGAATTAGAGCAAAGGAAAAGGTGAGACAGTTAGTTGAAAATATATCTTAAAGTGAGGTTTGATATTTAAAAAAAAAGATTCAAGTGAAGCCATGTTGAAAGTGGAAGCTTGCTAATGAGTTGCATTTTCAGTCTTTCATTTTAAGGAAATTAAAAATGGAGACCAGATATAAAGGGGTCATTGGGGTAATATTTGATAGAAAGGAAATGAAATGAAAGGGAAGGTTAGTTATATCAAAGTATCTTGTATTTTTATTTGATAGAAAGGAATCATTTTTGTCTTCTATTTATACTGTTAGAAGAGACTGTTGAGGCAATTACCTGATTTACTGTGTTCAAATAAAATATAGGGAAACTTGTTTATAAAGACTATTCAAGGAAAATATGAAAAGTGGTATTTATAGGCAGGTGGTCTTTATGTACAGGTTTCAATTAGAAACCATATTCAAGGAAAATGAAAGATGTCTTCATAAACAGGTTGTCTTTGTATACAGGTGGTCGCTAAAGCAGGTTTATCTGTAATATTACATTGTTCCACTATCTGGGTGATAAACACTCTTTTAATCCATGGCTTTACTATCCTTACATGTGATTTATAATATTTGCTAATGCTCATTTCTCAACTGTTTTGTAGATTGTCCGAGCAGTACAAGGCCAGGCAGGGAAACCGTGATGGAGTGGCTAAGAGTATACACCAGAAGAAAGATTACCTGGAGAGCTTACAACCAAGACTCTCTAATATTCTTGAGGTAAAATATCCTCTGTATTTCTGCCCCTCGTTGCACCCCTTGTGCGCAAAAAGTAGATGTAAAACTGGAACTTGTTATGATTAATTTTGTACAATTTTCTTTTGCTTGCTTAGTGACGTCACACACTGGACAAACAGCTCAGTACCAGAGTCGTGCGTGTATTAGTCTGCAGCTAGCCAGCCGTGTCCCGTGTGTGACGTCACAAATATTGACGCTCTACAACGGACTGCTGAAGGCAGAAAATCTGGATCTCAAAACTAATATTTTTGAGAGTTGATTACTGCGGGCCCCGAACAAATTTTGAAGAAGAGAGTTGTTGTATTTGATCAGTAAGGCTTCCCCTTCGCAATGATATGAGTTTTGCATAAATTCAAAACACTTTTGATTCTTCGTGTGTCTACTTTAAATGGAACTTCCCTTGACTGTCACAGTATAAGCCACATCAGAGATAGCATTTGTACAGATGACCCCCAAATATCCACAGATCCTTTGAACATAGAGACGTCCCATTCCCATGCAGTCTAGAATAATTACTGGAGGCCCTTCTTTAATACCTTTTGTTTTCCCTCTTGGAAATAATACTTCTACCTGTGTATCAAAGAATGTATCGCTAGTGCATAAATGATCAATGATTAAATAACTTTCATGAACACGTACTTAGCAGTCGTCTTGATGGGTTTTAGAGTTTGGTACAAGTGACCTTTATCTGCCCATGCACAGATGGTATCTCTGAAGAGGCTTATTTTGAAGAAATTGTGCATTTTGTCTTACAATATCTTACAAATAATATTTGAATTAAGCATAGTGCCTGTTGTATGATTCCGCTTTTTTTCTGATGCATGGTAGGCAAGCGAATAACATTTAATTTCTACTTTGATTTTTCAGGCTACCATCCCTGTTCAGCAGCACTTATCAATGCCTTTCAATGAGATCCGATCTCAGCACCAGCTAGCCAAGCTTCTACCCAGGCCACTATACTTCCTCTATGTGCAGGCCAATGCATACCATGAAGCTTGTGGTGAGTATCTCATTTGGGAATATTTGAAAAATAGAATTAAACCAAAGTTGCATAAGTAATAAGTATTTCATTTGGGAATATTTGAAAAATAGAATTAAGCCAAAGTTGCATAAGTAATAAGTATTTCATTGGGAATATTTCAAATATAGAAATCAGCCAAAGCTGCGTAGTAGTACAGAAATGCTCGTGTTCCTCGGAATGAATGTCACATTCTTACACAGGAGAAGTAGTCTAGATATTGATGGAGAGATGTGAAGTTTTTGTGCAGGGGTTGATTGCAAAATACCATCAGAAAATTCATCAGAAACACACCGTCAGGCTCATATTTTGAACTCCAGGATTTTCTTTTAGAATTGATCTACTTTGTATGTACAGGTTGTATAATGATTGAGCAGTAAGTCACATGGTGAAGCGTAATGAGAGTAAAAGTAGTAACTGTCTCTAAGGATCACTATCGATCCACCCTCCAAATGGAGGATATGTGGCTGGTAGAATTGTACAGCTTTCACTATGAACATGACGGACAAAGAAAGCGGACAAAATATACAGTTCCTCATTCTACCCTCAACAATTGCTATGGTAGACAAAGGAACATCCCTTCACTGCTATTATGTAAAAATCTGTAGAACAGGTTTCACATGCATATTCACCTGTTCTACACATTTTTACATAATAGCAGTGAAGAAATGTTCCTTTGTCTACCATATATGTTAATAGTGTTTAGACCTTAGATTTCCAATGGTAAAAAAATGCATTCATTAAACCAGTTTTTATTTTCCCGATGCTACAGATGGATCTATGAGTCTGAAGATAGAAGGTGATGCAGAGACTGCATCCTCTACTCTCTCTGCTTCCAATGAGGATGAGGAGGATAGCGACTCAGATAGTGAAGAAACACTGTCTGAATCAGTAAGTAGGGCTTGTAGTTGTCTCTTTAATATCAATATTCATCCAGTATAGGGCACATATGATAGAAAAAAAAATACAATGATATAACATTTCAGCCAAATCATTAAAGGAAAGAAATTTGTCTTCAAATTGAAATACAATTACATAAATCTTGGCTTTGAGTCGTCCATTTGCAAAAGATGAATATCTTATATGTGTTTGAAATAACACTGACTCAGATGTCATTTCTGTACGTATTAATTCATTGATTGTATACACATTGTCAGCAGTTGAACGTGTAAGTTTTTGAAAGGTATGTGAAGTTTTGCTTAAAAGAAGAACAAAAATCACTTCCTAAAGTTTTGACTTTTGCCTTGAAACCATTGTTCTACCTTTGTTCACCTTTCAGAAACGCAGGAGAAAGACGATGGGAGACAAGCTGGAAGAACAGAGACAGAAGATTCTTGCCAAGCATCCTCTACAAGTCATTATGACTCTCAGATTCAAAGGTAAAACAAATACTTGGTATTTTTCCTTTTTGTGCCAGTTGCATGTTATTTTGTCTTTATTGTGACATGATCCTGCTATTGTCTCGGGTTATTATTATATTGTCCCCCCCCCCCCCCTCAAAAAAAAAAAAAAAAAAAAAAATCATCAGTTATGAGTACTTTGTTTATAGCTATGCTGCATTGAATCTTAAAAATAGTATACTCATGGCCAATCATATTCATTCAACACCAAAACCCCAAATTCTTATTATTGATTTTTTTTTTTTTTTTTTTTTTTGGGGGGGGGGGGGGATAATCTTTATATACATTTCTTTTTAAAATTAGTTGCATATAAACTGCATGTCAGTGAGGGCAATTTGTTCCCACCTCTATTAGATGTCATGTGTGGAACTTTTTCATTATCCATAGATTTAGCTTCTTAATGGTATTTGTATTTGTATATGTCAAACTTGGATGATTATTTTTTACTTCACCTGCACGGTAGCTCGTGGGGGTGATGGTTATCGAATATTAGGGACTTTTAGATTTGCACGACGGAGAATGTGGACTGCCCTTTTAAGGCAATGTGACGTCCTTTTAAGGCACTGGCAGTGACGTCACATTGCCTTAAAAGGGCAGTCCACGTTCTCTGTCATGCAAATCTAAAAGTCCCTAGTAACCTATCACTGTTTCCATGCTTGAATGCTTACTCATTTGCATATATGACATCTTCAGGTAATCACTGTGATCTCCATTAATGATCCATTCAGGGAGGGGGAGGGGGTAGTTTACAGGGCTGGTTTGTTTGATTTTGATTATCTTATCTAAAATCCTATACCTCAGATTTAATTTAATTCAATCTTTAACAGAACCATCTTACTTGAAATGAACATGATCCTTCTATCATTTTGTTTTCATTGCATGCTTGTTCTATAAAGCTTGTAAGTATATTTATATAAAGTACAGGTTTAGTGTGGTTTGTTTTGATATTCAAAGTGCTTGCAATTGATTCTTTTGTTTATATGGATTCATCAGTTTAAGGTAAAGTGACAAATTTTACTTTGGTGATGTCTGAATAACCATAGGTAAACTTAGTTGTGTGATGTCGAAGATTCTTAAGAAAACTTGTATTTACACTTTTCACTGTTGTGTATAACAGTATTACAGTGTGTGATCTTAATGTTTTGTTCAAATTCTGTTCTTCTTATGTTTACACTAATTGCAATCTAGTATGAAGTGCACTTTGAATATCTTTAATTTTGTGCTGTTGTATTTTTATACAGTTTGTAGCTTTGGCCAATGAATTTATTAATATGAGTACTAATAGTTGATTCCCTGTTAACATGTTGATTATTGTTTCTTCTATTATGATATAGTGTAATATTGTAATCAACTTTTATTTCTTCTTCAATTATTTGCATCCTATTTGTATGTTGATGAATTTATCCCCAGATGTTATCATGAGCTGTATTCTTGGAGTAATGTATGTAATCATAGTAGAAGTGCAGAATGAATGTATTCTAAATAGAATATGTCATGCTGCCAGTTATTAAACAATTCTCACGTTTTACAATACATGCGCCACCACTGTTCGTACCATGAGAGGCAAAATTATGGCAAAGAATGAAGATCCATATGAGAATAACATTCTGCAGCTTCACAATAGAAGACCATGATGACAATGTCGACTAGATCTAATCCAGATCGAAAAGCAAAATGATGATGTGCCGGGACTAGGCGGCAGCTAGTGGGGCGGGCTCCCGGTGATGTCTCACCAGTGTGCAATAAATAACTAGCAAGCATTTTGTTGAGAAAGTTGTTGACCCATCTCCCAAAATTACCGCGCTAGAGTGACTGTCGCAACTGAAACGAATGAGGGCGTAAGGATTTTGAAACGTGAGAATTAAAATATATGATCTGGTAGTCCAATCTTGCATGGACCATTACATTTGTCTACATGGTAAGGGATAATATGATAGTTTAAACCATTTTTCTTCTTGTTTCTGACTAGGTGGTACTTTACTGACTTTAACATTCAACTACATGATGGTGCTTCAGATCATTACTGTTAATGTAGACATCAAGCTTGGTGGTTCTGTACAGCAGGTTGCCAACTCAGCCAGGTATGTTACTACAAACATTTCACCCGCAATTAACATACACAAAAACTAAATTTGAGAAAATATTGCTCCTCTATTGTACTATGTTTGTTTATTGTAAGGTCATTCAAACTTGTTATTATGAAGCTCAATGTGAACTAAAAAGCTATATCCATTATTTTTGTATTTTTATGAACATTTTGCAGACATAAGTTGTTTTTGATGATGTAAATGGATTGTCAGACGTCTATTTATGTTGCAGCACTAATGCATGCAAAATGTGAACAGTAAATGGACACTGTTTGTTTAGAACATCTGAATGAATTATCTTGTTACCTAGTTTGCATCCATTAACTTTACAACATTATTATGAAAATGTTGATTAGCATGATTATTGGTAAAGTAATACTCTTAAGTGTGTCCATTTTAATTTCAAGAGAATATTTGCAATGATGACATCGCAAGTTGATGATGGTTGGACATTTTCATGAAAGAAAATATAGACATTGCAGGATAATTTGACGCCAGTATCTCAAGTGTCAGATTGCTGTTTTTTGAGACAGTAACTCACAAATGGAGACGCGATAGCTCAGTTCAGACCTGCCAACCAGTACGATTTAGTCGTATTTAGTACGATTTTTAGAAGCAAATACGACAGTACGATTTTCCTTAATAAAATACGATTTCCAAAAAAAAAAAAAAAAAAAAATGATTTTTAATAATTTTTAATAATTTTTTTATTAATATTTTGTGTGTGTGTCCGCCATTTTCAATGTCAAAATTTCCATTCTGTCCTGTAAAGTATCCTACAAGCATCTCACATCGGCAATTTGGGGATGTTTATTGGTTATTCTAACACACCAGTCGTGACGAAATAATGCATATTCGACCAATGATCAATACAAAAAATTCTTCTTGTAAGTAGAAACTGTAAGAGGCATTGATCCGCGTAACAATCCGTGTTTATTTTCAAGAATACAACTTTTGTCAGTAAAATACAACTTTTGACACTAAAGAATACAGTTTTTGAACTCCAGAGGTTGGCAGGTCTGTCAGTTGGTAGAGCAGTAGTCTTGTAAAACCAAGGCGATGCGCTAGTGCCCTTTGGTAAGGCATTAATGCCCATTACCAGGTCCCTCAGAGAGGACCTACAACCGTTGGGCCTCCGGTTGCTTACTATAAGCATTTATGCTTTCTTAGCAGTCATTAAAAAAAACAAAAACACTACAAACAATCCTCTGAACATAATTGACCCATTCTGATGTTGTTTTCTGTGTTCTTGTAGCGGTCTCTTGTCGCCGTCAAATCTGCTGAGCTTGCTGTTCCCAGGGGATGATGGGAAGGAATCGCCCAAAACAACCAACGCCTATCAGCTTAGCAAGATAGGGTAGGTATTGAGGATAAAGATTGGGTTGTCTGAGGTCAATCTTACATATCGTGTGCTTGGAGGTAGAACGGCATTATCTTACTGTCCTCCTGGTTCCAAACAGACAGTACATGCGATACAAGCTATATTATTGCTATTTTCAGACCTCCTAGGCTGGGTAAATGAAGCTGAAACAATCAGACACCTCTCATTTGGGATTCATGTATTTGATGTGGAATACTAGTTGTTGTTGGCTAAGGTTTGTCAAAAGGACAAGATTAGGTATGATCTGTTCCATCATGCACTCTTGTGTTGTTGTTACATGTACATTTCATTATCTATGTGGCATTAAAGAATATGGATTAATCAAAGACTAAGGATTAATGTCATAAGTGGATGCCTCAAGGTAAGGCCAGTGCCACATATTATAAAGAGTTGATATTAGTCTCAACTTATTTGCGATTGGTATCAATTGTATCTATGTGCATAAGAGATAGGAGACTGCGAACTTGCCATTGATCGGAGGACTTGGGATTGATTTGGATCATTCGCAACTCTTTACAAGATGGGGCCCTGGTACATTACACGAGTATTTCAAATGCGCCAGCCATTCAATGGCATTCATAGAACAGTTTTAGATGAATATCTAGCTATAGACACAACCATTTAAAGAAGGGTTCAAAGGTCAAACACATGATTTGGGATCTTCCTGTGAATTGACTTTTGACAGAAATTTAGTAGGACAATCTACACAAACAAATGAGGGCATGTAGACAATTGGGTGACAACTTTAGGTGCACCCATCATTATGTGTTGGGCCTCTTGTTCACTGTTCTCTGAATAATGAATCGATTTGAATTAAGCAATCAATAAACATGTTTAGTTACATATTCAAATTTTATGCATACTTTTTGAACAAAGGTTGTTCTTGAAAACTTGAAAGTTTGCCTGGGGCTTGCCCGATATAGCAACAAATAATGTATGCAGACTGGATTCCATTTATTGTAGTTCATTCATTAATAACAGGTTAATGGAATAATTTGACACTAGGTCCCCAGGAAAGAAAGATCCATAAATTTGAATATGCAAGACTGAACTGTACCTAGAAACCACTGGAAAAATGTATATATTCAACCTTTCAATTCTGTTGTATTTATCTAGAATGAATGACCTGGCCTCGTACATTGGTCAGATCGGTCATCCATACCGCTGGGTCCAGTGGTTAGGTGGGCTAGATTTCTTATCAGACAGTGGTGGGAACACGGTCAAGGCCTCAGCAGCCCTCAGTAACAGTCATATGGAGTCAACGGTCAAGGCCTTGAAGTCCAGGGTCAAGGCCAGACTGACACTCAATCAGCAGCTGCTCAGTCTAGGTGAGACTTTTGTAACAGATCCCATTCCTAATGATTATTTTTCCTCAACTAAAATATCTTACCTAAACCATTAATACTAGCTGGGGTTTATGGAAAAGGATACTTATACCAAAATTTATTATGTAATAGTTTAGTTCCATTTCTTCCCATCCTTTTATTGGAGTAGTCTTGATGATTCCTTTTGAACTTTGGGGAGAGTGTTTTATGAAGGTAGGATGCCTGTGAAAATCAAGTGTTAATGACTTACCAGTATTAGGATTTAGGAGACAGTTCCATTGCATCGTTTAGGTCTAGTATTTGAATCATTTTCAAATGAAACCTACATACAAACATACATACAGCCAGATTGTTTCATGATACATTGATTCTTTAAAGTGACTTGGTAATATTGTTGAAGGTTGATAAAAAAATTGCTTAATTTTTGTATAAAATGTTACTTACTATATTCCTTTTACTGTACTAACCCTCTGACATGCAAAAAATCCTGAAAAAATTCTCAAACCACAAAGATATCTATGGTTTTCTTTGAAGGCGTCGATGTACAACACCCTCTAGCAGTGATTAACAGTAAATTCTCCCAACCATTTTTGAATTTTCCCAACCGTTTTTCCATGACAAAAATACATAAAACAGGCTATAAAAAATCTGTCAACACTTAAATGTCTGGAATGGAATGTAGAGCCATTTTATTGCTTTGTGAGATTTCCATTCACCTAAAATGTAATTAGATTTTAATAATATAGTTGGGAGAATTAAAGAATCGATCAGATCAGTTTTTGCCAATTTGTACCATGGATAATGGTCCGTTTTCACTCAAATTTTCAGATTAACTTTAATTGTACATCTAGCATTGAAGTCACTACCTTAGCACCACTATCTCTCATCTGAACAATGTTACCAAGTCCCTTTAATATTTTTTCACATTATCTTGTCTTTGTAAAACTATTTGTAAGTAGAAGGGAAAACAATAGCAGTTCCTGCAGCCTCTATCAACCTGTTCCCAACCAAGATCTGTTCATCTCTCAAATCCTGGACAACAATAACTGCTGAAGACTTCCAGGTAACGTACATGTTGATATAGACAGAAATAGTCGTCTGGTATGGGGATTTCTTTTATGAAAACTGACATTTGTCAACCTTCTACATTCACAGACTCCCTTGCCAAAGGCACTGGGGGGGGGGGGGGTCTAACTTGCCAATTTTTATTGGAATCCAGCGAAAATTTAACAGTTTGATTTAGAAAAATGATGATAGGAAAGAAAATGGATCAAACTTTCATATACTTTAAAAAATAACATTAAAAATCACTGTAAAACATCAAAATGTTAGGACTTACTTTCAGCTAATTTGTCCCTTTTCTTGAAGCTACTGTGCGAATTGAGATCAGCAATGAAACACAAACTACATTGTGTAACTTACCCTTACTAACCCGTACAATGGACTTCAGTCTCTGTATAGAGGCGGTCAGTGGAGCCAGAGGTAGTCTCGGCGCAACAACTGTTGAAATCAGAGACTGAAGCTTTCAGTCTAATGTAGATATAGCCATGTTCACAATGGGTGACTTCACTATTGATGTTAATTTTCAGTGAGATCACTGTGTGAGACATTGTATTGTTTTAATTGGTGTTAGTGTTAATTTCACTAATTGGGATATTATCTGTGATGTTGCTGATGACAAGTTCCACAATAAATACTTGTTCAGATATAAAGCGGCAGAATCACAGCGTTTTTTCATTATAGAATAGAACTCAGTGTAAACGCATAGTTGACTTTCATTTACACGTTGAAAGAAAAACATGGCAGCATTTTTGTGGCCGAGCAATTAGTTTCATTTTGTATGTAAGTGGTATTTTTAGTTGCATTGAGTTTTGTGTTTGAGTGGGTTGGTGATGTTAACATCAACATTAATGAATTTATAACCTTGTCAACAATCAGTAGAGATGTTCATTCTTTTGAGTTTCCCCCTGACAATTGGTCTTTTTCTTTTTTGTCAATCCTCTAAAACCAGGTTATTCCATTCTTGAGAGGGCACCCTTCTGCTGACAGACTGGATGACTCGCATACAATCTTTCAAGCTATGATGGAGCGAGGCTCAGGTAAAGTACCAAATACAAGTGTGACCTTACAATGTAGCCTATGATGATTGGTCAAGGAAGGCTAGAAAGGTTGTCTTTATAGGCACGTTGTCTTTCTGTACAGGTTTCAGCAATAAATATTTCACTAAAGGCTTGTTCAGATCAGTATGTTAAACCACAGAAGAAAAAAAACACAGAATGTGAAATGTGGTTTTCATAGAGGTTTGACTTACAGCTGAAATTTAAAAAAAATGAGAGATGATGAGCATACAGGATAGAACTTTTTGCCTCCTCATATCATTATTATTTAGCCTGTAATGTTCACAACATACCGAGGTATAATGTGTGTTCATATGCAGCACCAAAAACAACATACATACATGTAGTTCAAGGACCCTTTAGATTGGTGTTAGGACATTGTTAGATTGTAGACTGGATAAGTGGATAATGTGACTCCAGAAGGTAGATAGAAAGGTATTACTAATCTTACCACATTAATCATTTATAATAATTTATATTATTTATAATAATCAAATCAAGCTCAGGGTAATATTTTGCTACGATAGCTTAAAGAACATGTTATTTGTACAAATGATTACAGAGGCCAGTATGTATGTCGCTGCTAACCTTTTTAATTCATTCTCCCAATATGGTTTTGATTCTATCTCTTCAATACAGCCAAGCTACAGGTATTGATACTGCTCGGCCTAGACTACCCTAACCAGCCACCTCATTTTATTCTCAATCTTCAGTGGGTAGGACAACGCAACTCCAACAACGATCTCCACATCAGGGTAAGGACATTGATTGGAAAAATATATCTATTTACCACTTTGTAAGATCTCACAATTATGAACCCAGTGCGCCATTTCCAATCCTGTATTCTGTTCTGCAAAACGCATAGAGACATGCAATTATGCCTATGTATTGTGCGCTATTTAAAAAAAAGTTTAATTGATTGTTATTATAATAATAACATTCCGCTTTTATATAGCGCCTAATGCATCGGCGATGTCTCTAAGCACTTTACGGATATATATTATTACCCCGATCATCGGATTCAGGCTTGCCCTCACATAATGTATGCACATTCTACACTTATGACCTGGAATTCTTTTTTTAAATGTCCATCAAAGTAGGGAGGGTTGATATTTGCATTGCCCCGAGTATTACAAGGAGAGCCCATCCATATACAATTTGTTCAATTATTGCATTTTGATCTGGAAGGCAGACATAAGTTGGGATTGTTGCACAAGCTGATCTTGGCTTTACGTTGGCGATACAGCTTCGATAGCTGTTTTAAAGAGAAGGTTGAGTTCTGGGACGAGATGAAAAATAATTTGTGAGCATTATCATTGTTATTATGCAAGTGTGGAAGACCATCAGATAGAAAGTGTTCCCTAAAAAGCATGGCTCTTCAAATGCCCTAATATTCTAAATATGGCATGTAACAACTTTAAAATCAGGACAGATTTTTATGCCACATATTCATGTAGTCACATATACATATTCTGTGTACAGTGCTTGTAACTTTTACCAAGACTGGGCAAAATTTCTTATCATTTTGATGATTCCAGAACCTTGCAGTAAACACCAATACTTATATGCTAGATGATTAACCTTTCCTGATAGATTCTACACCGTTTCTTTTACAATGCGATTGCGTGACCAGTACTCAACCTTCTCTTTAAATGTTTTTATTTTGACCAGGATATGGAGGCCGAGTTAAACATCCACTATGGTGAGCTGATCGGTAAGACGACCGTCAACCATCTGATGACTAACCAGCTTCAGAGGGTTCTTATGTGTCTGGATGTGTACCTAGAGACCCAGCAGGGGCGCAGGAGAGATGAACAGGCAGTAGGAGGTACAGAGGGACCAACAGAGTTTGTCATGGAGAAGATGTATACAAGAGTGACGAGGTGAGTTAGCTAGCAATCATCAATTCTGGTCTGTGTTTGTTCGTATCAAAGCTACAACCAGCTGTTTCATTGAATAGTTGGCAGTGAGTTGCCATAAGGGAGGTTGGTCTACTTTTGGTTAAATGCAGGTGTGTGTTTTGATGTGCCTTTAATTTGCATCAACTTTTTACTTGTATTCACAGAGACCTTTGAATAGATGTATGAGGGGTTCATAATAAATTTGACTAATAATCCCTCCTCCCATGCAAAAAAAAAGAAGAGTTACGGTATGTAATATTTAAGATTTATCCCCTTATATTTTGGCAGTAAACTGCGTTTCTTTTTGGAATTCCCTAAACAAAGTCTGTTTTAAAATATGAAATAATTTTGATTGAAAAGTCCTATTGGATTATAACAGTAAATTCTCCCAACCATTTTTTGATTTCCAAACCGTTTTTCCATGAAAAAAAGACATAAAACATTGTATGTACAATGTACTTTAGAAAGGAGAAATAGTGATTTGAATGTTATGTGTTAATTCAGTATATGATTCATGAAATGAATGTATGAATACAAATATGTCTTTCTGTTATTAAATATTTATGCCAATTTTTTTTTTTTTTTTTTTTTTTTTTTCAGGGGTAGGAATCGATCCAAGCCATTCAAGTACAACTCTCTGCAGGGATACTTCATGCAACGTCTTTAACATCAAGGACAGTCAGCATTCCAGTTCAGCTAGGGACTTTATTTGCTTGTAGACTAGGTTGTGGTAATGTGGTGGAAATCCTATAGTAACACAGACTGAAATCCATCTTGAAATCTATGAATTCACATATTCATCAGCTGATATCTCTTGTGTTTCTATGAATCTGCTTTTATTTGTTTAAAATTAAATTTGATCCACTCTTGCTAGCTGAGTCAGTTTACAATGTTCATATGGATTTAAGAGCAATTCCATACCATGAAAGCCATATATACCAACATGTTTCCAGACAGGTTGGTTTAACCGGACAGTTCATATCAAACAGTATTTTAAAGAAGTTTACATGCAATATTTCATAAATCTTTTCTTAAGACTTAATTTGGACAATATAATAAAGGGCAAAAATATGTGATGGTGAGTGCCATTTGATGCCTATTTCATGTTAGTTCCAAACGCACAAATGACAACTTTGATTTGTTAAGCCTGTGGACACACATACCCCTAAATATATATGTTCTATGTAGGTGTTTATGTGACCAGGGGCCTCTTGCCTTTAAAGTTGCTTTCACCCATTATATACCCAGACCAAAGTAACTTGAGCTGGAGTCTTATGAGAAGGTGTGCTGTATCAAAATGTAATTGGATCCAAGAATTTAAAAAACATCCCCCAAAACCAGGAACAAAACAACAACAACCAAATGTAAGTTCCAAATAAATGATCCTGATTGGTTGAAGATTAAGTTTCATTTATTTTCTTTTGTTGTGTTTAAATGTAAATTTGTATACGAGAGGCCCGAGGTCACCTGTTAACGTAGAACTCGCATCTGTGGGAAATTTCATATTCATTTCAATTCATGTTGTTCATTTGCTTAAAACCCATCAAACTCATAACAGAAGTGTAAAGACAAAAGACCAATTCATACCAAACACTATTCTATAGTCATGCATGCAACACTCTGCACTATTCAATATCCAATAAGCAAAAACTGTTTCTTTACAATTGTGAAGACCTTTGGTTTCTTCAGTTACGGTTAAAATACATATGGAAGTTGATACTGATAACATATTTTTTGTTTTTTATATTGCAATTTTTCAAGCAAAATTTAGAAATAAAGGCTTTTAATTTGAATGATGTTAAGTTAAACAAATTACTTTTGATCTGTACCAGAACTCAACATTTTATTAAAAATGATTTTGTTAAAACAATGCAGTTAAATTTTTATTATGTCAGACAACATAGAAGTACACAAATCATAAGGCGCATCCACCATAATGTAGTGTTTTATTTTCATTTTATTGAAAAATTGTTTTGTACAAAGGTACATACCTGTATATTCACATTTTGTAAACATCATGTCATGTATATACATACGAGCCTAGAAGGGTTTTAATAATAAAATAAGACCTGAATGAAATCTTTAAATAATGCATTGCTTTATTTTGTTGCAAATTATGATTTATAGACTTCACGAAAGAGAATGTATTCCCCCTGAGAGTATGTGCAATATATGTATTATTTTAGAAGAAAATACTCAATTGAAATTAGAAAGTATTAAAATTGCAATCGGGAAATTTACCTCTGGTGCTCTTTTAGAAATATGGATCACATCATCTATTGATTTAAGGTTTTGTAATGGATAGAAAAGGCAAGTGGGGAGGGGGGGGGGGGATGTTTTGCTAGTTTAAACAATAAATGCTTTTTCAGATATGAAGTGGCAAAACCGCAGTGTTTTTTGTTTGATGACATGTAACTGAATGGTAACTGCTCACAAGAAAGGTCTTGTGCGGATTCACTGAGCTCTGTGTTAAAACATACAGAGATGTCAAGCGTGTTACACTTGCGTCATTAGTAATTTAAACAAAAACATGAAAGGGAAGAGAAAAAAAAAAAATCTGCCACAGATTACAAGCGTTACTATTGCTCCTCCAAGAAATATTTAAATTTTTCAAATTTTAGTTCTATGTAGATGGAATTCACTCCATGTATAATGGTTGTTGCCGTGTTAGGCAGACTTTTTGCATACTTATAGGTTGTCAAATGCAACTTTTGGTTAGGCATTACACGACATGTGTGCAAAGAAGTTTAGACATTGAATAAAGTGACAGAGCGAAATTATGTTGATGAAGTGTTGAGAATAGCTAAAGAAAAGAGGCGAGAATTGCAAGGGAAGAGTAGAGAGAGAGAGAGAGAGAGAGAGAGAGAGAAAGAGAGGGGGGGGGGGGGGGAAAGAGTGGTATTCTGGAAGTATTTCATAATATATAGAATTAAACATTTCAATTGTTACACTATATTTAATAATGAAAAGCCATCAGTAAGTTACTGCATAGGTGGCTGGTTACACAAATTGCTCAAGAAGACAATTGTGCAAATCCCAACAAAACAGAGTTTAAATGTATAATTGAAATCTCTCCACATTTATCGAAACTAAAAATATCTTCAGAATACCACACCTAGATTTCAATTGAAAAAATAATTACCGGTAGTCGAAAATACATAAAAGTAAACCTCATATGAAAGAATTTCAATTTATTTTAACCATGATTGGTAATCGGCTTACCATACAGTCACTATGTTGAACACATGTAGCTGTTCTCACTGCCTCTTTCAATAATTCTAAAACCAAAATAAATAAATAACCCTAAGCATAAACTAGTATAAAAGTCTTCCTGATACGGCTTTTCAATGATGCATGTTGGAAGAGCTATCAGTTGTATTAATTCCATTCAATTTAAATTTAAAATTTGGTCAGAACACTGCAAGAACACATTCAATTGCCTTTCTCTTTTTATTCTAAAAATGTTTTCCAGAAACTTCAAGGTTTTGTTCTGTAACATCCAGACTCTAGCACCGTTCAGGCTCCCAAGACTAGGTGGACCATATTTTGTTTTCAGTATCTATTGCTGAGGCAGTAAGAACAGGCCCTTCAAAACAGACCACATTAATATTTACAATATAGTACATCATAAACACGCCTATTAAAATGATTTGTATACAGTGATTGGGCTATGTAGATCGTTTCCTGATCTTGTATTTGCCTTTCTGCATCTGTGTGACGTAAATCCTCATCTTCTGGTTGTCAAGAGTCTTCTTTACCCAGATCTGTTGAGAAATTAAAAGGAGATTGTATTTTAATATGAATCTTAAATAATGTACAAAATCACTTCTTTGCTCTGAAGTAATTATTATATTCAATTATATATCAAGAATCGTAAGAATGTTCTAATTGGACCGCCAATCAAATTTTAGTATACATGTAATAGGATTTATAATTATAATTATTTAGACTCAGATTTTATTGATTTGATTTGATTTGATTTATTGGTTTCTGCATCTTTTTTTCATCATACATTTTCATGGACATAATATGGTTTGATACAATATTTTAAGTGTATATAATTTTAAACAGATAATAAAACTAGATGGAATTTTGACTGCGCGCAGTCGAAAATGATGCCTCCGCCATAGAGCAATTTAAACAAGTTTGGAATTTAAATCTCCAGTGGTTCTTGAGATATCATGATAACAATCTCAATGTATGGAATTTCATAAGTTGACCTCTGTGACCCTTGACCTTTGACCTACATGCTCCAAAATTTAATCAGATTGTCTTCTTATGGTGATACACACTATCATTAAGTTTGAAGTTTAAATCTCCAGTGGTTCTTGAGATATTATGATATGGTGATACATACTATTATTAAGTTTGAAGTGAAAATTCTCCAGTGGTTCTTGAGATATCGCGATAACGATCTCAATGTATGGAATTTCATAAGTTGACCTCTGTGACCCTTGACCTTTGACCTACGTGCTCCAAAATCTAATCAGATTGTCTTCCTATGGTGATACACACTATCATTAAGTTTGAAGTTTAAATCTCCAGTGGTTCTTGAGATATTATGATAACAATCTCAATGTATGGAATTTCATAAGTTGACCTCTGTGACCCTTGACCTTTGACCTACGTGCTCCAAAATCTAATCAGATCGTCTTCCTATGGTGATACATACTATCCTTAAGTTTGAAGTTTTTACATCTCCAATGGTTCTTGAGATATCATGATAACAATCTCAATGTATGGAATTTCATAAGTTGACCTCTGTGACCCTTGACCTTTGACCTACGTGCTCCAAAATCTAATCAGATCGTCTTCCTATGGTGATACATACTATCCTTAAGTTTGAAGTTTTTACATCTCCAATGGTTCTTGAGATATCATGATAACAATCTCAATGTATGGAATTTCAGAAGTTGACCTCTATGACCCTTGACCTTTGACCTACGTGCTCCAAAATGTAATCAGATTGTTTTCCTATAGTGATACACACTATCACTAAGTTTGAAGTTTAAATCTCCAGTGGTTCTTGAGATATCATGATAACAATCTAAATGTATGGAATTTCATAAGTTGACCTCTGTGACCCTTGACCTTTGACATACGTGCTCCAAAATCTAATCAGATCGTCTTCCTATGGTGATACATACTATCCTTAAGTTTGAAGTTTAAATCTCAAATGGTTCTTGAGATATCGCGCTAACAAACTCAATACAAGGAATTTCATAAGTTGACCTCTGTGACCTGTGACCTTTGACCTACGTACTCCAAAATCTAATCAGATCGTCTTCCTATGGTGATAAATACTATTCCGGAGTCTTAAGTTTAAATCTTAAATGGTTCTTGAGATATTGTGATAATGGTCAAACGGGACGGACGTACAGACGGACAACCCGAAAACATGATGCCTCCGGCACCACCTTCGGTGGCGGAGGCATAAAAAATTAAACAAATATATTGAATGCATAATTAACATACATTAGATGCAGGAGGGCTACAGAAATAAGCAAAGAAGATTAACAAGCCTCAATACAAATCTGAAATACTCTTTAAAAAATTTAGTAATTTGTTTTGAAACAAGCAATATATTCCATTGTATATGAAGGATCATAAGAATATTCTGCTAATAGGACAATAAGTCTACTTCTAATGCAGTTATTTGCATGATTTCTTGAGATTTTTCCCCAAGAACTGAAGGAGAAAAAAAAAGAAAAAATCAGTTATCATGGGTTACCCTTTCACATGAATCATCCAAGTCAAACCACATATGTTTTCCACTTATAAGAGATGGTCTGAGATACTGGTCTCACATACATCCCTTTAGACCCTCTACCATAGCGTTCCACGTCACTGCACCTTGTCAGAAAGGTCAAAGGTCACGTATCTAACGGCTGACTTTTAAACACAGGTTTATCATTCATTGCATGTAAAACAATGAAGGAAAAAAAAAGCCACTTTACCTCAATCTGCCCAATGGAGGTTACAATTGCGCTGACTTTGCCCATGTCCTTCGACTCCACATAGACATTCTGGCCTCGATGGAACCAGCGCTTCTCGTAGAACAGTTTCCCATCCTCGATCCTGACGTTGTACTTGTGGTTGCTACTGCTTCCTGTGGAGTGGCTGCCACTGGAGGTAGTGGTGGTGTTGGTGCTGCCAGTGGCACCAGTGGTAGTGCTGCCGGTGTTGGTGCTACCGGCAGCGTTGCTGGTGGCACCGCTGCTGCTGTTATGGTTATGATTGCTGTGGTTGGAGTGGGATTTCATACCGGTCTTTGGTTTCCAAGCTAAACAGAAGTAAACACAGGTAAATTCAATTGGGATAGACTTGTAAAAATAATACAACAAAAAACTCATAATTTAATGCTGTTGAACAAGGATTGAATAGAATTCATGCACATGATAATGAAATCAACAGGATATAAATGCAATATGGTAAACAATAGTAATATACTGCATGGTTTCATCACAAACAGGGCACAAATAATGAACGTAATAATCATGTGTATACATACGCAAATATAAGCAATGTTATTGAAAAATTTGTCAGGTGTAAATTCCATTGTTGGGGTAAAGTGGACTGATTTAGAATTGAGGCGTGAACAGAAAAAAAAGGTGTCTCTGCATAGTACCTGCTGCATAATTTCTACCAGAGTACATGTTCCAGTATCCTTTTGTACAATATTAATCTTTGAACTTGAAAAGTAGAGAAAATGATATGCCAAACTGACAAAATTAGCTTTCCTCCAATAACATATAAATTGTAATAGGTAGTGTAGTGTGTGGAAAAATGTAATAAAGAAAACAGCATCACCCATTTGCAAAGAAAGAGCTTATTCAATCATTCATGCAGTGTGAGAATTTACAGACATTGGGTTAGTAGAACAATTGTCAATTAGTATTAATCAATCGTATGTATACCATATTGAGAGGGTATAAAATCAGCTGAAATTCAAATGAATGGGTTACAGTGAATAAACAAACAATGTTATACAGTTATAGGAATAAGAGCACATCACCAAAGATAAGAATTAAAAAAAGGGTAAAATATGATAGCTTCTAACCTAGTAGAAAACTAATCTAAAGCTCAATGCAGGGATATCTGAGTTTATGATTCTAGGCTCAAAACAAATCTATGGAGGGAAACGTCTCTCTCAACAATTATGATGGAAAACTTCAAAATTGTCACTAACTTTCAGAACATTATTCCCACATTTAAAGTTATACAAAATACTGATTAAGCTTTTAATGCCACAGATTTTCTAACAGTCATTGCATACATTGCTCAAATCTTGATTCTCCCTCTTTGGAAACAGCCATGCATTTCGTATAATACTTTTGTATTATTTATTCACTATTATACTTTGTAATAGTGTCAGGTATGCATCAGCTGCAATTCAAATGTCTTTGAAACTACACCCCTCTCACAAGTTTACTATTTCATCAGAAATATCTTCACTGGCTATTCATCTAAGTCTCTACATGCGAGGCCAAACTCATCAATGAGGGTATGAAAACATTCCTTTTGTGCTTCAAACAACATGTAACCATGGTGACGTAAGGGTTATAAGAAGGCGGGCCAAGAACTTACAAGCTTTAGGTTTCCAGGATGACGACTTCTCAGCTGACTTCCGCATGGACCCTGCCAAGATAAAGGGCACTTGCCAGGCTAGTTTTTTTTCTTTCTTCTATTTTACATTTCCCTCAAAAATATTTCCCCATCAAAATGTCATACCCAACTCAACTGTTATACCTCAGTTATATAATATCTAAAGTTTCTCTGAAAGACCAGAACAAAATGCAGTAAATTGCCCTCAAACTACTTTTGCAAATACGCGGAAAAATATGAGAAAATGAAAGGAAATGGAAGTAAGAAGGAAATTGTAGCGCACTAAATCTGTGAGTTGTAATATCGGCTGCTGAACAACAATTGAGTGTGAACACATCACAAACAGTTCAAACTTAATGTTCTTCTGTCTCTTGATAGGCAATATACACATTCGTGATGTGCACTACACTTCAATCATTCCAGAGCTGCCAACCTTGTGCGACCAAAAAAAGGAACCATGATGGCAAAAAAGAGGAATTCAGTAAAACGACACTTACAACCACGCGCGACACACTTCCAAAGTAGAAATGTCCATTCCTCATGCTGTTTTTACTTATCCATATTAGGACCTTAAGTTTATTTACAAGTACGGAAGGTATTTATTTATTTTTTTTTGTTGGTATTATCAGCGTTTCATGCTTTTTGAGAATATTTTTCTCTTCAAGTATGTTTTGACCTTAGTTTTCTATTGAATTTGTGATCAAATCAACTTTTTAGGGCAACAATTTGCCCTAAAATGTTGATTTGATCACAATAATTTGCTGTGCGGTGTGTAAATTAAAAAAAAAAAAAAACACATTTTATGAAGAAAATAATGTGGAGAAAAAAACGGAATAATTCTGGGAAAAACGTAATGGTTGGCAGCTCTGTCATTCCATTTAAATGCAGTGAATTTGAGGCAGTTTACTGCATTATGAATAAGGCTTTAATAACGGACAGAAGAGCGGGATTTTTAAACAAGTAATTTCCCCATGTAGCATTTAGACCTCCTCTGTAAAACTAACCTATTGTAGCTCCCTTTGCACAGCTTATAAATCTTACAGTCCTGTCCAATTACCTGAACCTTATGTTGTTAATCAACCATCCCTATATCCCATTACAACAAATGCACACCCATCAATAATAATATCGGAAAAATGAGGAATAGCAGTGAACAGGGTGAAGAGTATAACAGCTCACTCACTCACTAGCTGAAAGCTTCATAAATAAGCAAAACAGTGAAAATGAGAGCACACTCTGAAAGGCTTATAAGATGAGACAAGATACACCACTTTTAAATATCTGTTATGTTGCCACACCACCAGTGCATAATATGTTTCTTTTTTAAATTCTCATAGAATTGAAAATAGAAAGTGGGAAATGCACAAATTGTGTGATGTTTTTCTTTCAATTTCCTGCCGAAGATATCATATTATCTCTATAAAACAGAGAAGTTATATCAATTACTGACTTTTACTGAATCATGTCTCCCATCCCTTCATCTGAATTCCCCCAAGTGGTTAGTTGAATTGAAAGACACGCAAACAGCTTCGGAAAATGATTTATAAGTTTGATGTGCCATGTAATACAAATACACCCTTTACCATGTACATGCAGTTTATACAATAAAAGTCACCAAGCAACTGGTTTGTATACATACCTGATTTCTTTGTGGTCCCACTCTTGTTCTGTTTAAAATGGAAAAACAGCACAGAAATGGTTTAATTCCATATCTATTATTTTTCCATACCTCTCATTTATATTCAGTACAGTCATTCTATGATCCTATCCAAACAAAATATGAACAATGTAGTCTGTATAAACTGTTCTAAAACAAAGGCACGGTACAATACAATTACAATACTGCCGCTTATAACATACCTAATTGATAGGGTAAAGTTAAGGGGAGGCGCGCTGGCTCAGTGGTAGAGCAATGTCTCTTAACCGAGAGGTGCCGGGTTCGAAACTAAGTCGCTGCGCACGTACCCTTTGGTAAGGCATTGATCCTCATTACCAAGTCCCTCGGAGAGGAATTAAAGCCATCTGTCCCCTGATTGCATACTTACAAGCATACGTATGCTTTCTTAGCAGTCAGGTTAAACAAACAAACAAAAAAACAAAGTATATGCTTAGAAAATCTGCAAGCTTATGTCTTGAACACCTAATATGTGACATTTCTTTTCTTATACAGTAGGTTGCGGGTGCACCATGTGTGAGAGAGAGAGAGAGGTTTGAGGGGTCTTGAAAAGGACTCTGACTCTGTAATCTTTCTTGGAGGAGTGTAGTCCTGAAAAGGACCGTTTGTTATCCTTCTTAGCATATAGTTCTCAGGAGAACTATAGTGCTTCTTTTAAATTCTACTAAGAGTTCAAGTCAAATGTAAATTGGAAGTTATAAGAAAAGCAAAGACACTATAAAAAACTAGATGGAACTTCGACTGCGCGCAGTCGAAAATGATGCCTCCGTCATAGAGCAATTTTACAAACCAAAACAGAAGAAATTTTTCGAATTCAAGTTCAATTGTAATCCATTAAAGCTTATCTGCCATAGTTTACAGGAGGGATTAGAGCGCCCTGCAAGGTCTCTGGACAGGTGGTTATCTCATCAACTCAGCTCTCAGTTAACATAAGAAAAAGAGGATCATGGGGGACCAATGGTCACCGATTAGGCATTGTTTGTTATATAGAGGGCGCAAGTAGCTACAAGTAGTGCAGTGGGCCTTTAACAGGTTCTCAGAATATTGTGATTACAAGCTATTTTTGCATACATAATGAGCCCATGACCTTTGACCTTGTGACCCCTACATCTAATCAGTTCATCGGCTCTGCAAGTAACATACAGTCATACATGACCTAAGTTTGGCAGCAATCCATCAATCGGTTCTTCAGATAACGCGATCACGAGCTCGTTTTGCATACATAATGAGCCCTGTGGCCTTTGACCTTTGACCTCATGACCTCAAAATCTAATCAGTTTTACAGCTTTGCAAGTAACATACATGACCTAAGTTTGGCAGCAATCCATCAATCGGTTCTTCAGATAACGCGATCACGAGCTCGTTTTGCATACATAATGAGCCCTGTGACCTTTGACCTTTGACCTCGTGACCCCAAAATCTAATCAGTTCATCGGCTCTACAAGATACATACATGACCAAAGTTTGGCAGGAATCCATCAACCAGTTCTTCAGATAACGCGATCACGAGCTCGTTTTGCATACATAATGAGCCCTGTGACCTTTGACCTTTGACCTCGTAACCCCAAAATCTAATCAGTTCATCGGCTCTACAAGATACATACATGACTAAAGTTTGGCAGGAATCCATCAACCAGTTCTTCAGATAACGCGATCACGAGAACGGGACGTACGTACGTACAGACGTACGTACAGACGTACGTACGTACGTACGGACGGACAACCCGAAAACATAATGCCTCCGGCTACTTCATAACGGAGGCATAAAAAACCTGTAAGTTTCATAACATACAACATGGCTGTTCACTAACATTTTTTTGAAGGGGATCAGAATTTGACTTTTGAGAGTCTGGATGCATGAGCCCCATACAGTTGTAAAATATTTAGTCTAGACGTAAATTTGGGTCACCCATATGTCCCAGTTATATATATATTGATGCCAAGCCCAGCATACAATATATATATATATATTTTTATTTTTTATTTATTTTTTTTTGGGGGGGGGGGGGAATTAAATTCTTCAAAAGAACATGAATAAAATTATATGAAATTATATGGAAGGGTTTATAAATGAATATGAAAGGAATTATATAGAATTATATGGAAATGTTTATAAAAGGACATACCTTAGTGAGGGCCTTCAGATCTGATGCAATCTCCTCCTCATTTAATGTATAGCAGAATGAACGTACATGGCAGTTAAGGAGAAACATATTCATTTCAAATGTATGATAGATCTATAAAAAAATACCAATAGCTTACCAGTATCATTTGGAATGTTAACAAATATTAGCTATGTTAAGTCTCTCTCTCTCTCTCTCCCTCCCTCCTCCTTTCCCTTTTTATTTCAAATGTATGATAGATCTATAAAAAATACCAATAGCTTACCAGTATCATTTGGAATGTAAACAAATATTAGCTATGTTAAGTCTCTCTCTCTCTCTCTCTCTCTCTCCCTCCCTCCTACTTTCCCTTTTTATTTCAAATGTATGATAGATCTATAAAAAATACCAATACCTTACCAGTATCATTTGGAATGTAAACAAACATTAGCTATGTTAAGTCTCTCTCTCTCTCTCTCTCTCTCTCTTTCTCCCTCCCTCCTTCTGTCCCTCTCTCTTTCTCTCTCTCCATCTTTCTCTTTGTACAAGTATATGAGATATTGCCCTTCTGGCTCTCTCTCATCAGATGAAAGCAGTCTCAAAAGGATATCAGGAGTTGGTTTCCTTCTCTTCTCTGGTAGAGGAATAGGGTCATTGGGTCTCCGTCGTAGCTTCCTTGTGATCACTGGCTTGATCTCCATTGAATCTGGTTTGGAAAAAAAGAAGGAAAAATCAGAATTAGATGCTGCTTGTGAGTATCGGCTTTCATGGTGATGTAGATATACAGTAGGCTTGCGGATGCACCATGGGAGAGAGAGGGAGGATTGAGGAGTCCTGAAAAGGACTCTCGGTCATCTTTCTTGAGGTTGTGTAGTCCTGAAAAGGACTGTTGGTGTAGTCTTGAAAAAGACTGTTGGTTATCTTTCTCAGCTTATAGTTCTAAGGAGAACTATAGCGCTCGGAGATGATGGGTGGCGGGAGTGGCTCGACGTTTCGAACAGGTTGATTATCCGTCGTCAGGACTTCTCAATCCTCCCTCTCTCTCACATGGTGCATCCTCAAGCCTAGTGTAAAATCAGAATTGTCATGACTTTCTAGAAAGATCACTCAAATAGTTTTTTTTTAAATAGCTGTTAAACTATAGTGGTCATTAACATTGGCAAATGTGTTGCTAAATCTTACTTCAATTCAATTTAATTTATTCAAGTCCATTTAAAGAAAGTAAATTGAAAATACATAGTATATCCAGAACATATGTTTATTCCCATAAGGTCAAGATTAAAATCTGTCGGTAGAAACAACCATAAAATCAATGATTTCTGCCAGAGAATAGGGTCATGGTGATGATTCTAGTGACCAAAGTGTCCAGTTATTGTGTGAAAAGAAAAGAACCCTGAACAACTAGTTTTTAATCTATACCTGAGACAGAAAGTAAGAAGGACAGGTAAAAGGGTGAGATTTGGACATACCTCCTGTCAGCTCCATAGACTGATGTTCAATCTCTATCATCCTCCTTCTATCATCCAGATCTAATAACAACGTCTCCATGAGATCCACCTTCTTCACCTAGAACAAAGAGACATGGTAAGAGAGATTAGTAGACAGATGGATAGATCAAACAAACTACAGAGTGCAATGACATGTAATTATGGGACTGGGACAAGTGAGAGATACCGGTATATAAGAATAGGCACTGATAGAAACAAAAAAGAGTAGATACATGTAAGTTAGAAAATAATTGGATATGCATAAAAAAAAGTGAGAATTAAATTGCGATGAAAATGATGAATGGTGTTGCCATGTTCAAATTGAATAGGAAGAATAGGAAGAAGAGGAAGAGGAAGAAGAAGAGGAAGAAGAGGAAGAAGAGGAAGAAGAAGAAGAAGAAGAAGAAGAAGAAGAAGAAGAAGAAGAAGAAGAAGAAGAAGAAGAAGAAGAAGAAGAAGAAGAAGAAGAAGAAGAAGAAGAAGAAGAAGAAGAAGAAGAAGAAGAAGAAGAAGAAGAAGAAGAAGAAGAAGAAGAAGAAGAAGAAGAAGAAGAAGAAGAAGAAGAAGAAGAAGAAGAAGAAGAAGAAGAAGAAGAAGAAGAAGAAGAAGAGGAAGAGGAAGAGGAAGAGGAAGAGGAAGAGGAAGAGGAAGAGGAAGAGGAAGAGGAAGAGGAAGAGGAGGAGGAGGAGGAGGAGAAGAAGAAGAAGGAGAAGAGTAGAAGAAGAAGAAGAGTAGAAGAAGAAGAGTAGGAGGAAAGAAATAATAATGTCAGTTGGCTGAAGATCTAAAGCATGACTGAAACCTTTCCAATTTGAATGCTACAAAGACTACATTGCCTGAAATCTGGTATCACTGACAAAACACCCCTTCACAGATTCCTGTCTAAAAAAATAACTTACCTCAAAGTCTTTGCCAGCATTCTTCTGATCTTTCAGATATTCTCTTTCCACAAGCTCCATCTAAAACAAATCATGCAACAATAAATCAATGTCAAGACTCACTTTTCACTTTTAATTTCTCTTTTATTTTTCTGTTGACTGTTAGTTGACATGCATCAATGTCATAGTGCACCAATGTCCTTTAGCAACACATGAAGCTACATTTTCCACTCTGTACACAGGTACATGTAAATAGGTCATTGGTAGGAAATGCTTGAGCACCTCTCCATGGCAGTTCGGCTTTGAGGAAGTTGAGGAAGCATAATAATGTGGTACTTCTGCTAAGTGCTGTGTTCAGTCAAACCCGTCTATAGCAACCGCCCAAGGTGGTCTTTATAGACAGGTGCTTTTTGTAGACAAGTTCCTTTAGTTCATGTTTCAATGAGAAACCATTTTCAAGGGAAACAAAAATGTGGTCTCTGAAGACAGGCTAAAGCAGGCTTGACTGTATTTGTATAGTAGCTGGCTGCAGAATATAATTAGACATACATGCATTATTGTTATTACTAGATTGTATTATCAAATTCTTCTACTACAAAAAATGAAAATTACACTGTTATAATCTAATCAAGTCATTCTACTTTGGAATGTTATTCCTTGAGCCACACAATACCATCTTTAATACAAAAAAAAAAAAAAAAAAAAAAAAAAAAAAAAAAAAAAAAAAAAAAAAATTAGAATTTGTGTTGGCTAAACTGCAGCAGCATGTTTTGTGCTTAATGACCAAAAGAAATTTGCACAGGAAAATTAATTACCGCCCGGCCATCAATAACTCTTTAACCAGGATATTTTTAGTCACATCTTGCATTTTGATATTGTTGGAAATTTTTGTGTGTTGTTCTTCCCCACTGTGTTTTGACAATGAACCAAAAATACAATCACCTGGCTTCTCATTAAAAATAAAAATCACGGCAAGTTTCGATCAATACTTTAGTTTTTAAACAAAAAGTAAACAGGTTTACAAGAGAAGAAATATCCTGACTTGCCCTGACATATCAATGATAAGTAACGTATTCCCATGAACTTTAGCATATCAATGTCAAGGCTATTGTAGCATACCTCTACTTGCTTAGCAATCTCTGCCATGCGTAGACGCTCTTTGAATTGTTGCTCCATCTTCTTGAGTTTGCGGTTGAGTTCAGGGTGTGTGCCATCCATCACCTGCTGAAGCTGCTTCTTCAGCGTGGCCAATTTCTCTTTGTAAATCCTGTTGATGGTCAATTCAAATACAGAATAGAATAAAAACAAACATTTTATCAGAAAGATCATTGATTCTTTGAAGAAAATGACTACAACACTGAATGAAAAACAATAATATAATAAAATAACAATGATATTATAATATCATAACATCATATTAACATCATATTAAATATTATAAATAATATTACAAAATAATATTGAATAACCTGTATCTATTCTTTCATAGATTACTCTTCATGTCTTTGCTACTAGAAGCCAATATTACAATTCTGGAAATGGAATTTTCATCATCAAAGAAATGTGATTGCATATTAAATAATAACATTCACATCTGTGCCCTGTTTGGTATAATTTTTTATCAATAAATAAGTGTTATAAGCTACTGAAATCCTTATATTTGATTGGCTTTCAGCAGATTTGTCATAGATCAGTGACAGTTCCTATTGATCACATGTTGTATTATGAAACGGGACCCTGTTGAACAAAGATGATGCAAAAAAAGTTCAACTTACATCTCTTTCATCTCTGTGTATTCCTCTTCAAGTTTAGCTGCATCCGTTTCACTGGCATCCTCTGTATCTAAACATAGTGCAAATTGATATTTCACATGAAGTTAATTAAAGTTTACTTAAAGGGTGGTGCATTTAAAGTAGCTCACAGTACACTAATCACCTAATCATTGCTAACGTTTAAATTTCACAAATAGGACATACATGACATATTTATAATGCCTGCAAAGTTCTACAGAATTTGATGTTGGCTGCAAATGGGACATACATGTAGTACCTTTAAAGTACTGTTCTATTTGGATTTACATCATGTATATGTGTGGTATAGTTTTTACAATATTCGATGTTTGTATTAACGAAAATAACTCAAGATATACTAACAATGTGTATTAATGAGATGTTCATACATGTATGCATTAATTAAGTTAACAAACTGGAAATACACAAGTTGAACCAACAAAAGTGAATTAGAGATCTAAGTGTTTGTAAAAAGGTTATAAAAGAAACTTGCAAATAATGAATAATGAAACAGTTGCCTCATTATGAGCTGAAAAAAATGTGACAGGAAACTCCCAATCAAGTTTCATTGGCCTTATGAGCTATAAATCCTCGGAAAGACGCGGACAACCCATTAAAGTAGACGGTGAGATGGGGGTATTTTATTACGCGCAATCCGTTTTTCACATTGCCAGCACGTGGATCGGGAACCTGAAACCAACAGAGCGCCAAAGAATAAAAACGTCAGCAAAAATGCAGACAATCCTTGTATTTTAGGACACATTGCGTCTGCGTATAATAATAGGGTGTCTGAACGATTTTTCAATTTTCAATTTGGGATCGTTTTTCACCATTTTTGTTGGATATTGGAATAAAAAATGTAATCAGAATAATATCTTTCAAATTTCAAGACTCACCGATGTTTCTATCAAAAGATACAGCCCCTCAAAAACTGTGCATTATTCATAGCATTTTGGTCAGAATGGACAGAAAAGTGGTTCACGCAGAGTTATAATTTCTGCTCAAAAGCTGCACAGCTAATGCACAGCACGATATGCAAAGCGTGGAGCAAGGGTATTTTCAAACTGTTGTAACAAATGATCCCTTGGGACTAGAGAAAAAATAAGTGCATGGATTCATTCTTTACAGCTGGCCCAACTTATCCCTCGGGGGGGCAGTTCGTGAAATTGATAAATCTCCGAGTTACCATGGAAACGATGTTTAAATCGCTGTTTTGAGCAAGATATTTTTAGAATTCCGGGGGTGGCCCCCTATGGGGAATATGGAGAAAAACCTGCTCTTTCATATGACACCACATTTATTGAGTTTCACCTTCAGGATCATTTGTTATAAAGGTTTGAATTTCAAATTTTTTCATAAAATCATTGACCATTTAGCATGAGCGCGCAATGCACATGGACTGCATAGGGATGTGTGCAATCTCTATGGGATGGATTTTAGCACACAAAACTGAGTGCGCGATCAGACACCCTAATAATAACCTTGTTTATGTGGACGATCCTCATTCTCGGACCAGCGGCGGCGCCCCTACTGACAAGGATATCTTGTTTACTTTTAGTCTCGTTCAGTTCACACAAATGATGAATTATTATTTGGAGAGTCCAGTCATACTCATACTCATAGTCATAGCCAACTCTGAAGGCATTTTGCTATGTTTAATGTTTGTCGGGTGTGGCCTGTGCTGTGGTGGCTGTGGCAGTGTGGGAATGACTTGTGAATAAGAACACATTTTGGGATTTGTTTAGTTTACATCACTCTTCATGCATGGCCATGAGTATAGCCGCCAATTTAAGGCTGGATTATCATAATATTATAACCTAGCCCTTAAGGAATAAGGCTAACAAACCATTCACAAACTCTGCTTAGCTCAACTAATATATATCGCGCTCAGCTGCTCAGCTCATCAGCTCCGTAAACGGCGCGGCGCGGTGAAAGGCCTAGGCTAGAAGCCGCTGTTGCATGTATCGGTTAAGCGCGACATAGACACGGGAAGCCACCGGCCTGGCTAATGTGCAATGCTGGACAGTGCAGTAGACGCGGGCTATTTACCTTCGTCCGATTCTTGTTGTGCCGTCGTCCTCTTTTCTCGAATATCCTCACTGTCGCTGAACTCATATTCTCGAGCCGGATCGACGCCGTTCGGCAGGGATTTGTTCCCTAACATAATGCTCATGTCTGGATGAAAATTGTCGATGAATCAAGAAATTATTTGAATTAATTAAGTCAGAAACCGTTCATCAGCGAGACAGCTAGAGAAACAACAATCAAGTGAAGGGGAAGGTCAAGAGTTCATTTGGCTTTAAAGAGAGCCTAATTGGGCGAGAAGCGAAGGTCACGACGTAGTACTTAGTCTTTACTCCAATGCTTTTGCAAATCTTTCATATATAACATAACATCGAAAAAAGGGAAACATAATCAATTGAGGATCCAGGGTTCTAAAAATAATCAAAAGAGATTAGTAAGAGAGGAAAATTGTTATCATAGATCTACTCCTAACAGTTTGAAAACATTCAATTTTGGGAGCGATTAATAACTTTGCCATGAGAAAAAAAATTCTATTTAGATCTAGACTCTAGATCTAGACTAGTCTACATTAATTCTGAAAATATATGCTTTTCCAATAATAAATACATGTATATAGATCTACAACAAATACACCCCAGCGCCACACACAGAAATTGTTTTGTAAATTGTATGCCCTTTATTAACTAGGACTGTCAACTATATAGTTTATTTGACTTTGAAAAATATTTAATATGGTTATGCAATATGCAGGGAGTTATTCTTCTTATTATTATTATCATTATTATTTATTCGGCAAAAAGAAGAAGAAAATCATTGAATACAAAACAAGAGTAGGCCTAGAATCTATATGGAGTTGGAACGCTCATGGGTTATGCGTCAAAATATGCACATCCTATAGGAAGAAAATGGAGCATCAATATTTCTTGTATATATTTGTATATTTTCTCAAACTCCGAACACAACTTTAGACTTTCTTATATATAAAGATCTATGCCTCCATGAAATATTAAAAATGAAAATGAAATGAACAACATGAATAACGACTTTAGTATGAATCTAGACTATTCAACGGTAGCAGTTGTGCTTGTTTATAGCCAAGAGCATAAAAAATATCGCCAACATCTCCATTTCTTCGCCCACGCAACTACAGTATTGATAACATGTGTGCACCAGTGGCACTGCATTGCATGCACTGCATGGGTTTTAGTTAGCTAGCTCTGCCGTGCCTGCTGCGCCAGACATGTTTGCAAGTTGTCTCATCCGTCTACACAACTTTGCATGACATTTTATTGAGTGTTCATCATTTGTTTGAGCCTTATATTTACGTCATCTTATGCTTCTTGGGCTTGGTAAGTGAGCCATCATGATGAATGCAAATTGGAGAGTAAAGAGTTTGTTTTTGTGTCAGACCATCAATGTCATGATCAAACTCAAAGAAGACTTGAAAGAGTTTAGGCCCTACTTTAAAGTTACAATTTGAATTTGAATAAGACCAATAAGAATCTAGTAGTCTACACATATTACATGAAGAGTGAATACCACCAGCCCAAATAAAGTCAGATCCACAAGATCTGCATGTGCTATGTAATTGTGATCTGTAAATGGTTGCCTTAATTGTCAAGCCCTTAATTGTGAAAATGTAGACTGAGTTTTCCGTCTCTTTCGATCGATCGTTAGCCTCTTATTAGGGTACCCATTAAGAGGCCTCTTATTGGGGTTGGGTCTCTCTCTTTAGAGAGCGCCGACCCTACCCCAATAAGAGGCTAACGAACGAAAGAGACGGAAAATTTGGTCTAGTGAAAATGTGGCATATGAATAGAAGATGAATAGTTATGTAAGTGTTGTAAGTTTGATGAATGTATGTAATTCATTTTTTAAAGGTATTATTTAATAGTTTTAATAAAAGATGAAAGTTAAAAGATGAGAAAGTTAATGTTCAGCACTTCAGCTTGCAGAGACGCCAAGTTCAAAGATCGGCAATGCGTGACATTTTCATGATTCGGCGCGCAAGCACGCGTGCGAGGGTATAACACGCGTATAAGGTATAGCGTTTTTTCAAAATCTAGCGCGCGCGTCGTGCGTAAGAGCATTTTCAGACCCTCGAAATGCGTGATGTCACGCCTAATGCGTGATACTTGGTGGCTCTGAGCTTGATTAAAGATTATGTTGTGCTGTTTGACTAATCAAACTGAGTGTGTTAATTTGAAGTACATCTTGTTTTCCTAATAATATATGTTTCCATGCTTTTTGTTTCTTCCTCTTTTTTTTAGGTCGTTTTTCCAGGGGTTCTGCATTTGATTGAATCATGAGTGTTGATAGTAAAGGACCGCTGGTAATCTCCGCCAAACAGAGTACACCTAAACGAGTCACCCCAGGCAAACCTAGGAAAGGTAATCAGTATATCGGCCGCTAAAAGACATAGGGTGTTATTCATGTTAAAGATCTAGGAAAAGTGCATTATCCCCCCCCCCCCACTCCCAAGATAACCTTTGTGTCATCTTCAGTGGCATCTAATGGGGGAGGCGAGGGTGGGGGGGGGGGATGGAGGATGAATTGGTCTTGTCACTGCATGCTTATCTCCACTCAAAATCTTTCCCAAATATTGATAAGCTATTAATTGTGCATCGACCATTTTATTTTGATAGTCAGAATGGTGGTTGCATTCATTGATGCTATGTTAGGCAATCTACATAATTTCTTAGTAACAATCAAACTGTGGAATCTAGTCCAGAATATTAACTATTTTCAATAAAAACAAAATTGAATTCAGGTGTTGCTTTTCCATCCATAATGGTTAACATCGTTTGCTTACAAACCTTAATACTGTGGCGTAACCGGGCTCTACCGGGGTAGCGCTCTGCCTTGCAGTCTTTCTCAGCTGAACCTGGTCCTTGCTCTTGACAATCAGTCATCAACGAACTCTCAGTGGGCTCTCACATAAATATATCGTGTAAGAAAAACGTGGCCTCTCATTTCACTCACTCCTGCAACCACTAAATTTCTGCAGTTCAGGTAACTTGATCTCATTCTAAGTTGCTGATCTCTATATCCCGTCGCAACGACAGCTCAACATTGAATGACTGAATGCTTGTGTATTCGTTTCACAATTAACTATGACGCTCTCTACATCTTACTAAATACTGGACCTATTATTATACAAATAATGAATGGTTATGAGTTCAATAGTGCGAATATTTTCATGAGTTGAAAGATTAACATTCTATTCAACGAGGCGTCAGCCGAGTTGAATAGAATTAACCTTAATCTTTCAACGAATGAAAATATTTGCACTATTGAACGAATGAAAAACATTCATTATTTGTTTTATACAACATCGAAGAAGATCTAATAGAACGTTAATCAACAAATTATGCTCTACTCCTTATATTAAAGATAAATTAAAGTTGGAGTCAAGCCTTCTCGATTACATTGGGATTGCCTTGGCGTCAGATACACGCAGGGATACGCGCGCGCACGACTGAGAGGTACGCAGCCTGCATATAACCAAAAATGCACGACCGTGCAATATACCATCTATTGAATATCATGTGACTAACAATCCTCCAATCAAATGACAAGGATCCACGTAGGTGTTGTATAAACTACAATATTCAACTTTTGTACTTGATTTCAGGTGGAAAGGTGATTGGGCAGATTCCTGTGGAACTCTTAAATGACCCTTTACTCCAAGATGCTATGAAAAGTGTAAGTGTATATCAATCCAATTCAATTTTCTTTCTTCAATTCAATTCAATCTACAAAAGTCATAAAAACAGCCGGGTCAAATGTGCACAACAATGGGGAAGAAAATTTATATATAATAATAATAATATTCATTTGTAAAGCGCAATAACTATGTGGATATATTCTATTGCGCTGCAAGAGCTCGTAAATGCTGTGCTATACATACTATATGAACAAGTGAGTTTTCAGTTTTGATTTAAAATTATCTAGTGATGGGGCTTTCCTTATTTCTAGTGGTAATTTATTCCATAATCTAGGGGCAGCACAGAGAAATGACCGGTCCCCGAGGGTTACTTTGGTTTTATATGGGGGTATTTGCAACATAAATGTGTCTTGTGTACTACGAAGGTTACGACCATGAGTTTGAGACTTGATGTGCAACAATTCAGTAACGTAACTAGGAGTTTGACCATTTAGAGCTTTGTAGACTATCATTAATATTTTAAATGTAATTCTCTGGCGAATTGGCAACCAATGTAGTTCCTTTAGAAGTGGAGTTATTCGAGAGAATTTTGGGAGGCTGCAAATTAGTCGTGCACATGTATTTTGGACCCGCTGCAACTTGGAGATTTGTGAGTCTGGCAATCCATACAATAAACTATTACAGTAATCTAGTTTACTAGTAACACATGCATGCATGATAGTTTTCATGCTGTCCTGATCAAAGTATTTTTGAATGCGTCTCAAATTATAAATCATGAAATAGGCTGATTTGCATATTTTAGTGATATGTGAATCCATATTCAGGTGGGTATCAAAAGACACACCTAAGTTTCTAACAGTATCAGATGGGGTTATGGTTGAGTCACCAACTGATACACTACGCGACCTAAATTTAGAAACCTGGCGTGGAGTACCAATGACCAAAAGTTCTGTTTTGTTATCATTTAACATCAACTTGTTTTGCAACATCCAAATCTTAATATAAACAACACATGATTCTAATTCAGAAATACAATGATCTTCAGCCGGTGTGTTAGGACAGAAAGATAGGTATAGTTGGGTGTCGTCTGCGTAGCAGTGACAACTAATACTAGGAAACTCTGTATGGATATTTGTAAGGAGTCTGCTTGTATACAAGGTAAACAACAGAGGGCCTAATCGCGACCCTTGAGGAACGCCAAAAGGCACATTGAATACATCAGAGACAACGTTATCAATTTCAATTTTCTGTTTTCTATCTGACAAGTAAGATTCAATCCATTCGATAACCTTGCCATCAACCCTAAAATGGCTTCTTAGAGTTTTCAGTAAAAATGAGTGATCTATTGTGTCGAAAGCACTGCTCATATCAAGGAGAAGCAGCAGACTTATTTTCTGGTTGTCCATTGACATAAGAAGATCACTTTTTATCCTAAGAAGTGCTGTTTCAGTACTGTGAAATTTTCGGTATGCTGATTGATTAAGCGGCAACAATGAATGATGTTCAATGTGCTCAAGAATCTGTTGGGTAGCAGCACCTTCTACCAACTTAGAAATATACTGAAGATTACTAATGGGCCTTAAATTACTCAATTCTATGTCAATATTAACAAAATCATGCGATAAAGAACGATGCAAACTGTACATGATTGAGTACATGAGGGGGTACTAGCAAAAAACCCAAGGCCTATCAAGGGCTACTCCCTAGGGAAGTTGGGATAAGAAAATAATATTATCTACTAAGAACCAGAAACCTGTTAACTTGAATCCTGTCGTGCCTCAAGACTTTATTCTTTCAGCAAATGTGAACATACTGACTTTAGTGGAATACCCTGTGCCGCCTTTGAATGATTTTCAAGCAGACGATGCCTTATAAATGCTGTGCATCATCATCATCATCATCATCATCATCATCATCATCATCATCATTTTCCTTTAGATAGAGTTAGTGCCCTTCTGGCTCTCATAAGATGGTACGAAGCCAATTTGGGCATGTCCCGAGATGTTATGTTATTCAGTGTCCCATACAATTATGATCATAGATTGACATACAAATATGATTGTAAGTTGATGTGATATTTGATCTGATAAAGTTCTAGTGCAGCTATTGGCTTAATGAAATCATCAGATATACCGGTACATGTACTTAGATGTGGTCCAAATTTCTGTGCAAATCTGATTATGGTCATAGATTGACATTCAAAAAATGATTTAAAGTAATTTAGTGGGATATTTAGTCTCATAAAGTTCTAGTACAGCTATTTGCTTTCAAGAATGAAATCGTGAGATATACTCATAATTTAGATGTGTTCGTAAAGTCTGTGGCTCTGTGCAAATCTGATTTATCACTTTAACAGATGAACTTGACAAACTTGGTCATTTATTGAGCATACTTCCTCTCTACAGAATGGAGCATGGAACAGTTTCTGCTTCATTTAAAGCAGTAACTTTTTTTCTTATGTATTAAAAACAAAATAAGCAGATGGGATCATTTCCTTTTTTAATGCTTCTTTGAAGAAAATAACATAATAATAGATGATGTGTGAAGTGTATGTCAGATCAAATTGATATTTCCCAAATTCCTACCATGAGATATGAAATTGCATCGTTTCTTGTTGGTAATTTCAGCTTCCACAAAATTACAACTTTGAAATTCCGAAGACGATATGGCGGGCAAGATCTATTGGAGCAAAGAGAGGTAACTCGCTATTAACTTTTGAATCGGCTTTGTTCATCATAATGTAATTTCTTTTTAATTAACATCAGACATCAGCTTCAATTTGAAATTGGCAAATAAGAAAAAGTGCAGTCAATTAATTAAAAAAGGCTAGACAAAGTACAAATAAAATATAAAACAAGTAATAATTCCAGATAATTTATCCATTTTATTTTCCAATTCATTCTAGACATATGATTCTTTCTTTTTTTGTGAAAACTTTCAGGTTTAATCATTAGAAACTGTTTAAACTTTGAACTTCACAGATCCAAAGGATGACATCCTTTAATAATAATAATAATAATAATAATAATCATTTAAAGTCCACTCCAAATTTTATTAAACCGAAAATGGAAATTATTGTTGCCCAATTGATTGTGAGCCCGGCAGCCACTGAGCAGCGCCAGATCGACATTGCTCTATTTATGATACCATATAAGTAATGCTTTTTGCAAATAGTTAATGATAACAATGTTTCTGTTTCTTGCATCTAGTTGCTCTGCAGTTTCCAGAAGGCTTGCTCCTATTTGCTTGCACAATTTCAGATATAATTGAGAGGTATGATATTTTCTTTACATTGGCAGTAAATATATGATAACAAGGAATATAATATTATATAGGTTTTCCCTGCCAAATTCACATTTTTCCCAGTCCACTTGATAAAGCGTTCTTTCAATTTATGGCAAACATTGTTTTCAACTTGGACAGTAGTTAAAAGATGCACCTGTGTCATTCAATTTACAGTATCGATAAAGGGATGTTACATTTTTATAAGTTTAATTCATTCCGTCTAGTCACTCTAGTGTCTGTGCCAAGATTCAGGCAAAGTCATCGGCACTTACAAAATGGTGATCTAGTGCATTCAGATTTGTGAATGAGCAGTCAATTTGATAACATGTTCATTCAAATTAACTTGGATGTTGTTTATAAAAGCCCCTACTTACTTTCTAATGTAATTCCCTGAGAGTGAATGATTTTGATTTATTCACTTTCTTCCATTGTCGATATATGATGTATTTTTTAAATGGTCAAAATGAAATTCTTGATTTTGTTTCCCATTTTCTTCACCTCCCATAGCTACATCATCAGAGCCTCATAATTGCCCCCCCCCCCCCAAAAAAAAAAAAAAAAAAAAAATCTGAACAAACTGTTTTTTTTTTTTTTTTTTTTTTTTTTGGGGGGGGGGGGGGGTTGGGGGGAGTGGATGGCGTGCTCATGATAGACGTCATTAGAGGGTAGAAATATATCCCCATTAGTTAATGGGGTGCTGCCATACATGAAAATGTAGCTACTATCATGATGATCATTCTTGTTGTTTGTTGAGTAGGTTCACTGACGCAGACACACTGATCATGGGTGATGTGACGTATGGGGCATGTTGTGTGGATGACTTCACGGCCAGAGCTCTAGGGGCAGACCTCATGGTTCACTATGGACACAGCTGCTTGGGTAAGCTACACTGATGGATGGAGTCATAGTTTGCTGTCATGGAAGGCTGATTGAGTAATATGTGAATTAGAATGAGGCTAAGTGCACCTCGTCTCCTTTCATTGGGCTAACATAATATGAAAAAAGCAGATCATAATTACTCCTTAGGTTTATAAGGGCTACAAACTAGTGATTGTCTAGGGTGCCACTGATAACTGTGCAACCATGAGGCATGCGAAGAGGAAAGTTCCAAGACAATTTCCCCTAAAATGTCATGGTCTATTGGGTACATCACTGGACTGTGGGTCACATGGTTCGCAATTCAGATATGACGTGGCAAATCTGCTGTGTTTTAAAAAAAAATGATGATGTAAAGATGTATACACTTCTATTTTTGTATCTCGTAACACAGATCGCAGTGAATACGTGCAGGTAACTGCAGGACCTTTGTAGCGCGCAGTTGTCATTCATGTGTGTGTGTGTTTGGTGGTTTACCATGTCATATTCGAATGAACCTTAATTGTGCTGTTGTATTTTTTCACAAGTTGGTGAAAAGCAGTTGTGATTACTTTGGATGAGGGCAGAGAAGTCAATGAAATAAATGGCAACTTCAGTTATCTTCAATAGTTCATGATGCAATTAGCCTTTTGTAAAAATTCATGTATTTTTAATTGTAACTTATCATTTTATTTCTAGTTCCATTACTTTTGCATCATCTTTGCTCCTTATCTCATTGTTTTCCTTCTATTCCTACTTGCTCTTTATATCACAGTTCCAATCAACATAACATCAGATATCAACATGCTGTATGTGTTTGTGGATATCCAGATAGACACAGCTCACTTCATAGATACCATCAGACACAACTTTGATCCGGGGTCATCTATAGCGCTCGTCAGTACTATCCAGTTTATTGGAGCCGTGCATGTAAGCAATATCTCACATTATATACCTCTCTTTAGTATGTTGAATAAATCTAGTCATCTGATTGGTCGAAATTGGAGTGCCCGCCTACCGGTCAATAGTCTTTTAAAAGATGCCCGCCTACATGTACCAAGAAGATACACAATACTATACCAAGAAGATACACAATTTACCTGAATATGGTAAGGAACTCAACAGATTATGCGTGTTTGTTTTTGTTCTTTTCTAAGTGAGCTCTCTTTAGAGAGGAATATTGCTTGTTTCTATTTTGACTTTATAATTGATCGATTGCATGGCTCTTAAATATGCAACAGATAGAGTTGGTTTATTCAAAGCACTGTTTTTGTTTTTGTTTTATTAGGCTTCTGCAGGAGAGTTGCAGTCTGACTACACAGTGGTGTTACCCCAAGCTAGACCCCTCTCTAAGGGCGAGATATTAGGATGCACAGCACCCCAACTCAATCAAGTAGACTATATCATGTAAGTTATTAATATCACTTTTCTTGTTTTAAAATCTTTACCATAAGTAGGTTTTCAATTTTGATTGATATTGAGACTCCTGATATTTGTCTGTCTTTGCTTATATATCTCTTTCTCTCTATCTCCTCTCTCCTCTTTTAATCACTCTCATTTTTTTCTTCAAGTAATTTATTCACATTATTTGAATTTATTCCAAATAATTTACATATTTTGGAGAAAATAGATAGTACTGATATTGGTCGATAATTTGTCAAAAGCTCTTTTTGCCCTTTCTTAAGAACTGGTATAACTTAAGCGATTTTCATACTACTGGGAAATATACCTGCTTGAATAGACATATTAAAAATATTACATAAAGGCTGTGCCAAAAACAAACAATCGCCTTTTTTATAACACGTGTGTTTATATCATCGTATCCGGGACTTTTACTGCTATCCATTTGCCTCTTACATACAACACAACACTGAGTATATGACATTACAAGCAGTATACAAAAACAAGTTAGAAGTACAAAAAGTATTTTACATTTAATGAGTATCAGAAAAATCCAAAAAGATAAAATGTAGAAAACTTCACACTCCAGGGAGATATATAAGTCAGCTCGAACGTACACAATATCGCTAACGTGACATAATTATCAAAAGTTTTTGAGGTCGATATCTGAGCTTATAACTATAGAGGTCGATTTTCCACCAGAGGCTTAAATTGAGGCAATAATCTTACCATCATGAGTCCATGCAGCTAACACCTTCCTGTGTTTGTAGGTTATTGCGTACAGTTGGTCATTGTGTTGTGTGAGATCCTCTTGAATCATGATTCCAGTATATTTCAGTGATCGACGTGCTTGTATGATTTCGGTGGTTCGCTTGCGATATGAGCAAAACTTGACGATGATGGCACAATGATGCCTGCCACCAGGCTTCACGACGCGATGTGATCGGTCGATGTTACCTGGTGACGGGGCAGGTGGCAGGGCAATTCTATGCTGATCCGCCCCATCTCTGGCAGTAGGTTGTAGCATACTTCTTGTGAGTTATATTTGATGCACCGTAAGTATTTTGTCAGTGCAATATGATAGAGTTCATATTTTTCATAACTACTCTCATTTGTTTATGTCTGCTACCTTCAGTTACCTTGGAGATGGCAGGTTCCATCTTGAATCCATCATGATTGCTAATCCGGCCATTGAAGCTTACAAGTAAGTTTGCTCACGGTTTGTCAAAGCCTTGAATTCATTTACCACATTTTATTCGTTTCCATGATTATAATGGGTAGCGGTGTGCTAGCAATTGACCAGTGTACGAACATATTTTTTAAATTTTACACATACCTTTTAAACAAAGGTATTTCTTGACAACCTGAAAACTTGCCTTAGGCTTGCCCGACATAGCAAAAAGGGGTTTGAAGTATTGTAGTTCATTCATAAATGGAATACAGTAACTCTTCGCTAGGTTGCCAGGAAAGAAACATCCATAAATTTCAATTTGTTAGGAAACCGGTCTATTGAAAAGTTTTACAGCTTGGTTGAAAATAAAGATAATGTAGCTTCTTAGATCTTCCTAAAACAGATATAGGTATATGTATTTAAAATAAGTTCCCATAGAATGGTTTGTTATATCAAGTGTAATTACTAAACTATGATCCAAGGTTATAACGTTAGCATGCCAGGAGCATCATGGCTTCTTGGACATGTGTATAATACAAGAAGCCATGTTGATGGTTATTATTATTAAACCAGAATTAGAACTTAATGTTTCAATCGGGTATGGTCCATACAGCAACGTCTTCTCAAGAGACGCAGCATATGTATGACTCTGTATTTTCCACACAGTTACTTTCAAAAAGCAATCGCATCCTCCATTCAGGTACAACCCCTACAGCAAGGTCTTCTCAAGGGAGTACTATGAAAAAGAGCGTATTTCTTTCAAAAAGCAATCACATTACCTGAACTCAACTTTACTTTCAGTGTTAATGTTCTTAATCTTCCAATCAGGTATGACCCCTACAGCAAGGTCTTCTCGAGGGAGTACTACGAGACAGAGCGTATGCATGGTTTACGTCAAGAAGCCATTGAGAAGGCCAGGCAAGGCAAGAAGATTGGTCTCATCTTGGGGACTCTGGGGAGACAAGGATCTCCTAATGTTCTAGATGTAAGCTGGTCATTTTAGTCCTTAAACTAGATGAATATAATGAGGAAGACGATGATTATTATTATTTTTTTATTTTTTTATTTTACAAATCTACACAAAACAGAGAGAAGTTTCATCCTCAGGGTGTTCTTAAAGATACTTAAAGTCTTTGTTTTGCATGAAAATAATTTCATAATTTGAAGGAAAAAGGGGGGAAACAATCTCTCATAGTTGATATTTCATGCTATACATGTATTAATTTTTATTATGAATAAGGTATTTAGAATAAAACCATATACTTTTCTGGATTTGCAGCTCTGGGGGGGGGGGGGGGGGGCTTTTGAATGACATGCTTTTCTGGTAAAGCTCAAATCTTTAGTAAACACAGGGGCCGGTAAAAGTTTGTGACAATATATATATGTTTTTATTTGCATCTGATATTTGCTTTCAATTCAGACACGTGTGTTTGTTCATGCCTTTTCTTCATCTCTTTCTGGAACATCATGTTTGTACCATTTCCAAAAGGATTTCTCCTTTTCTAAAATGGTTATACAGGTATAGTTCAAAGATTTAAAAAAAAAGAATTTACAGAAATTATCAAGATATCCAAAATAATATTTAGAAAAAAGTTTGTGATTATCCAGTTTAAAATAGTTTGAGCTCTATTCACAAAGTTTGTTCAGTTTGGGATTGTCATGGTTGATTTATGTATTTGCTCTAGATGTCTGATTTCTGATAACAATAAAAATATTGACTGGCTTAACTTTCGATAGATACCACATATATTGCCCTCAAAAGACCGATATTGCCCTCGTCTTTAACTCTGGGCAATGTGAGTCTAGTTTGGGCAATATAATTGTTATCTCCCTCAAGGCCAGTCAATATTATATAAATGTACATTTTATAACCCTGTATTTTACAGTAAATATATCAATTTTAGTCTCTGGACTTTTGCCATTTTCTTCTTGTTTTTACAATAAAGCCGAAATTGAATTTGACTTTTGTTTTTAATCCCTTGATCATACTTCTCAATGTACAGAGTCTGAAAGAGCAAGTGACAAAGGCAGGGAAGGAGTATATAGTCGTACTTCTATCTGAAATCTTTCCTGACAAGCTGGGATTGTTTGCAGACATTGATGCGTAAGTATTTTGCTATCTCATTAACGGTATTACAGTTAAAATATTGAAAGAAAAAAAACATCTCAATGAGTAGATCATCCTCTAAGATGCACTGCAACCATGATAGATAAAGTGGATAATTTATTAGTCTGAAATATCACAATAAAATGCCTTATAGCTAGTGCAGCCCACAAATTTACCCATATGGGATTTACCATAATTACACAATACACAAGATTTTATATGATTTATTGTTAGTCATTTTCTAAACATTTAATCCAATTTTGAAGTAATGCATATATACAAACTTGTTCAAGTATTTATATTGTTTCCATGTATCTTTCAAATGATTATTTTCATATTTTTGTAAAACAAAATACTTATGTACAATGTGAGCGAAGTTTCATAATATGATACCAAAAATATACAAATACACTAGATGTGCATTATGGGAAGGTATATATATATATATATATATATATATATTGAGCGAAAGAGATTCATTAGTTAACTTACTACCTCAGATCAATGTCTAATCCTAAAAAACAACATACATCATACATGATAAATCTGGTATTTAGTTTAATGTGGATACTCCTAAAACATTGACAGTTCATAACACTCTGATTTTTATTGTAAAGTAATCCCTGATAGCATTAGATATGAAATGAAGTAAATGTATGTTACAAGTTTTCAGGGGTAAATAATACATGTATTCATTTCCTAACCAACAGCTGGGTGCAAATTGCCTGTCCACGTCTATCCATCGACTGGGGATATGCCTTCCCTAAGCCCTTACTATCACCCTATGAGGTATGTGAACATTCAATATTTGTGATAATTACTTGTCCAACCAGAATGATAGTACACAATGAGATGCCATGTGTACTCCTGTGTGCTTGTTTGGTTGTCAGGCATGTACATGTCATGCTGATATTTAATTGTTTGTGACAAATTGTAGATTTAGTTTATGTTACGGTTGTACTGATTCACCCCCCCCCCCCCCCATGTGATTCCTGTTAATTAATTATCTTCTATGTATTGGTAAACTTAAAAGGTCCAGTGACTTGTTATTGAGCCCTTTCTTTCAGTTTTATCAATTTGATAAGCCATTATTTGTTCATTGTTGTTGCTTTAATTGCATTCTTGTATTAAAGTAATCCTCAATTTATTTTGCTTCTTGTTATTTGTGTTTTCATTGTTATTGTGCAAGTGTGGAAGAACATCAGAAAAAATGTTCCCTGAAAGGCATGGCTCTTCTCATGCCTTCATATTCTAAATATAACATGTACAAGCTTTAAAATGAGGACCACATTTTTATGCCACATGTTTGTGTAGTCCCATATACATATTTCTGTGTATAGTGCTTGTTATTTTTACCAAGATTGGGCTAAATTTTTAATCATTTTTGATAATTCCAGTACCTTGCAGTACACACCAATACTTATATGCTACATGGTCAACTTTTTTCTGACCAATTCCACATCGTTTCTTTCACAATGCAATCGCATGACCAGAATTCAACTTTATCTTTAAGAAACCATACAGAGTCCAGTCATGTACAAGCTTTTCTTATAATCTAGCTACATCTATTAAGTTATTTTGATTTCCATGACATTCCTATTAATTTACCATATCTCCTACAGGCTGCTGTAGCCCTCAAGTCCATTCAATGGCAATCCAGGTACCCCATGGATTTCTATGCTAACGATAGTCTTGGACCATGGACACCTAACAACCAAGCACATCGACCCTCAAGACCTGTCAGGAAATCCAAAATCGCGATAGAGAAAGGCGACTCTTCAAAGGACATTCCTAAATCTGAAAGTGCAACTTCAACGTCCACTGAGCAAGGAGAAACAAAGAGATGATAGTGGAAGTCAATGAAACCCTGGAGAGATTTGTAATAAACTTTTTAAGCTAAACTATCATTGTGATAGTTTTAGAGATTCAGGAACCAGATTCTGAAAAAACAATGTTATGTTTTACGTGAGGGAAAACGATATTCGTCGTCATAACAAACCAAGATTGAGCGGAACTAACACTTACCATTGATGCTTGAGTAAATGCAATGACTTTTAACTTTACGTGAACACAGGCAGCTTTGCGTAAACATTACCCAACGACTTTTCCTAATTTTGATTTGTTATGACAATTAACATCATTTACTAACATGAAAGTTAAATTGTTTTCAGAATACCACCACTGCACCTTTTGCAATATATTACAGTGTGTGTATTGTATTTTTTATGAGCCTCGGATAATACAACTACCTTTTTGAGGAGACAGATGATGTGACTACTGTAAGTTCATTCTCTATACACTTTATAATGTTTTAATTCTCGCTACAGCAAACGGCCGTAGAGGGCAGCTCCAGCCACAGGTATATCTGGCAAAGGTTATTGCCCTCGGCAAGCCTTGGGCAATAGCTCGATTGTACCCTTCCCTTGAGTGTATAAAAACAACTAAGTTTCTCAAAGCAGTCATTAATACTATTATAATTAACAGATTATGATGGTGCCTACATAGGTCTCATGAAATCATTGAGGGAGTTTATGAAACCTGAACAATGGTTAAGTAAAATAAGGAATTAGTTGACACTGCTGTACATGCTCTATGGAAGCCGGAAGAAACCTTGTCTTATCGTCTTATATATATTTTGTGCCTGTGCTTACCGGTGCTGTATGGAAGAAAGGTTGGCATCTACTATCAAGCATTGTATTTGCTGTAGAGTCAATTCAGACATTTTTATTTAGAATTGGTCTGATGTGCTGATAGTAAATGATCTTCCCCTTATAATTGATATACCCTATTTACTAATTGTATGCATACTTTTTCAACAAAATTTTCTCTTATCTACTACAAAAGAGTTCCAGAGGGTTGCCTAATGTAGCAACAGCTAATGTATGCTAAGTTGATTCCATCCACAGAGATGTCATTTTTCATAGCAGGTGAATAAAATGGCTGGTTAGGGAGAGAAACATGCATACATTAAAGTACATACATTTAGTTAACAGGTCTATTCATACAAACACAATGAGGTAAATATTGAGTACCGGTAATTGCAATTCAACTACGGTGAATTGATGTTATATCTACAATCATGTTGCGGCCTGATAATTATAGTACCGTATAGAATGATCTTGTTTGCATTTTTTCTGGACAATTCATGCATTATATGTTTTCCAGTCAAATTGTTACCTTCAAAAGGCATCACTATTTATTGTCTATTCACTATGATGTGTACTTTGTGTATAGGCAAAGTACTATATAAAAAAAAAAGAGCAAATTAACACAAAAATATGTGATCTATTTGATATTCTTGGAGTTGTTGGCTTTGTAAAAGTGTTCATGTGGTACCATACAGAGAAAACACTGACTTGATGTGTTTAATGTAGGCATGAGTAAGAGATGCAAGATGGGGTCGAGATTTGTGGTAGGGAAATAGGTAGGCAGGAAGAGAAAGAGAAAGAGAGGGAGAAATATATATATATATATATAGAGAGAGAGAGAGAGAGAGAGAGAGAGAGAGAGAGAGAGAGGAGATACAGAGAAGGAGAGGGGAAAGCAGGACAGGAGTAAAATGTATTGGGGACAAAGAGAGAGAGAGTGAGAGAGGAGTAGAAATGGATGCATGAGTGATAAGTGAGAGCTAGGAGAGAGTTATTAAAAAGTTATTAAAAAGTGAGAGAAACTAAGTAATTAGTGGGTTTGAGAAAGAGAAACAACACATTATTTAGAAGATAATCGAAAAAGAGAAACATGCAGTGACTGAGGATGAAAAAGAGGGAGTGTATGTGAAAATTATACAAGATGTGAGGGAAAAAAGGTGTTTGATGGACAAAGAATGGAACTATAGATAGCCCTACGTTAAAATCTCAGAAACTAGCGAAATCCAAAAGTTTAACCGACCTCCTAGTTAAGTCTGCCGAACGCGCGTTGTTGCTGATTATTATGATTCTAATATTTTGATCGAATCTCTCGTTACTTATGGCACCCCCCCCCCCCCGGCTCTCTCTCTCTCTCTCTCTCTCTTTCTCTATCTCTCTCTCTCTCTCCCTCTCTCTCTCTCTCTCTCTCTCTCATTCTCTTTCTATCTCTCTTTTTATCTCTCTCTATCTCTCTCATTTGCTCTTATTGTGTGTCTTGCTCGCACGGGTACCTATTACTTAGTCGACGGTATAGTCTGCTTGGAATAGTGGTCAATCTAACTTTTCATAAATAACAAAGTCTTTTCGGCAACAGTCAAAAGTTTCTTACAAGTTTTTTTTTGTTGCCAAAGATCCGCCTCTTTTAAAAGAATTACTTAGTCCTCGCGCTTCTCTTCCGGTCTTCGTCTTGTTGTTTCCAAGAACCTCTTTGATCCTTTTATGAGGAGATCGGCAAAATAAGTCCCTGATTAGAGTCTGGACATACCGAAAGGACAGGTCGACAGGAAACTGTGGCTTGAGAAGCGGCATCTTTGACAAGTTTTGAAAGCGGAGAACAATCTTAAGGAATACTCGCAAATTAAATGAATTATTCATTGACTAGTCCTGATCGACGTCTTCATTGGATGATGCTAAGTGACCAATCAAAATGCTGAGCGGGTGACAGCTAGCACATAAGTGATACGTATTTTGACAGCTAGTCGCTAGAAGACACACGCTAAAAATGACTATCTTCTTCTTTTAAAGCTTATCTGCCGTAGTTTACAGGAGGGATTAGACTGCCCTGCAAGGTCACTGGACAGGTGGTTATCTCATCAATTCAGCTCTTAGTTAACATAAGAAAAAGAGGATCAAATGGGGGACCACTGGTCACCGATTAGACATTGTTTGTTATATAGAGGGCGCAAGTAGCTACAAGTAGTGCAGTGGGCCTTTAACATCTTGTTTCAGTGTTTCTATTTTCCCCGAAATTAAAGAAATCTCAAGAAATTTAGGTTTGTCAAGGAAATTTTTCCAGTAATGAATTAATTAAAAGAAATTTCAGGAAAATATTCGGGGAAATAGACAAAAAAAAGATAAATGAATGAATGGATAGATGAATGAATAAACAATGATAGCTTCTTTGTCCATATTTCAATTTCTGTAACAGTATTTACCTTTGCTTGCTTACTTACGTTTGCCTATAAGGAGACCTGCACACACGCAAAATTATTTGTGGGGGTGCTAAACTAAATTGAGCTATTGTGACATCATAAATAAGCTAAGGGCCTATATGGATAAATAGGCGTGGGCTATAGCGCCGAATAGATTGTGAGAATCACATTTTAAATGTCAGGAAATGGTGATAAATTCCTGAATAATTGAGAGTTTATTCCAGGAATTTGTTTTTCAGTTGCTTTGTTTAGAAATTGCATTTCTAATCTAGACAACCTCCGGTCCAAACACATCCGGTCCATGTATCTCCAATCTATCCTCGACTAAGTTTGAAGTGTTCTCAACACGATCTTTTTTTCCTACAAGATGATGAACATCACCATGACAACCATGCTATTTAACTCCTGCTCTCAACTGATGAAAAGGCAGACTGAGATTTTTGAGGCTGAATTCAGCATGAATACAAGTCTTGAATATACGTACATTTTTTATCACGACCATATAATATATACTCTACATAAAAGACCCTTCACGAACCGACTATCATAATGTCCCTTTTATGGGAAGATATCTGGATAGGCTTAGTTGGTTGAGGGTATAATAGGTGTTATACATATAGAGACAATAGTGTACTGTCACCCAATTCCGAAAATACTACCTAGAATTCATTTCCAATTAAAAAAATATCCAACTTAATTTTAAGAGCTTTTCAGATGTCAACTAATATTTACATTATTTATTATACAAATACCACAGAGTAAGCCAAAAATCTTCAGAATCAAGAATATTCAGTCAATTCTGCATCGATAGAAAAAACATAATCACGATAGAGGTAGGCAGATGTATTCTAATGTGAACACATATCGATAGCTATCTTTAAGGAACTATAAAGATTACAATCGATGTGAGGGAGACAAATTATTACTAATGGGGTGATGGTATAGATGCCTCAGGAGTAGTTCCTGGAAATTTCCTATGCCATCAAATTTTACGAAGAAAAAAAATACTTGTAATCAAAATGATTACATGATATATATCTATCTCATCTGTGAAAATTACCAATCGGTAAATTTGCGGTAATTTAAGTTCTTTTAGATGTTACGTTTCGGGGTAGTAGTTTGGGATAATATTGTCCTCGAGACTCGAGTAATTATCCTCCGAGGATAGTTTTCAACAGTTGGATTAGTGGTCTGGGGCTTCTTTAATGAGGGGTGGTTTCCACATTGATTAGCCAGGTATGGGGTTCAGCTAGGTGCGCGTCTAGCCATTGTTTCACTGAATGTAAAAGACACCAGTTTCCAAAGATCCGGCTTATACAGAAATATCCTGAATAACTTCTTTGATCGTTTAAAGGAGTATCGAACGTGCCGAAAAAGGGTGTTTTTCAAAAGGTGCGACTTTTCGGACGATGCTCCAATTTTACCGAAATCTTTTGTTACTTGATGACAATTGGGGATATGTGATAATCGGGAGCATTCTGTTTAATCGCTGGTCCTTGGTTTTCATTGGATAATGCCAAGTGACCAATACAAATACTGAGGAAGTGACGGCTCTTTGCAAGAAGACACGCGTCGACAACAACTCATACTTTGTTAGAAAGCGCATTATGCATAATAGTACTTCACCACGCGAGTCTTTATTCGAAGAGTTCCAACTCGATCAATTCCTCTCAAACAAGACGACGGACACCACGATGACTACCTTGCTACCTTCCTCCTACTCTCAACCGATGAAGAAGCAGATTGAGATTCTAGAAGCTGAATTCATCATCAACTCACGCCCTGATATCACTACTAGAGATCGGCTGGCACACACACTCAAACTCAGTAACCTCTTGATTCATGTAAGTTTTCTTCTTATTACAGCATATTGTACATGTATTATTAAAGAGTCAGATCATAGATATCAAATTTTGCTTTCTATCTTGTATCAGCAGATCTGTTGTTACTAGATACCACGTTGTATAGTGATTATGATAATTTGGGTGTTTATCGTCTTGCTTAGTTTTACTGTGGGGTTAGACAAAAAGTTAAATAGAACATAACCTATACATCGATGGACAGTAATGCGCAGTATTGTGTACTGTACAACAGTAAGAGTCCTACAATTCTTAGAAGCTAATCTTTTTTGTTACTGTCCTTTTCTATTTGTTCAGGTTTGGTTCCGGAACCGTCGTCTAAGGCCTAGTCGCAGTCCACCTCAGAAGGTAGTTCTTCAGACGAGCAAAGTCGACATGAATGACCACCCCAATGATCTCGCCGTCTCCAAGAAAAACGCCGATGTACGGAAGTCGTCGTGCAACGTCGCTGATCACCCCATAGATCTCTCGATTTCCAGCAAGGCCAGTCGAAAACGGAAATCGCCATGCGACATCAAGGATCACGAGAGGACACATCAGCCCTACGAGAAACCAGACATCATTCCGACATCGATGACGTCATCGAGCTACCATCCCTCTGATAGTGGCGCCATCCAGCACAGAGCATCACGTGACAGACCGAGCGGCCCTATCAGTTCGCTGATGTCTGTTGACTTTCTCTCCCGTAGCAGCCGTATCGACAGGACGCCAAGTCGTGACGTCATACATCTGTTCAGAACGCCGGTGTTTTATTCGTCAGTTGCCTTTCCGCATGTCACTTACTACCGTCGTTACAACGATCTTTAGACTCTGTAAACTTTTCACAACGAAGTAGGAATGTTTTGATCCTTGTTATATTCATATCTGTCTTGAATTAAGACAAGAACTGTACATAATTATTGTTAGTTCTACTATAACATGATTTTCTTGCGGTTGAGTTATGGCTGTTACTTCAATTTGTTTTTCGTTGTTGAAATAAACTGTAGAATTCAAAGTTTTTCATCACAAAGTATAGGAATGTTGTAATCCTTGCTACATCGATATCCATTTTGATATTAGACAACAACTGTTCACATTAATGTGTGCTCTGATAAATAAAATTGTTGTTACTTCATCCTTTGTTTCTCAGTCAGTTTTGATTTTGGACTTTAAACAAAAATCAATTCCACAAATAGGTACATACAAACCTTATAATAAAGAAATATGGACAGTGTGCGTTTTGATTGAAGCGTGTATCAAACTAGAGGAAGGTGATCAGATATGCACATAAAAAAGGATGGGAAATGAAATAATGGGGCTTGTATAGGAAAGAGTGAGAGTGTGTACATATTAGATTTAAAGACGGAGACAGAATTTTGAATATAGAACTGGTCTAGAGAGGTTGATGAGCAAAAGAGAAAGGGAAATAAGATAAAGAGCAAGAAAACGATACAAAGTTGAAAATAAATGTTTTATAAAATGCAAATGACAATGAAGATATCTCTCTCTCTCTCTCCATTTCTTAATATCTTTATCTCTTTCTGCTCGTATAATAATCTTTCCACGTCTATCTCGGCGGCTCATTTTACCTTAACCTCTCTCTCTCTCTCTTTCTCTTATTTCCCCCTATCTCTACCTTTTCTCTGTCTTGAATCTGTCACAGACGGGTGTATCTGCTTTATAATATGTCATAAACAATCAAAGCAAAGCTTTTATTAGTTGATATCATTTTAATTTGCTATTTCTATCTTACAGCAAATTAGATGTAAGCTATTTATAGTTGATGCCAACTCTGTTATTATACATCGAAAGAGAAAACACCGTCGACCTACACCTTTTTCATTCTCTGTGCAATAACTTCATCGGAAAGCAAATAACAAGTAATAATAATGAAAAAGTTATAACTGTCACTTGGAAATTAACCAAGTAATTACTATTATAATATCCCACCCCAAGAGGGGTGAGGCATATAGAGGGGAGAAATAAGGGGAGGGGGGGGGGGGGGTGAGATACGTGCACCCCTTAACATTATAATCATGATAACTTAATACGATCTTGTTTATTAGACAGGAGATTTTGATTTTTCATATTTTATGCAATTTCTTGCAAAAATAAATGTGTAGAATGTGTTTCTTAATTGGGATTTCGTTTATTAGGCGCTTGTTTCCAACATTGGAATGTGATTTTCTGCCTCCATCATTTAAGCTGTCCATGCAAATAGATCATTACATCACAACACTAAAAGCTTGTATCGTTTATTTTTTTGGACGAAAGGGACAACAAAAAAATTGGATGTGACTCATGTTAGAATTAACAGGAAAATGACAAAATTGTGAAATTTTGAACGATGTTTGTACTATAGGAATTCATATTCAATAGTTGAATCGTTAATGTCACTTTGACGTATATAGTGCCTGACAACTTTCCAATTTGTTTCAGTACGCAAAATGACTAAAATGTATGACTCGGGAGGTTTTTTTCTTCAGAGGACCTGTATAACTATATGTTATCCATAATGTAAACATGACATACCAGGGAGTTGTCAATGACTACGTCACCAATTCACTCACCAAATTGCGAATTTGCCGAGATTCACATAATTATAGAGTTAGCGGTCTCATATTTGAAACATTCTTAACTACCTCATTATATGTCCGATTTAATTCAAACTTTCGCCATTCTGTTTTTTCATCTTTCATGAGAATGAAAACAAAAAAAAAGGTTGGATTAGCCTTTAATGTTAAGGGGTGATATACCACATTTTTTTCCGCGACAACTAACTGATCGCCACAAACCATGCGGCCATATTTTATCCCGATGCTATTATATAGGACTCACTAGGTCAGTGATCCCCGGACCAGAACTCCTTACTTACAATAACATACCTTAATAAAGTTGTTCAAATGAAGATTTGGGGCAATTTTATGTTATTTTGGGAAGCTTCTGGTAGTGGGTGGTGGTCTTGGGTCAAATGGTATATAGCCATGCTAAAACAGGGGTAATTGTGTAGCACAAGTCTGACAGACATAGGCACAAGAGCCACTATTACCATTTAGTAGAGGCTACTATGAAATCCCGTGAGATAATCGTGCCAAAATTGTTTTTTTTGGCTAACTTTGTCAATTTCGGGGTGCTGAATCTAAAAAAATTTGGTACCATTTTTTTCGACCACGTCTTGGGCAGCCATTTTGAATTTCAAAATGGCCACCATAAATAGTTGCATTTTGAGCATTATTTCATATTATAGACATCATAGAAGGTTCAAATTTCGGATAAAAAGCATGGCATTGATGTCTGATATAGTAATACAAATTTCCATGAAATTGTGCTTTGTTCCGGATAAGCCGCCATTTTGAATTTCAAAATGGCCGCCATTGTTAAGCCTATTTCAACTTGAATATCAAGTTAGAAGTGCATGGAAAGGTTAAAACTTGTTATAGTATCATCATTATGATGATATACATGCTTTAAAAGGAAATACATGCTTCGTTTAATGATGACCATTCTAATTAGCCGCCATCTTGAAATTCAAAATGGCCGCCATAATATGGTATTTCAGATTTGTAACACATATTGGGTATTTGAGCGCTTAAAATGCGAAATCAATCATTTTGGAAGGCATGTGATTCTAGAATCAATCACGGCAGTCAACTCCTGCTTTATATTGCGATATGTTGAATTGAATAATGACATATAATGCATGGCATAACCTGAGACTGATAAATCATGCGATTGTGATTTCAAAGACCAAATGTCTACCAAATGTACCTCCTTACAACTGTGTCTAAAATGACAACTAATCTTATGGATGTGAGTTTAGTTGCGACGTTGAAACAACAATTTCTTATAATCTATAATTATATATTCACCTAGTCAACATCGGGGCTATTCACATCATAGTCCTGTGTATTTTCACAGTCACAACACTTGCATAGGGCTGTGCAAGGCAGATGGTTCTTCTTGCAAGAGCAATGGCTTTTGCATTCCTTCCGACATGAGCATTTGACCAATTCCATGACTGCCTTCGGCGCAGGAAGCTCTAAACACTTGGTTGCACTGAATGTTCCTTCTGGGGAAAGCTCCCATCCATTTCCATCTAGAGGGGGCAGCTTTGGTTTTGGAACTTTGTATCCCTTGTTGACTCTGGCTACGAAGTTTGCCCTCTGGATGTGTGGTGTCAAGGATCCAAGGGTTGGTGGGAGCTTTTCTGCCTCAAGATTTTTTGCCCTGAATAACTCCCATCTAAGGTCACTCACTTTTGTGGCTTTGCTGTTTCTAGCATACACCTTGCAGACAAAGTCTTCCAAGACTGATAACACACTTTCCTGGTTGAAGTCTTCTTCACCTAATGTTTGGAATGCATGGACTATGTCACATTCTGGGTCAAGGCCCAAATACTGCTTGATCCATCTGCTCTTTGAGATGCCTGCAAATTTACCACCCCAATCGGCACCACTGAATGCATGTAGACCAAGCAAACCTTTGCTTTTTTCGCTACCAACTGCAGAACATCTCTCAGCAATGTCAATTGTACGTTTCGCATTTCCCTTTCCAGTGATGAAGCAAAGGCGACCTAAGACATTGTGTGTAGAACAAAGATCCATCAGATATACAAAGACGTCAGTGTCTGGAGAATAAACATCAATATCTATGATGTTCTCTGCTGCTTTTGAGGTAGCATCCAGTACATGCAATGGGATGAGTGTATCCGCTTCCTCATGTGTGTGATGGGTGAGTTCTGGATCAAACATATCTGGCTTGTTGGAATATGTAGCATTTCCGTAGACGACAACAACGTTCTTGCTACTATTTGTATACTCATGCAGAACAGCCTTTCCAAGATATTCTGTCAGTTGCGACTTGGTGTAGTTGTGAGACAGAAGAGTCTTCAGTGAAACGAGCTTGATGTTGGTATTGTCCTTGATATTAAACTTCACTGGTTCAATACCTGCAGTCCTTTCCCCTCTAGTCTGTGCCTTGAGGGAATCATCAATGTATCTATCAAAGATAACACGTGCTTCATCGTACTGGGATGCAATTTTCCTTATGCTCCTAACAAAAGCAGCAGCAAAGTCGGAGCAGTCAACCATTGATGGGGACTTCGTTATGGCCTGGACAACTGCCATGGCATCGATGATGCACAGTTTGTCTGTTTTCTTGTCTTCTCCTGATGTCTCTATGTTGGGTGAATCTTGCTGCTCATTGATCTGGTCTTCAGACTGACTATTCGGTTCAGTTCCATAGGTTTCTATGGCATGGATGAAAGAGCTTTTGTCTGATGGGATAAGGAGAAGGCCATCTGAGGTAAATAGCGACCTAGGAATGACAGAAAATTCATATTTTCCAATTGTGTCACCCAGTGAATGTATCATTCCAGGTCTGGACTGCTGAACAACGAGAAATCTTGCAAGAAGTTGGCGATCCTCTCTTAGCTTGACGAGCTTGGCTCCAATCTTACACTGTGTCTTCTTTCTGCAAGAGCTGAATGTCTTCAGTTTGGCCTTCCTCATTGGGTCCCAGATAGATTTCTTGGCCGATGACTCAACTATTCTGTCAGATACAAATTCTTGGAACATGATCTTTCCCTTTACATCTCTTTCAAGAATGTCCTCCTTGAAAGCTTCAGGAACTTGCATGTTAGATACCATATTCATCAGCTTCATTGACCTGATTTCAAATGGATTGCCCTCGCAGTGTCGTATGATTGCTTTCTTGATTGTTGAGGAATTACTGTGCATGCGAAGAGCCACAGAACCACTGAGCTGATAGTGCTCCTTCGTAGTTTGAGAGTCATTGGTGGTACAACAGTAAGCATCTTGGAAGTCTTGAATGAGGATGACCAATTCAGGGGCAATCATGAAAAACCTACCCAGTGCTTCTTCATTTTGTGTTATTCCAGTGATGCCGCCAGCTACTTTCACTTCCCTGATCAGCTGTTCCAATGTTTGGTCAACAAATAGGTTCGTGAATGGGATGCCAGATTTAGTGACCATCATGAAGTCCCCTGCCTTTAGTGCATCCCAAGTAGTAGGATCAGATGTCTTCAGCGAATGCATTTGAAGAAGGTAGATTGGCACCCCGGCCCCCCCCCCACTCAGTGTTATTTAGGGTACGCATATGCTCGTACCCTTTTTT